CATCTCTGATTATTTTTTAAATTACTATATATTATTGTAATATTGAATGCTGATCAACTTGATCAACAATCAAAAACCTATGCGTTTTATAGGTTGTTCGATGAAAAATCACAGCTTGAATAGTTTAATGTAATATTTTTTCCTTGAAGATCCTAAGACTTGTTATTTTGACCAAACGATCAATTTTTGCAGTTAAAAGATATAAATTTGAACTCTTTTCTTCATGTAAGTTCAAGGATAAAATTTGTTAAACAGCATTAATTTATCTAAAAACCACTTTTTCACTATTGATAAGATTTCAATTTTGTGAAGAAAAAATTTTTAAAGAAACAAATGAGATTTTCAACTAGCATAGCCTTTGAACTGAAAGCCCTTTGTAATCTTTCCGGCAAATATTTAAAGCAAAAAGAAAATCGGTGTCTCAATAGGAATGACTAACTTTGGCCGTGAAGCGTCTGATACAGACCCGAGGATAGCAACCAAAGCGATCAGTAATGATCAAATTATAGGTCCATCACCTCGCAGACATCATTAACAAGTATTTGTTATTCTACCTTGCCAAAAAAAGCCGATTTTAAAATCCCTTATCAGATTTTCTCAACATTTGAAAAAAACATTAGGGTACGGGATGTTTTGGCCTAACATTATCCTCTTGGGAAGAAGAATCAAATTTCACAAACATCAAATTATCTGAAATTAATTCCTCTATTTGAAAAATATTAATTCATAGTAAAAGCTTTCCAGTGAGGTAAAATTTATAGATTCAAAGATACAAATTTTTATTGTGTTATGAAAACAAAATACAAGCTTTGTCATTACTTTCGTCAAGAATAGTATAAATTAATTCTTTTTTATTCAGCTATTAATACATGAAAAAACTCCTAAGTTATAAAAGGCATTAACAGTGAGGAATTTTGTTATTTTAAGTTTAAATTTTTTTCAGGAAAGAGTTTGACATCATCTGGTATATTATTAAAAAAATTTATAGCCCAATATTTACAAGAGTCGTATAGGGGAAAATAATAAACATTTTTAAATATTGTTCAAAATTTATGTAAGGTCTTGGTTGGGATAAGAGTCAGTGTCATGAGCGGTTGAGGTGGGAAGTTGTCCGAGTGGATCGAAGTCACGATAGCTCAAGTGACTGAGCAGCGGCGTATTTAGCCGCAGGTCGTGGGTTCGAATCCCGCTCGTGACACTAGCTTTTTCATTCCAACCAATACCTTACATAAAATGAATTAATTGAAAGAAGTTATTTGTTCAATCGGACCACGAAATCTAATGAACAATTTCTTCTTCGCCTGTTTTTATTCTTCATGTCTTAATTTTTAATTTTATTACTATTATTTTTACTTATGTTTTGATCTTTAATTCCAAACTTATGTCTTTCTTATTTTTACTTCTTTTATTTCCTGAATCTCCGTTGTATTGTTTTCTCTTAACTTTACCCGTCTTCGTGATTTGTAAAGGTCTGTTCCCTCTTTTCCCCCCTAGCTACCAATCCTTTGCCCCACCCGAAAACATGACCAAATGAAATATTTTGGATGTTTAAAATTGTTAACCCCAATTTCTTTATTATTTTCCAATATTATTATTTATGTAATTTTAATTAATTTGTTTATTGGCCACATCGTTCAGTTCTGAAGCTGAAAGATGAAACAAGGGGGGTGGGTTATATATAAAGCGAATGATTTTTTCCCGAAGCGCAATTTCCTGAAATATATTAGTTAGTAGTTTTGTTAATAATTGTATATTACATATTTATTTTTGTATAATATGTTTTTTAGTTATTGAGGAAATGACGTGGGACGCGTTCAGGTTATCAACCTTCATTTCATCTATATTTTATAAACAAAACAAATCAAGATTGATATATATTTGTTTCTTTATAAATAATTTATATTGACGTTTGATTAATGTTAGTACCTACATTCGATCATAACAGATCCGGGTGCGAAGAACACGACGCGCACTTCCCAACTCTTCTCTGACAGAGATGTGACTCATTACATTGAATAACATCCCACGAATTACTCAGGATTGCGCCTGACCTTGGTCGTCGAAAGTCCTTCTCAATTTAAACTAAATATAAACTAATGTTTTATATTCTTGAGGAAATCGACGAAGTTTTGAATTTTATTTATAACGTTGGTAGTGGTAAAAAAATTGTAATAATGGTGCAGTGCGAGATTCGTAAATTGACAAGTCTTAAGGTTACTCCTGATGTCACCAAGTTTTGGATCTTCACTTACAGAGCTTAAGACACTATTGTGTTTCGTTTCTAAATCAATTTTTCTATTTACTATTTGTACAAAATAACCAAATCGATAAATTATTTAGTTTCCTAAAGAATGACGGAATTAACAAAAATAAAATCAACAATAATTTATATAATGAAAATAAGTATACAAATCTATCCGCAGACCCAATAAACTGACATAAATTGTTCATGAATCATGACAATTATTTACATGAACAAATTTTATTAATGGTGGCATTATTAGGCGTATGAGTGAACCAGCGACATTCCATACAGGGAATACAATTGTAGGTATTTCGTTGAATAAATAAAAATCAAATTGTACATTTACTAAATTTAAGTAAATAAGAAAGACCGGTTCTGGGCAACAAAATAATGAAAGACCATCCGATACTCATGGATCGAGAGACGACATAAACAGAAGGTTTGATTTTAATCAAAACTTCCAAATAAACATAGGTACCAAAAAAGAATGGAAACGATAGGGAAACACCTTTAAGAATGGTACCATCCTTTGGTACACAGCTGGATCTAGAACACAAGAAGGTATAGGGGCAGACCAAATACTCAGAACCCATGGGAAAATACACCAGTATCTTCCAAGCTGAGAGTCACGCAATCGAGAGATGTACTCAACTCAACTTGACTAAAGGGTACAAAAACAAGAACATAGTTACCATGTTCGGGCTACTACATCGCTGACAGGACCTGTACCCTTCTGTGGTATAGGAACCCACACTATTAATGAGTATCTCAGACAGAAGGACAAAAAGAAATTGAAGGAACATAGGAATTCACTCATTGGACACAGCACTTCCTCCTGCGGGCCAGTGTAGCAGTTTGTTAGTAGGTGTGTTGGTGTCTCCTCTGCCTCTTTGCAGAATCTGCATGTGCCGTCTTGGATTATCCCAATATTCTTTGGTATCCAAGAGTATCCATTTAGCTTTCAGTATCCTGTTAAGAATCCTATTAGGATTCGCAGTTTATTCCTACTTCCTTTGACCCATTCTGTAATTTCTTTTATTCCGAAATTCGTTAGGAGATTCTTGGATTGCCTGTGTCCAATGAGTGAATTCCATTGTTCCTTCATTTTCTTTTTATCCTTCTGTCTGAGATACTCATTTATAGTGTGGGTTCCTATGCCACAGAAGGGTCCGGGTCCTATCAGCGGTGTAGCAGCGCCTTTCCTTGCAAGGGTGTTCGCTTTCTCGTTGCCTTCTACTCCCATGTGTCTTGGGAACCAGCAGAAGCTGAGTTTGTTATGCGTACCTAATATGTTTAGTTTGGTTTTGCAGTTCAACACCATCTTTGAACTAATGATATTTGAGCTTAGTGCTTTGATGGCTATCTGGCATGATAGCTGTGTTCTTGTTTTTGTACCCTTTAGTCAAGTTGAGTTGAGTACATCTCTCGATTGCGTGAATCTCAGCTTGGAAGATACTAGTGTATTTTCCCTTGGGTTCTGAGTATTTGGTTCCTGGACCGAATAGAACTGCCAATATACCTTCTTGTGTTCTAGATCCAAAGGATGGTGCCATTCTTAAAGGAGTTTCTCTATCGTTCCCATTCTTTTTTGGTACCTAGGTTTATTTGGAAGTTTTGATTAAATTCAAACATCCTGTTCATGTCGTCACTCGGAGCCATGAGTATCGGATGGTCTTTCATTATTTTGTTGCTGTCTCTCCATTTTAGTAGTGGATTGGTTTTTTATAAAACGAACTACAATGATTAATGTAAGAACTTAATAGGACACTCTATGAACCCGTAGAACCGATAATACACATAAAACTTTCACTTCGCAGTACAAAGCTGCTTCTGCATCACTAGCCTGTCTGTCTATGCACAGACACCATCATAGAGCATAATGTTATTCTCCTCATCCTGCATCTTTGTACAGTTTTCATCTGTTTTTATATGCCGAATTGTTGTGTGTAGCAAGTTTCAGTCACACTTAGGTCCAGGAAATATATATTATTTTCTCTTTCGGTTTTGAATTTTACGTTTTTCGGTAAGAAGTGTGTGCATGTGGTTTATGTTGTTCATGTGAATTATGGTAAATATGTCATCAGTGTGTGTATAGCTGGGTTTTTTCATAATTTCAGGGAATGTATAAATTTGTAAACATACTTGCACGGTTGACTGAAGTTGAGTCACCATCGTAGTCCATCTTTCAATTGTATATTTGTTCTTTGAAATTAGTTTTATCCTGTAGTCTGGATTATGTTAGTTGTTGCGCGTATTCGTTATTACAGTTTTGATGTAGTTCTTGTCGTATTGTGTTAACGGAATCGATGAATTGTTAGAGATGAGTGGTTGGATTTTCATTTTAATTTGTTGTACTTTGGTTGTTTTGCTGTTTTACGTCTTCGTGTGTCTTGAATAAAAATCTGCTGATATTGGATGAAGTACGTTATTTCCATGTGTATGTCAACTAGGCCTTCGTTTAGTTTGTGTGTTTTAGTTGTAATTTCTGTTTTTTTTTTGTTTTGTACTTTTTCATATTTTATTTGAGCTGGTTCGTTCGTAACTTTGTGAAACATTGTTGCTGAGGTAATGGTTATTGGGCCATTTACTACATTATTAGTAATAATCCAACCGAGCTAGCTGTAATTTGGTCAAAAATCCGAATATTTTGTCTGCCTGTCTTATACATATATAAGTAATTCTAAAAAACGCACTGAAATTACAAACGTGTTAATAATGAAAAATTATATACATGTACAATCATCTGATTGTTTTGTATGACAATTTATTTTTTGTTATGATTTTACTTTCTTATAAATGTGCAGGTAATTACGTAAGGGAGAATCGTTGATACAAAAAGAAGACTCTTTTTAATGGATTTTACAGAAACGCCGTCGTCAATATGGGAGAGGTATTCCTTCAATAGAATGAACTCTGTTATTACGAATTTATGTTTCACCCGTAGAAAAGTTAACACACCGAACACATTCCCTTCGCAGTACAAAGCTGCTCCTTCTTCACCAGCGTAGCTGTCCTCGTTCAATATCATTGGTTCAGCACAGATACCGCCATAGGGCACAATGTTGTTCACCTCATCCACCATAATCATTTTTGTACAATCTTCATCGCTCAAGACTCTAAATGCACTCACTCTCAAGAAATCCGAAATAGAATTCAAATAAATTTGAATTGCAATATGTTGTAATATTGCCCAACCCATGGCAAAGCATGGTTTTTTGTTTTTTACTACTTCATCCCATGCTTTGCGAAATTCTTTCGGATCAGTTGATGCGACAGTGGCCGGCTGGATATTATTTGAAAACTTCAACGGCTTATTTAAATACCCTATACCTATATCGGCGATGAAATGGGATCTTTTAGACTTTTTAAAGTTTGGTGAAACAGAGTAGCCTTTTATTGTTGCAACTTCGCCTTTTCCGCGTAACAGAGAGCCAAACAACGCTATCGTATCTGACAGATCTATATAACTTGTATTTCCAAACTTATCAATTCTAACGAAACAGTGCCCTGCTGAAACGGTAACCGTCTTCGATATTAACGTCAAACCACACGATTTATTACCTTCTATCATGTAACCCATAAATGGAAATTCTCCTTCAGTAGCATATCTGGTGTTGTATGAAGCACGAATAGGGTTAAGATTCTCAGCAGATACCATAGAAACCATCCCCAGGGTCACAATCATTACGGCCTGTGGAAACTTTATAGTGAATTTACTTTTCAACATGATCTCATTAAAAATATAAAACATTTGCAATATTCATCAATCATGTGACATTTAATGAATAAATAAACATTTTTATCAATAAATATTTGTTTATGCTATGTTTCAAACTGGGAATACCAATAATTTTGGTTTTCCACTTAATCCACTAACACTTAATCCAAAACAGGAAAAAGGATTTTTTAATGTCTACTTTTTACGGAATTTAAAATTTCATTTAGTCGCATTTGAATTCTGAAGATATAAACTGTTTAGTTTTCATCTTTGTTTTCTTAATTTCACTTTTTAAACTTAAAAATGCCACTTAGTGCTGAGGATGTTGCGCTTGGTGTGGCACTTATTGATGATGGACGTTCCACCAAGTATGCGGCCGTTGCCATCGGAGTTCCCGACGAAATACTGCGAGATGCCGTTAGACGTTTTCGTTTTAAGTTCGAGGTGTCCAAATTTCTGAACGGACTGCTCAAGATCAAAGAAGATTGAATCAGTATGGACTGATAGCTCCCCCCCCCGTAAGAGTACCAGAATTGAACAGAGGAATTGTACGGCTCGCATTTGTTCGAGAACACAGCCATTGGTCTTTGGACGATTGGTCTGCTGTACTTTTTACATATGAGTGTAGATTTGCTCTACGATCTTCAGATAGGCGTGAAGGAGTGTGGAGAAGGCGAAATGAAAGGTACGAAGCCTGTAATTTTTCCCAGAGCCAACGTATTCAACGTAGCTCAGTGATGGTGTGGGCGGGAATTCCAATGGAGAATCCCACAGAGTTGGTTGTTGTTTGTGGAGGGTCTTTGACGGCCAAATTTTGGAATATCATGCGTTGCATATCCTCGATGAAATCAACGACAATCCTTCTCTGATGCACGATAATGCTCGTCCACATAGTACAAACGTACCTTCAACAGCATGACATCAGGGTCTTAGCCAGGCCAGCCCGTTCTCCAGACTTTAACCCAATTAAACATTTATGGGATAACCTCAAAAGACGAATACGTACGTACACGTCCGTCACTTCCTGATACACTCCACGATCTTGAAAGGACTCTTCGTGAAGAATGGGCAAGCCTCCAGCAAAGAAACATATCCCGACAGGAAGAAAGTATGCCGAGGCGTCTTCGAGATATAATTAAGGCAAGAGGAGGAAATACGCGGTATTAAATGTTAATTAAAAATCTAAAACAAACTTAAAACAACTATCTGTCCGTCTTTTTTAATTTTTAATTTTCATTTTTAGCAATTTACTTTTTTAGACAAAGACTCAATTATTAAACGTTAAAAAACGTGAAACTTTGATTAATATATAAAAATATATACAAATCAAGTTATATTACAAGTGGGCGGAATATTTTTGTAAAAAGGTCTATTGTGGAACCGCTACAGCTTATAGCCATACCTTGGAAAGTGCGCTATTCTTTGTAACACTGAGCACTTTGATCTCCGTGGGTATGAGAAATGTCCTACCAAAGTGGCCGTACCGTAAACGGAAATCCACTTTAAGATAATCTTGTTTTGCTTTCATTAGAATGGGTGTCTGATTTTTTTTGCAATTCAGCAACATCTATGAGCTAAAAATGTTTGATGTTAGGGCTCAGATGGCTGCCTAGCTGTTATGATAACTTTGTTCTTGTTTTTGTACCCATTGATCAGGTTGCACTGAGTACATGTGTGCACTTTGAGTTCAATAATGCCGAGATCCTGTTTCCACGATGAAGAAAAAGGTGGTGGTGAGGGAAAGCTAGAAAGCTGGGGTTTTATATTCCCCAAACACTGAAGCCTTCTGGCTTATTGTATTTTTCTTAGTTCTTAGGTCGGTTCAATTGACTAGATCCTTGACTTAAGAAGTCGGTCATTTACTGTCTTTGAATTTCCCGGGGTTTTTTGTATTCTTGGTGATGTTTCCATTGGGTGGTTGCTTCGCATCCAAAGATAATATGGATGACAGTTTATTCCTCCTCATTGCATTACTATGGGGTTTTAGTGACTGGGAGTTTTTGTAGCTCTGTCAAGGGCCGGTGTTGTTGTGTATTGTAGAGCCGATGGTTGAGGCCGGGACTGTGTGAGTCGTTGGTAGAGGTCCGTGACCAAAAGAGCCATTGGCTGAAGTCCGGGTCCGAAAAAGTAGTGTGTCGGCTGACTTTGCAGCGGTTGAAGGGGCTCTGGTGCAACAGGTAGCCGAGTGCAGCAGTTGGCCAGTAGCCAAATTGGCTGTGTTGAGAAGACGAGCTCGAGGCTAATATTGCGAGTGTCAAGTGCTTGCCGTCGTTAACAGTTCTCCATTAGTGGTTTTTGAAAACTCGTCGGGAAGACGAGTCTCAAGGTGTAAGATGAGATCTTGTCGAGTAGACGAGTATCAAGGTGTGCAGGGAGATCTCGTCGAGCAGACAAGTCTGAAGTCAGTTCAGTGTAACAGTACCCCTGCTTATGTACGAAATGGCTCTACAGTCTACTCTGATTGGCTACAGAGTGGAGGGTGAGGCCAATCCAAAACTGGTGGACACCTAGCGGGTACCGTGGTGACTGCAGGTGGCCACCACATGGTCATCGTTGAATGTATCCAATTCGTGTAGGCGTTTTCTCAGATAGGCCGCTATATATCCTTGTCACTCCACTCTTACCCTCTCTAACTTTCCTGTTCCTTCACTTGTTTTAGAGCCATCTGTATACCATTATTTTTTTTTCGGAATGGGTGTCTGATTTTTTAATTATAGCCGTATGCCCGAAATGTGTAATCCCCATCAGGTGTCTATCCCCCTAATCTAATCAAGTGCCTCACATTCGGAAAGGATATGTGCCAATATCTCTGAATTTCTCATCTTCTTTAGGTAATTGTTAAGAACTATAATCTTCATCAAATCTGTCCATTGCTTGAGATTTTCTTTCTCAAGATACAACTCTTTGGTATGCCTAGATGTGGTTCAGGTCCCATGGGTGAGAGCGCTGTCCATTTTTTGGCTAGATAGCCTGTTCCCTTAAGTTAACCTTCTTGGATTCTAGAACTTGTTTTTGTAATCTGTATGAGCTTTTCCTGGCTTCTCCTTGTATGTAAGTTTCCAAATAAGAGTAGCAGTATTTCTAAGGCTGCTGATGGGGTTGTCCTCCTGTAGTAGTTATTCCTGTGATTTGCAATCTTGGTGCCCTGTCTAATTTTTGGGTAGCTTATTTTTGTTACTGTTTCCAATATGAATATCCTTTGGGTTAAACTTACACTTTTGAATTGAATATTCCTACATTTAGTAATGAGATGACTTAGTCAAAATGCTATTATTATTATAGGTTATTGCATACCTAGCAGCCAATAACTGCTTGCTGCTTTGTGACATGCAATAGTAGTAATATATAATGCATGAATAAATAATCTGTAAGAAAATTTATTTCAAATAACAATCGCTGGAAACGAAACGTTTGTTTTGACTAATTAAAGACAAAAAAAAGACCAGATAGAAGTGAGCCATAAAAAAATGTTCACATTCCGGTTATGTTAAGGATTCTCGGTGAATAAATTTTTTGTTTAACGTCTGTAAAATATCAAAATTTCGACATAATAAACTAATAAAATTATTGAAGATTCTCTTTCAAAATGGGACTACAAATCTTGAAAGTAAAGCACGTGTTGCTCGTTGGGGATGTAGCTCAGTGGTAGAGCGTTCGCTTTGCATGTGAAAGGCCCCGGGTTCGATCCCCGGCATCTCCATTAAAACTTTTTTTGCTTTCAAATTATTTCAATTATTTTAAAAAATTAAATAAAACAGAAGCTGATGGTTAATTATATTTTCATTTATTAACATAATCTTGTACTGGGATTCAAGTTTATTGCAGTCTGCACAAAATTGAGAATCTGTGTTTGAACTGTACTGCTTTAGACAAAATATTCAATTCAAAATTACCATTTATTTTTATATTATTTATTAAAAAAAAGTTCCATACAATTAAATTTATTGTATTCTTTAACTGAATGAGTGATTGATGTTCAGCTAGCAACTTCCATTTGAGTTCAGCAGTGGTCTCCATCTCCTGTTCCAATTTTTGAAATAAATCTGGTTTCACGGCCAAAATGTAAAATTAAACAAAAAATTAAAGATAATTTAAAAAATAAATTACTTCAAAATTTTATGTAGAATGTGGACAATGTTATAGTTGTCTATACCTTAAGCTTATTTCTACCCTTTTTTCTTAACATGCTCTTTCCATTTCAGCTTGCCATCTAAGTTCATTCCCGGATATTTAGCTGTATGGTACAATAACTCCCACTGAAACATGGTCCAATTTATTTTTCTTTTTTTGTCCATTTATTTATCTTGTTATAAGCCTATTGAAGGATTCTGGATGGTTGATGGTCTATCGCTGCAGTTATCATCTTCAATTTTCAAAAAATCACTGGTGTATAACAAGTAAAGCATTGAACCTAGTATGCTACTCGGTACTCCTGCATTTATTGTTTTAAATTTTGAATATTGGTATTCTTGTTCAACTCTAAAATGTCTGTCAATTGAAGAATTGATAATATCTACATACTTCTTTGGTAGCATGCCTTTTAGCTTACTGATCTTCATAAAAAGTTCATATTTGTAAAAAAAAAGCTAGTGCGCATGGAGGTCAATAGTAGAAACTAATATATTCAAAGATACAAGATAAAAAAATAATAGTGAATTAATGTTCTTTAAAAAAAATAGTAATGACGGAATGAATAAATAATAAAATAAATTTAAAAAAAAATCTACTCACTAACTATATTCATATTTTGAAAATTAAATCATCAATAGACTAGGCAAGAAATCTATCAATCTGTTTTCATGCTGATTGTAAACAATGACTTGCAAATCTACACAATTTGTGAGTATAACCATTATTTTCAACTGTTGTAAAAATTTTTCAAAATTGTAATCAATTTTGTTTTAAATGTCTAATAATAAAAATTACTTGAAAAAAAATAAGCAAACTTGGTGGAATAAATTGAGATTGACAAATAAATTTTTAACAATTAACTTCTAGTGTAAGACAAAATAAATGTTTTGATTGGCCCATGTCAATTTTGTGTCAAGTATAATTTTAAAATATTTTACAATAAGTTATCATTGTCTTCTACAGGTCAAGGACTTGATGATCAATTTTTTTAATATTCAAGTTGATGGCCGGTATTGGTCTGCGGACAAGTTGAAACCAGCACTGGGTCATTTACTGTTCTTATCTCCATTCCTCACTGAAGAAGATGCAATTCCAAAACGACCCAGTGTCAAATTCAAAAATTTCTTTATATACATAAATTGTACATTAGATTTTCTTGGATTAAACAACATCCTCTACTTTTGGTTATAATAATTGATTCCATTGGCTACTGTTGTATATTTTTGGCTGTAGTATCTTCTACTCAAAGCAGCAACGTCATCAACAAACTTGGTAGTCACTGGCATAAATGTTACACAAAAATGACCAGCTTTTTTGAGGTAAGCCAAAATGTATTCAATTTATTCCAGTCTAATAACTAGGAAATTTTAAATAACAATCCTTGGTTGAACTAACATTGGCTACTTCTTGATTTAGCTGTTTAATAAATAAGTTTGAGAGGCTGATAGTGGATAGTATTCCATCTATCCTCATTTAAAATATTTATATATTTTGTTATTTAGTATGATGGAGGAAAAGAGTACTAAGAAAAAGAGAGTGCAGTGTTTTAAAACTTGTATGCATTATAGCTTGGAATCAACAACCTAGCTTACCCGCAACAGTTTAGATGTTTGACACGGTGCTCATCACTAGTAAGGTAAAGGTCCTGTGTTCGAATCCAGTAGCCAATGCATTGCCAACATGCCATGCCATTGCACAAATGGGCTTTTTTTTTTTAAATATCGGCACCTGAGGGTTGATGTGACCTCTGCTGTTGCAAACCGTTGTATAAAAAAAAATTTAGACTATTTTTGGACTGATATTTAGCTTGTTCATGTCCTGCTCAATTTGTAATTAAACTATTAGTTATCAACTAATCTGAAGTTAATAGATTTTATGTTATCTGCTTTTCCTGGGTTGGTGTTATAAATTGATTTGCTAATCAATCATTAAATTACCAGTGAAGAAATAATGCTCATACATAATCACCAAATTAATGGTAATATCTTGAGTTTGGCGTGATGTTTTGAAGAAATTAAATTTAAATTCATTCATTGCGAGGTGGATATAAAGAAACATAGTATTTTAAAAAATATTTTATCTCAAACAGTGTAAATTTCCACAAAAGAAAATTAGTCCTAACAATATCCTTTTTTTGGTTTTTGTTCGTTTTTGTGGGTTTATTCAGACGAAGGTGTTTGCTTTAAGGCTGTCTTGAAATTCTTCTATTTTACGGAGTAACCTCGTCATTTTCAATCCATTTGTGGATATTGTCTGCGAAAATGCGTCTGGGCTCACAAACAAACTCGTGCTACTGGATCGCTTTTCCATATATGTTAGCTTATCCTTGAGGTCAGACACCTATGAAAGAAAATTGTCTCTATAAATAACAAAACTGATGCAGATACACAGCATATAACAAATATTAATTAGATATTATAAAAATTAATTTTATAATGTGTGCTGTACCTCGTTGTATAGTCCCATAATGGCATTGATCTCATTTTCTTTGGTTGTTAACTCTTCCTCCAACTTCTGGAGCTCTTTGTCAGCTTCTGGATCTTTTTTTGTCTTCACTAATTCTTTCAGTTCATCGTATTTGCTAAGAAATGAAATTTTACATAAAAAAGAATGAAAAGTAAAAAGAAATAAATTAAATAAATTAGAAGACTGTTTTAAATATTTTTATCATTCGTGAGTAGAAACCTATTACTTTACTTGTGTACTTTTCTAAATAAATATGTCATCTTCAAGCAATATTCTTTATTTATGGTGGAATGTTAATTTTCAAAATTAATGTAAATTTGATGATTTTTATGGCAATAAGTAATTTTTTTAAAGTACATTCTTTAAATAAATGTTAATAATATAAAAAATTCTTACGTAGTCATCTTAGAGAATTCATCGTGAAGATTTACCAATACATTGCGTAGTTGATAATTTTTATAATCCACTGAAGTGCCCATAGATACTGAACTAGCCTTTGCTTGTAGAAGGGATTTCGGTTTTTTCACATTACCAAGAGATCCATGACCGACTACGTACCTACAAGAATTGAAGTAAGATAAAAATTATTGTACCTTGAACAAGTTGTTTGAAATTTAATGAGTGATAACCTTGAGCGAGCTTGACCAAAAGGGACTTGGGAAGGGCAATATTTCAGCAGGCCTCCAAGTTCACAGTCTGGATCTGCTAGTGCTGTTTGAGATATGGCTGACCTGTTGTTCAGTTTAATCAAGGATAGAGTTTCCTGAACTTTCATTCCTAAATTATGAGACTTATTTGTAGACATGCCAACAACAAATGGTATACTTTTTATGTTAAAGTGAGCATTGAGGCTTTTTGGAACACATTTCATTCTGTATGATACTGTCGGCAATTGATACGTGCTTTTCACATATTCACACGAGGATTTGCTTTTTCTCCGATTTATTGAACAATTATCTTTGGGGGCATAAGACATTGTTTTTTCACTTGGAGGTGGTAGAGTGTATTGAAATGAACCCTGCATCATTTGGTTTTTATTTTTGAAACTTGTCGGTTTGGTGGCTTTCATCGGTTTTGTAATTTTTTTCATTTTTGCATTGCTCGATTTGTTTGAATTGGCTTTACCCGTTTGCCTCGTATTTATCTTATTTCCACCTGGAGTCTCTTTTTTTCCCGATTTTTTTGATGATGTTCTAACTATTTTTGCAGAATCTTCTTGGTTCTTGGTCATTTTTCCTTTATAACCACCTCCTTTTGGTTTGACTCTTACACCTTCTGGTTCTAATTTCTTTGGCTCTGTGCTGGCTTGGCTCTTTTTTTGTGCACCACTAGGTTTCATATCTGGCTCCATTTGGAGATCAGGATCTGAAAGACAAAGTTGTACTTATATACAGGAAAATATTGAGCATTATTTCAACTACAAACTCATGGATGATGCATCTTTTAAATATTATTTTATATTTATACAGAGGGTATGAAAGACTGTCGTAAGGAAATACTCTTAGGATGTAATTTTAACATTTTAATATTCTTTTTTTACTCAATATCCGTTTATATTTTATTAAGCCTACCATCTAATGGGCATTTGCCCTTGCTAACTCTTCATTTTTATTAAGAAATTTTATGACTCATTAATGATGTACCATTAAATTATATGGCTATACAAATTCAAATGGATTGTAAATAATAATTTACTTGAATTTGTATATGTTATATGTTCTAGCTTGATGAGCTATTCACTCTTGATAATAAATAGATGGATCTGTTTGTCATTAATCATAATTAAAAAAGATATTTCATCCATAGCAATCAAAAAGTAAAATCTCTGACTTTACTACTTGTCTTTCTTTTATGCCCAAGAGTGAAATTATGCTCCAGAATAAATTATATTCAATATATACAAATTGCCTTGTTCAAAATTATTACAAATTAAGATATAATTTATCGGCACAATCTCTTTGAAAACATGTTTTAATTTATTTGAAATTCTTGACAAAAAACTAACCGGACATATCATTGATTGAACGTGTCATCCCACTTAGTATGATTTGCACCACATCTTTGGGGTCTTTGCCCACATGCTGTTTACTTCCAGTGATCTCAGACACAAATCCTTCATTAAAGTCAGTTAAAAAGTTTTCTGAAAAAAAAGAAAAGAAAACGAATTGTAAATAGTGTAGCGAACAGCATAAATATTTAATTATGGTAGAAGTTACCATTGAATACATTATGCTCTGAAACTATACACTGCTTTGTCCTCTGTTGTCTTTCTGGGAAAAAATGGGGATCACCTCGCCTTTTATCTTCTTTCGTCTATAAAATAAAAAATAGTAATTTGTGAATATAAGTGTGTTTGTTGTCTTTTTTTATGATTTCAATGTGTGTATTAATTTTAAAAGCTGTATGAGATTTTACACACCTTAAATCCAGCCTCTCCACCTTCAACAGGTTTTTCTACACCATCATATAGGAGCCGCATGTATTCAACTTGTTTTCTTAACGTAGTGCATCGATTTTCAGCTATAGCTAGCTGTTGTTCTAGCTCTGAAAATAATCATGGAATGAGTTACGAATTGATTTTTAATATTTTTTCCTGTAATGTGTGCCTGTAAAAATACCAGCAATCCTTGAGTCCTTCTCTTTTTTTGGGATGGTCTGCTTACAGCCATCGCCATACTCAGTAACCCCATTTTCTGCAAAGTCACACTGTCTGAATTTAACTATAATTGATAAATGTTATTATACACTCATTCACTAATTTTTTTAATCTATATTAAATTATTTATTAAAAGGTTAATAGTAGAAATATAAATGATTTCCAAAATAGCACAATCAAAAACGTATATTTTTAATATTTTGTGGTGCATATGTCCACAAACTAATTGTATATTGCAAGTGGTTTGATTTTGATTGTTCTTTTGATTCAAAACTAACTTGTCGATTTGGTTCGATAGTCAACAAAAATAAAAATTAAACTTAATATAAAAACTTAATATAAAGTGTTTTTCACAAAATACACCAACGTGCCCTCTAGAGTGTTAAAAAATGAAACTGAAACCAATTTTTTTTAGAAAATTTACCTTCCAACTATATAATATTGTCAAATTTAGCTTTAGCCTTCTTTTATAAACAAATGTTCAATAGAGTTTGAGGAAAGACTGATGGTACTTACCCATAGGTGGAATGCCCAAAAATACACCTTGGTCCATTTTGAATTTATAATTAAACAAATTTAACTGAAACTATAATAATTTTGCTATCCTTCAAATATAAAAATTGGCAGGTACACGGAAGGAATTTAATACATGCTGAAATTTTCACTTGGAGCTCAAATATTATTCTAACCCATTTTTCTCGACGTAACCATGGCAGTGAGTGATAGTAAGGAATTTTTCAATTTGAAAATTCCTAATATTTTAATTTGAAATATTTAAATGCATTTTATCCTTTAAATGAACCCTTCACATTTTAAGGACTTTGTCGTTTTTCTGAACTAAAAATAGAGTATTTGACCATATAAAAATTTCATGTAAAATTGATGATATAACAGTATGATTGGGAAAAATCAAGATTTTTCTTATATTTACAATAAACAATAAATTATCATTAATAATGGATAATAATAAATTCTTGTTGATTCATACATTTAAAATGTTTATTTTAATAAAAATTAACAATAATTAATAATTAAATTCATTGTTATTATGTCATATGGAAGATTGTATATTCAAAATTTGTATATATGAAATTGCATATCCAAATTATAGATTAAAAAATACAAATATAGATTGCATATACAAAAAAAATCATAATCATGTGCAAATAATGCTGAAAAATCATGCTCAAACAATTTTCTCAACATAATACATGGTTATTAAACATAATAAAAAAAAATATAAACATCAAAACATAAAAAATAAATAAAAATCTATACTTTAAGCAGTGTTACAATTATTAAGAAACATTTTAATCTGGTTTTTCAGATCTAACAAACCTACAGGAAAAAATTCCAATTTATATTGAAATTTATTGTATGGTAAGATTCAATTGTCTTCCCTGTTTTTATATATATCCTAAAAAAATGAGATCAGCGTAAGACGAACCTAATCATAAGGCTAAAGTAGTCAGAGGGTGCACCCTGGCCAGAGGAGGCATCACAACAATCCCGACCTCGCTCCTCCAAAAATTCATTTTTTGGAACTTAAATTTTTTTTTAAACAAATAAAAACAAACACAAATCTATAAGTGACTCAGTGCCAGAGAAGCATAAAGCTATGGCCCTTTATTTATTTAATATTTTAAAAAAGATGTAAGATCATATGCAAATAGACCAAATTGGGAAGAATTCTATAAAAATTATTTGATAAAACTGGACCAAGAACTTAAGCAGAGAGAATATTTCTTAAATATTTCAAAAGAATTGAATTGCTTGAGAAGACCAGTAGTTAAGAGTAAAACCATTACAAAGAGATCAAGCTTATTTAGAGCTTTAAAAAGTATCTACTAGATGAAAGGTTCTACAAAAATGCAAAAAATAAGATGAAATACAGCTATAAAAACAATAAACTACTAGAAGTAAGAGTAATTATAAAAATTGCCGAAAAACTGGAAATTTTGCTGCCAATAAAACATAGTTGAGTACATTCGAGCACTTGCTCTTCGCCAATATGTGAATGGCAAGAACTTTGATCATTGATGATTTAGGTGACATCCTAAACTGATTTGATAGTTTTAAAGATAAACTTTTCTACTCTTCAAATAAAAAAACTATCTCCTGTTGAGCACATGCTTCTTATTAGCAATTAAGAAAAGTTTGAGCACGCACTCCTAAAACTACCTTGGCTACTTGTACTGGCTCATCAGATCTAATTACAATCAAAAATCAATTAACTGACAATCCTATAATTCAAAACTACACAATCTCGTCGCTCAGAGTATCCCTTTGTTCTCATTGTGAATTCCTGGTCACAATGAAATTTCTGTAAATCACTAAGCAGACGAATCTGCCAAAAAGCAAAAAAAACATGGGTATATGAAGTTGAATTGCTTGAGAATGATCAGTAGCTAAGAATGAAAACCAGCACCATTACAAAAATCTCAAGCTTATTTAATGAAAGGTCTGCTAAAAAAAGTATATACTTGATATTTAATGATAAAATACTTCATAATACACTCGTGAAAAGTCAAGTATTTTGTTGACCGACTACTTTGTAAATTAAAAATGTAATGGGTATTTATCATTTATGTAGATTTTGATAAATTTAGTACAGACACACTGAAGATGGCAAAATACCAAAATGAGTCTGCTAGGCTGACTTTGGTAATGATGAGGATAATAGGAAACGGGGTTTGTACTCCCCAGGCACTGCAGAACCCTTTGGGTGTAAACAGACCAAGATGATACGGATTACAGTTACAGTTTACAAGCCATAATCTATGTATATGAAAATGAACGTTTGTAAAAACAAAAACTACTGAAAAGATTTCGATGAAGCTTTCATAGCTTTTAGTTTTTGTTAGTGTCAGGAAGGTTCAGAGAATAATGGGCATATAAGAAATAATCCATGTCAGGATTTATAAAAAAGAGAACACTTTCTATTTTCCTCCTGGCAATGCTGGATTATATCCCTTGATTCTCTATATAACTGGTGATACAATTAAGTAGTATTGAATTATTTTTTTTACCATCAATTTCCCATAAAATGGGTTGAATCTAGGCTTCAAAACACTTTCCTTGCTTTTATATTTATTTGATTTTCAAATTGCAATTTAAATGCATTGCTTGTTGCCAAAAGATTTTGATTTGTTTTTGTTCTTTGAATTTAACATGACTTAGCACTTGAAGATTTTGTACTGTAACTGTGCTTGGGTCGATCTTGGATTTCAGCTGTCCCGACAGATGATCGTTTAAAAACAAATCATTAAGAAAGAAATAATTAATTTTTATTTTTATTAAGGCGATCAGTTGTGGTTTTCTTCGAGTTGATCTCCAATGGAAGCGACGGGTGGAGTTTTAGGTTTGAATTCTAGCGGAAATCGTCTCGAACGTTCTTTGGGTCAGACAGCGTCGCATGGTCGGTCGGAAAAGAGACGGGCGGAGTTACACGTTCCATGTTTCAGTCGCAACTCGCAACAAACTCATACGCATCGGCTGTCATGTCGAGTACCCTTTGATTCGATTTATGTCGTCTCATCTGTAGAAATCTCCAGTCGTCTAGGCGAAAGTCAACGCCGATCCGTGCCCATTCTAAAAGGAAAAAAGCGTGAGTTGGTGATAAACATTCTGGGCTTTTCTCTTTCGCCACTCTTCAGCTCTTGTTTTGCTTTTTCAGAAAATGGAACTTTCCGAGACACGGGAATCGCCGGACATGTCAAACAGCATTGACGGTTTCACTCACATCTTGCCAGAAATGGCCATGTCCTCGTCCATCTCTTCCAAATCTCAATACAGCCAGGTAATACATTTTTTTCTTTATTTCTTTCTTTTCACGACCTTTCCCGAGTTGTCCCTGAACTCGGAATGTGAATTACGTTATCTTAATCGCGATTACAAGTATCATCGCGTTCAGTTTATTATTGTGTGTAACTAATAATAAAATAAGTTTGCTATTCAAAAACTAAAATAAACATAGATTGTGTTAAAATAGATATTTTCCGTTCTGAGAAAGGCTAGATTTATCGAGAAACACACAGAGGAAGTAACTCAGCGATAATAGACGGACTCAGATCAACAAGTCTTCATCCTTCAGACCATACAGCACTACTGACGTTAAATGATACACCTGTAGATTTAATGTAGAGCCACTTGTACTGGACTAGTTAGGATCAACCCTGAAGAAACTCTTCTAGTGAATTGTTTCAATGCTAATTGAAAACAATCTAATAACTGAGGACTTAAACTTAGTAAAGATCAGTGCATTTGCTTGACTAGGAATCGATGACGACTAAACAAATCTTGTAGCTTTTATAACTAAACATTTAATTCAAGAGAACAGACATGTCATCATAGCTGAAATTCTGTATAAGTGAGGAACATGAATATTCTGCCTGACTAGGAATCAACCAAGAAAAAACAATTCTAGGAGTCTGTATAACTGATGACATAATCTAAGAGAAGTCACGCCTTCAGTGAGAAGCTGTGTTGGCATGAAGCCAAAATGCATATAATTGAAACAAATCACTGAGAAAAGGTGGATCCAGAGAAAGGATCAGATCAACGTGTTCAATCACCAGACCAAACAGAACTATCAATGTTAAATGACATACCTGACAACTTAATATAAAAACAGTGCAGATCTGAACAAAGGATGAACCCAGAAGAAACAATTTTAGTGGTCTTTATAACTGATGACATAATCTTAGAGAAGTCATGCCTCAGTGAGAAGCTGTGTTGGCATGGAGCCAAAGTTACTAATTAATTAATTAATTGGAATTGGTGACGGAGGACATGTTTGAGAGCCTCTTAAAATTAATTTACAAAATCAAAACGGAAATTCCTAATTGATCCACTGTTGATATTACAAACATAACACTAAAAGTTACTGAAATGATTTATCAATCAACCAGGAATAAACAATTCTAGCGGTTTGTATAACTAAAGATCTTATGTGAAGGAAAGAGACAAACCAAACGTAAACCAGCGAGAATAGACTGGCCCAAAAAAGAATCTGTATTGAGTAGATCAACAGGTTAAACTTAGTACAGACCTTATTAAATTCACTAGTTTCGTGGTCCGCTTGACCAATTAATATCTTACAATTAATTAAGGTTTTCAGTTGAGATAAAAAAGTCAATGGCACGAGCAGGATTCGAACCCACGACCTTCGGCTAGATACACCGCTACTCTACCACTTGAGCTATCGTGACCTTAATTAATTGTAAGATATTAATTGGTCAAGCGGACCATGAAACTAGTGAATTTAATAAGTTTAAAATGAAGTATACTTCATTAAAGCTCTCCGTGGCCATTTCAATTGTCTTCGAGAATCCAATCCGATTACACGACATTTGAAAAATGGCAAAAAGGAGGGAAAATTCAAAAGGTGTGGTTGAGATGGGAAGTTAGTGTCTGAGTGGATCGAGGTCATGATAGCTCAAGTGGTAGAGTAGCGGCGTATCTAGTCGAAGGTCGTGGGTTCGAATCCCGCTCGTGCCATTGACTTTTTTATCTCAACTTAAAACCTTAATTAATTGTAAGTAGAGAACAGTGCACAAAATCTTGACCTGGAATCAACCTTGACAAAACAGGGCAGACCTGGACTATAAATTAACTCTGACAAATCAGTGCAGGTATGCTTGACTAGGAATTATCCATTACAAAATGACTGCTGTGATTTCTTTAAATAATGGTCTAAACTTAGACAGATAAGCTGGACTACAAGTCAACCATGACCAAACAATTTTAGTGGTCTTTATTACTAAGGAATTAAACTACTTAAAGAAGAATGGTGAAGATCTGATAGTCCACCTGACACAAAGTAATTGAAGAAGACTAGTTCAGATCAGCTGAATTGCAATTTCATTCACTTAGAAAATAATTTTAGTGATAACTAAAGACTTTTAATAAGATTTTGATTTAAACAACGAAGAATTTGACCCAGAAGTGCTGATAACGAAAAGCAGAAATGCATCTGACAGATAAAAATGATGGGAAACGTCCAATTTGCATATTTATCACATCTCGGACCTCATGAAGAAATCTCACAGCAGATGAATTACTTGAAATAAATGCATGATTATTCAGTTATTTCTTTCAACAAATTTGGTGTGGGGGGGGATTTTTCATGTTAACTTTTTTTCAAATAAATTTGCATCCTGTTTTATCAGTTTGTTGTATATGCAGTTTGTAAGTCTACAGACTTATTGTAAAGTTTTTTTTTTTTTTTTTTTATAAAAATAATAATGTTGATAAGCCTCGACTTATAAAAAAAATCATGGTTCTTATTTGATGATTACAGGCCTTTAAAGGCATAAAAGTGAATGAAATTTTATAAAATTGATATTTTAACAATTATTAGACGACATTATTGAAAGAAGTTCTTATATCATTTTTCAGGTTGTCTTTCACGATTTGCCTGATGTTTGGCCAACAGATGGTGACATGGTCTGCACATATTCCTTGACTGACAATGTCCTTCCTCAATATGGAGATAAAATTGCATTGTTTAAAGTCGGATGGTCCATGGTGTCTGAATACATCACTTTTCAGAGGGTACCAACAGACTTGACCAAAAGAGAACGATTGTCTGTTACATTCAAAGGTAATGTGCTATTTTTTTAAATGTTTCTGTTAAAATAAAAATCAAATTATTGTTAATTATCAAATTTTATTGCATTTAATCAATTTGAAGTTAAACTTTTGACAGTAATCTTTGAAAATCGTTTAACTCTTGTAGTGGTGGTAGTCTGTTAAGTTATTAAATCATGATATATTATTTAATGTCATGTTGTAATGTTCAAGTAAGGAAGACAACTTTTATCTTATCTCCTATTAAATTTATATAAACTCTTGTCTGATAAATTACATATCATTCAACTGATTGATTCTGGTTTGGGTCAGAATAAATACAGAAAGAAGCTTGTACTACAACCACTAATATGTAAAATTTCTGTGACAATTTAACTAGTATTCAGATGTAATAACATTACTTTTTTTTTTATTGATTTATTTTATTAAACCAAATATATTATATATAGGGTATAGAGCTGGGGGTTGTGGGGTTAGAGTCCTGCTTGCAACAAGAATGTTTTCAGCTCAACCACGCTATTTAAAAATTATAAATAAATGTAAATCGTTACTTTGGTCAGATAGGACCAACTAAATAAAATCATATGAATTAAACCAAATGTTGCTTAGTGTGAGTGTATTTATTTACATAAAATATAGAAAGAAAAGAGATGAGTTTGCTGACAGAGTGATTATAAAATATCCTTAATTAGATAAGTCGTGTACTTTGTTTATAGGGTGTCACATGAAATCACTTAAAACATATTTTGTTCTCATTTTACTTACTAAAATTAATTTATTAGGTTTTGTGATCCAATTGACCAAATAAATTATTTTCAATTAATTAATATTTAATTAAGGTTTTGGTTGAGATGACGAAGGTCGTGAGTTCGAATCCTGCTTGTGACACTGACTTTTTTATCTCAACCAAAACCTTAATTAAATATTAATTAATTAAAACTAAAATTAATTTTTATTTGTTTGCAAAATGTTTTTAATGCAAAATAAAATTGAAAATAATAATTTGGTCATTGACAATGCAGAATTACGGTTTAGACCCTTGCATGAGGTGTGTTTAAAAAAAATTTGCCATCGGTCTTCCGGTCAGGTAGTCCTGTGGCCCATCAGGCTTTGAACATTTGGCACTATGAACTTAACAGGCTTTATTTTTCAAATGGTTCTGCTTTGCTCCCAAGCCGAAGAAAGTTTCAGAAATGAAAAGTGAGAAATTAGTGATGGAACAGAGTGGATCAACAGATGTCGAACATAAAATATTTCTTGGAAGTTTTTAAAAATTAAAAGTTGAAAACACCAACAAAGTACAAAGTATTTTATAAAAAAAGATTCAACCCTCAATTCATTTACTAAATACCGTAAATCCATAAAAATGGTATATTTTCATATTATTTTTATGCGTAAAAAAGGGAAAATATGAATTTTGTGCCATAAACCGTAAAAACCTGCAATTTTGTGCAAAATAAAGAACAGTGTCAAAAGGACATCTTTTCCAATTCCTGTGTTTAATTTCAACACCAAGTTATCAAAATATAAGAGAGATAAAATTAAAATATTAAATAACACTCCAGACTTTTTTTTATATAACCTAATAATGCTGAAAGTTTTCAAAAAAGGCTTTAAATAAATATTAATTTTATTTCCCTTTATTCCAGCTGAAACATTGCCTAAAGATGACAAAGAGATATACCAGTTGTGCTATGTTACAAGTGGTAACGTAATTGCTGGAGCCAGCACTGCTTTCTGTTTTCATAAGCCAAATGAAAATGAGCTTATGGGTGTTGAGGACCCGTTTAACCCAGGGCTTGTGGTTTTCAAGTCCCGGGTTGCGTGTCTGCAAAGTGAATTGAAAAAGGTTTGTCAAAAAAATCTTATAGAATAAAACTGCATTGCTTTATTTTTTCTCTTGTGTCACTTATTTACAGAAAGTTGAAGCCAATGAGTTGCTAAATATTCGGTATGAACTGCTTGAAAACAATTTTGCAATACTACAAAAGGAGATAATGAAAAGTGAGGAAGAGATAAGAACCCAAAAACAGATAGTGGCCGAGTTGTTAGAAGACAAAAAGGAAAAGGAAAGTGTACATTTAAAATTTGAAGAAGAAGTGAGAGCCCAACAGCAAAAAATATCTGATCTAATAAAAGAAAATGAAGAACAAAAGAAGGTATAATATCCTAAATTCTAAAATTCAACTTATTTCATTACAATCAAGGTCATAACATTTTAATTGAAATTTTGGCAGGCATTGGAAGAACAACTAAACACTAAACAAAATGAATACAAAATTAACAAGGAATTTGCTATGCTAGAAGCTTTGACTATGAAAGAGAATGAACTTACTAATTATGTGACAGTTTTGAAAGCTGAGAAGAAGGTAAAATGATCACAACAAAATAATTTTATCGATTTTAATGGGTTTGAATCACTTTTACTGTTGCAGGATTTAGAAGAAAGGCTATGTAATCTTCAGATACGTGAGCAATCTAAATCAAGTAAGGAGAAACAGTTTACAAAAGCATTAAATCTTATCAGTGAAGAAAACAAAACCCTGAAAGAAGAGAAGGACAAGGTGCTGCAAGAGCTACTGGAAAACAAACAGAAACTCCTTTCATTAATTTCTACATTGAGGTGTCTTGAAGAGGTGAAGAAATTTTACCTATTATTGTTATCTGCCTGAAGCATGGAAATATTTCATATATATATTACAGGACAAAGCTCATTCAGACAAGAGAACCGAAGAGATCGTTAGGCTTAACAAACAACTAGAAACAGAATCAGAAGAAGTAAGCTACATCACCATAAAAAAAATTACACTAATATCTACTCACTAATAACACTATTATTATTTCAGATAAAAAACAAACACGAATTCCTCACAAAGATTTTAACCATAAAAGAAAATCAGCTAACAAGTGGGCCATATTTTTCCTTGTTAATTGCATGTTTTATTTTACCCATAGATTATGGTATTACATAACTATTTTTTTTTCTTTCAGAAATGGAAAACGAAGTCAAAACAACTAAAGAATCCTTGAAAGAAACACAAGATGCATTGGAAAAAGTAAGTTTTATGCAAGTTATTAAAACCAGACATATAGTAGATTTTAATTAGCAATTTTAAAATTTGAAGGAGAGGGATTTTAAGGTGCCCTAGATCTATCATGGAACCCCTATAAATTATAGCCATGCCCTGGAAAGTGCCCTTTTTCCTGTAAGACTAAGCACTTTCCTCGGTGCCTCTTTCCACACCTTTGATGTGGGAATTGCCTTACCAAATGGTTAATGCTTCACATTCACAAAGAATATATGATGATGTCTCTGGTTCCTCCTGATAGAGTCAGCATGTTTCTGTTTCTGCTTTTCCCATCTTTAATTGGTAGTTAAGAGGGCAGTAGCCAGTATAGAGGCCAACAATTTTCCTCAAAGCCTGCTGAGAGATAAAGACGAGTTCCTTCACCTTCCTTTTTGAGAGGTTTATAAACCTCATATCTCTGGTGCGTTTGTCCATGTTTTTCTTTCTCAAGCCATTTCGCCAATTCCAAATCAAGCACAAACTCCAGTGAATCTAGTTGTGGTTCTGATCCCATGAGAAGGCTGCTTCTTTTTTGGTTAATTGGTCAGCCTGTTCATTTCTTACTATACCTTAAGGGCTATGACATATATAACGATTTTAACCAAAGCGTTTAAAGCGGCAGGTTTTCTTGTAGCTGACACACTAAACTGTTTTAACTAGCGGTATAGTGTCAGTTATTTTAAAGGAACTGACCAGTCTCAACCGTGTTGTTTCCCTATATTGTCAATTATTATAGTGAACTATATTACTTTTCATCTCAACCAAAAACTGGTTGAAATGAAAAGAATAATTGGAATAATTAATATAGACAATTATGACATAAATGTGTTAATCTGATATGACACTTCTTCATTACAAGATAAAAGCAAAATTGAAAAAAAAAAAAAAAAAAAAAATGGTTTACGTGTAGTTGGACACAAAACAGATACATGTGGCGGCTGATGGAATACTACACCCCACAATTCCAGGAAATACACTTTCAAACCTACTCGGGGCGGGGGTTGTCTCATCAACTCGGTTTCAAAACTGCCCTGATACCCACCTGTCTGTCATGTCCCACTCTCAAGAAAGAAACGATTTCGACTAGATTTTCCTTTTGGTAAATGCTTCGGTTAAAATCATAGCCCTAACCCGTTCATTACACACCGATTTGTAAAGACCCGAGATAGGAAAAAATTTTTTCTTAAGAAAATTGCAAAATGTCTTGGTCATATTGCAAAAGGGTCTTCACAGTAACATGTCAAAGCATTATTGACCTGTCAAAGCCTGGGACACTGATTCAATTCCCAAAATACCCCTAATATCCAATAATAAGCTTTGCAACGCTTTTCTAGAAGAGGTGTGTCATTCTGGAATGACATCCATATATGAGAAGGGTTTATTATACTGTACTATAACAATGACTGACTAACAAATGTGTTAATGTCTTGCAACCCACATTAAAATGATTTTGTGTTTTCTTAGAGATACTATGCAATTTAGGTCCTCCAAGGCAAGATTGGAACTGAAAGCACTTGTATTTAGTGCATTTATAGCCACCTGACTGTCTGAAAATCTGTTCACCTTTCATATTTTTGTTTATTAACTCCTTTGCAGAGTTTTATGGCATGGACCTCAGCTTGGAAAATTGTTGGAATTAGTCCTAGCGGTTTTGTTGGAGTATATTTCAGTCCTTTCACTCCTACACCTCCATGTTTGATCTTTGATCCATCTATGTACCATATTAAGCTCATTCCTGAACCTCTGGGCTACTTTTTTTGAAAACTAAAACCTAAGGCTTGTAGGGGTCTATCAATGTTGAGTTTTTCTCTCATTTTGTCAGGTACTGTTATAACCATCTCTTTCATTTTAATTATCTCTGGAATGTTGTGGTGGCTTCTCTCTAGATCTGGATTTATTTACTTGTATCTAAGGAGTCTGTTGGCACTCTAAAATAAATCCACCTTTTGTACATAAATTTGTAAGGTTCAGTGCGGTTTCCATTGTTGTAGTGGGGCAGGTTGCGTAACCCCTATTACTTTAAATACATTTTGTAGACTGTAGCTTGTTCTGTATTTCCTTGTTTAGTTTTTTCGTGTTTTTATTGCAAATCTTTGTCCAATGCTTAGTAGTGTGTTGACCTTATGGAGTATGTGGCTGACAACTAGATAAACCAAAACTAGACGCAGGTGGTTTTGATCAAAATTGGTATAAGTCCGTTTCCAGAGCTCAAGCTGTGTTTTAGCATTGACTAAAAATTTAATCCTTCTACTAAGCTAACTTTACCTGTTTTATACATGATAATGTGATAGTCATCATGCATATCCCTTTCTATATTTACATATTTTATATCATCTAAAATGCCCGTAAGTTAAAGTAATAACTTCATATTATTTCCTCAGAACAAATCTGAAATGAACAGTCTACACCTACAGTTGAATACAAAAGATCTAGCTTTACAAGGTATGTAAATTAAAATTTAGTTTGTTTGGCATTTTTATAAAACCGTTTTCTCTTTTGAAAGGTCATCTTAAAGAGATTGCAAGATTGAAGGATCAAACACCAGCTGTTTGTGAAGATGAAGATGTTGAAGTCCTCCGTGTAAAACTTGTAACCTTGCAGGCACATCATGAGATCTGTGAAGAGCGGATAAAATGTTTGGTGAACCAATTGGATTGTATGCAGTTAGATTATGAGAATGAAATTGGTGTTCTTTCCATTCAAAATGATGAGAATAAGGCCAAAATAAAACAACTAGAGGAAACAATTGCCAGTATGGTGAAAGAAAATGAAAACAATAAAAATTCTTTTGAAGCTTCCCTAACTGACAAGTTGTTAAAAGTAAAAGAAGAAAAAGCCAGTTTAAGCTCTGAACTTGTTCAGGTAAGGCATGAAAATAAAGAATTAGAAAGGGCGCTCCAAGAGGCCAAAGAAGGCAATGCCGCTCTTAAAAGTCGGACCAAAGTGCTTGAATATGAATTAGGCACTTTGAGGTCTAACAATTCTCAGGCACCAAAACCTAGTTCAGAAGCGTTGTTTCACCAGCTTGAATTATTTAACAAAAACATGCCTAATATTATCACATTAAATAGCTTCATAGCTGAGCAGGCATTGATTTTTAAAGGAAATCTGGAAAAGGAAAGAGAAGAGAAAATGTTTCTTCAATACAAAATTGAAAATCTCTTAAAAAGTGACACTGAAATGTGCCAAAAATACAAAGAAATGGAAATGAAGTACAATGCGGCTTCTCTACAGAATTCAAGGTCTCTCTCGAGTGAATCGGATCAGTTGGAGAAAGTTTTGTCGGAAAAACAAGAACTGGAGGTACAAGTCATGGAACTGAGAAAAAATTTGATGGGCACAATAAGTGTGGGTTTCACAAAAGACCTACACCAACAAATCGATTCCTTGAAAGCAGAGATAGCACAAAAGGTAATTTAGTATGGTAGTGCGGTTTCATATGTATAAATTTTAACCTTTTCTGGACTGGTTTTTGGATGCTAAAACGTGTCCCCTGCCAGTAGCCTCAGCCACTACGTTACCCCCTTGGCCTGATTTATTTTGTATTATGCATCGAATTTCAAAGTGTTTACTTTGTATCACTCTTACTCCTTTTATGTTGCATTAATTATGTTTGTTTGACAGTACATTCCAAATATTACACTTTACAACAGAAGTAAGTAAAAGGGAAAAAAGTTTTATTCAATTGAAAATTTATTTGTCTCATTTGACATTGAAAATCGGTTTGATTTTAAAACACAATAGCCAAAAAACAAAATTAATATTGATTTCTGATTTAGATCAACTCTACACATGTATGTAAATATTGTACATTCACATGAGTACAGAGTTGGACAAAAAATATATATTTATTATTATTGTTAAAGGACAACAAAAACAACATATCCCGAAAATTACTGTGCATGTAAACAATATAAAACTAAAACTGAGGCTACTTGGCAGACAACAGGCAAAAACTTCGAAAGGCAATAGTGTGTAGATGGTAGGGAGGGTAGAGGTTTGAGAATGGTAGAGGCGAGAGGTGGAGGAAAGAATTACATTCCTAATGAGACAGATGTTGTGGCCAAATAGTTTTCCAGAAAAAGTCGCCATTTCGTAAAAATTGTGAGACTAGATTGTAAACAGAAGGGGGAGAAAAGATTGGTTCATCGATGATAAGGACGGGAAAAAAAGGGTGTGTGGGATGTCCCCTATTCGCTTCCGAGGTGTATACTACACATTGGATACAACCTCAGCCTTATACATGCTACGTGTCCAGCTAAAAAACTCCTAAAAGGCTAAAAACCACAAGGACAAGAAAACTTGTCACTGGGCCTGGGAGCGGACATCACAAATGAAATATCTTGTCACTTGTTCCAAAAACATTAACAAAAGCATGCCTTTTTGCCCCACAGTTGTGTTACATAAATAAATTCGTACTGTTTTAAAAATTACGATGCTGAAACATCTCATAAATTAAAGTTCAACATATTATATCTTAGTAGGCAGTATAGTTTACATTTTGTGCGTGCACATATGTTATACTGTTTCAAATAAAATTCATAGGGGATCATCTAGAAAGCAGCCCGCGTAATCTCTGAAAATTTCATAAGAATCTAACAAACAGTTTTGTTGATATAGCTGCGTATGTGGTTGTATGTTTGTGCATGCGCAGGCTGTACCGTTGATCCGATTGGGATGAAATTTATAGGGGACCATCTAGAAACCAACCGGCACAATCTCTGAAAATGCTATGAAAATTGGTCCCATGGTTTCAGAGTTTTGCCAGTTAGAGAAACCACAGACACGGAACCAAATTTGTTCAGAAAGTTCCGAAACGCAAAATGCGAGTGGAAATTTTGATTTTGGGGATAACATTTTTTCAACTTACGGACCCGATGCCTCGTATCATTTTGGTAGGGTGTGCGCATCTGTTCGTCATCCAGTGCACGCCACATACACTCGCACAGTATGTATCACAAATCAGCATCATAATCACAACGCCTCTTTTGCTTTTAATGCTTTTTTATGAGCAATACCATATAACAAGTTGTTAGTTAAATTTTATGAACAAAACCATGAAATAAATTGTTAGTTAAATTCGTTCTATCAATTAATGGTATTCTGGTGTTTTGATTAATTTTCTGCCAAACCATTTTTCGACCAAATGAAACGATTTTTATAAAAACCCGTGAATTTTTGTTCTCATTTAATTTGGTTTACATTAAAGTAGCAGGTTGTAATTAATATCACCCCAAAAATACATACAGTTTGAATTAAAAATATGAGTGTCCTGTTCTTTTTTCTTTGATTGTAGTCAACACTATTCGACAAAAATTTGGACAATGGGGAACTTGGTTGCATCGTGTAATGTAGAGTAGGATAGCCATTGCGGCCAGATGGAAAATTGTATATAGAATTTGCGACGGGTGGCTTTGGTTGACGTGTTTCATTTTTTTGTTTGGATGTGTTATTTATATTTAACATGTTAGACCATTTTGTACGTATTTCAAATGTAATATTACTGTTAATAATTTACACTGAGGATAAGATAATTATAGTTAAAATAGAAATGGTACTACAGATGAACCTTAGTTTGGCCACATCTCATCACTTTAAGAAATGACCAAACAGCACATCAATCCCTCCATCGACTGCAAAAGGAAACTCAAAATTTAAAATTGAAAATATAAATGATTGAAGTGATAAAAATTAAAGATCATATTATTCTAAATGTAATTGTAATTTCTGTCATTAATCACTGTTTTTATTCTAGGATGAAAGAATTCTAAATCTGGAGAAAGCAGTCTTTTCTGCATCGCTTTGAGGATGTAATAGTTATCTTCGTTAAAAAGTTTATACAAATACCATAATTTTATTTTTGGACATATTTTTTTCTTGTTTTTTTTTTTTAAAGACATTTCCTATTTTAAACATATTCGTTTTGATCTATGTAAGTTTATTTAACATTTTTAAAATAATATATTTGTAATTATTCGTTAGAATTTTTAATGACTAAACCTATGATGGTAACAGTTGATAGCCGCATAGAATGTGTATCCAACTAATTGTGATATTGTTAAGTGCATAATTTACCTTATTACAATAATATTTCCTAAAATTATATTTCTTTCAGTTAATGTTTTGTCTATTGAAAAAATAATTTGTCAAATGTATGGGAATCAGTTGTTTAGTATTGAAAATATATTGGTGTTGAATTAAACTGTATTTGTAAATAAATATATTAACGAGGATCATTTTTGAAGAACAAAACCACTTACTACAATTAAATTGACTTTATTATACATTTTTGAAATTAAAAGTAGTCTTAACGTATAACCAATTTCACTAGATTCTCCTTTATTGGTCCTGTTAAAAGAAAAAATTATAAATTACAAGATTATAACTAAACATTCTATACTCTATACTTTGTTAGTATTGACAAATAATTTTAATTACTGGTGGATTCAAAAGTCGCAGAAAATCCGATTCCTCCATAATTAAAAGTTGTTTCATAAACGAGAAGAACTTTGTTTGTCCGGCCAGTAAACAATGCCGGTTCATCCTGTAAAAGTAAAATCAAATGAAGCAATAGTTAAATAAGATAATAGGTATTGCATATAATGTTCGATTTGTTTCGATTCATTGGAAAATTCGAGACGAATTGAATTTTAAACATTATTTTGGAGTGGATCAATGTGCGGCTGTAAAAAAATTTAGCTTAGTTTTTGATTGTATTTATTTCATCAGGGCCTGTAGGTTTGCAACGGTTACAATTATACTCATTTACCTGAGGTGGATTAAGGCATAATATATAATTTTAAAAAACCACAAATTTTAATATAAATTATTGTAATAAAAGGACATTTATGTAATTTGGTAACTTGCTAATGAATCATTTTTAGAATTTTATAAATCAGTGCAAAATCTGGCTTTTCCAATACCAAAATATTTGCATCTATCTTCGGTTCACCTAATAACTATCTAAACAAAATCATACCCAACCACTTACTGTGAGTAGGAATATCTTTTTTAAAAAAAGGGATTGAACACACTAATCACTACAGGTCTTTGCATGGTTTGCTCTTATTAAATGGATGTTTTGAGTATGGTGGATTTGTGGCAGAATAAAGAGTAGTCTATGACTACTGTTTATAAAGTGAATGGTGACAAGAGTGGCATAATACTAAATCCCCTCATGCATTGCCAATTCTTTTCACTGTGTGTAAAATTTAAGTTGGTGATGTATTTATTAGCATGAATGAGAGACCTCATTCGAACATTGAATACCCTGAGTACCACCAAATTAAAAGGCTTTTCATGCCTGCTTATTTCTTATTGAGTGAATGTATTAGCTTGAATGTTTTGACTATGTGTAGGTGTGAGGCAGAATAGTCTTATGTTTATGGAGTGTGACAAGGCACCGGCCTAATATTAAATACCCTGGTGACTTGCCACTTCTTTTTAACTGTATATGAAATTTAGGTTTGTTATGTATCTATTAGTGTGAATGAGTTCAAAAGTGAGTACCCTGAGATACTTAGATTAGGTGTACAATAGTGTGTGTGAGATAAATATTTTATGAGAGATGACGTCTACAATTTAAGATTGCAATGCCCACTTATGGAAGTGCTTCATCTCTGCTACTGCCAAAACGAGATGTAGAAAAGGACATGACACCATGGAAGCCAGCAGGCCAAAAAAATTAATTAATTATATAATAATGCATAACACGTATGAAAAGGTTAAAACTGAAATGTAATCAACATATAAATAAAAAGGTCAACTCCAATCCTGCTGTCCAAAGTTAAATAGCATTAATACAAAACACAGAATGTACACGAGATGATCCATTCCAACATAACATTTTTGATTATTTCTACTTTCATAATACTGAAAGACTTAATAAAAAGATAAAAAATCACTACTACTTACATCACCACAATATTTTACCCTAAATTGTTGGTTTTCGTTAATAATGTCAAACAGTTGTAAGTAGTCAGTTTGGCAAGAATTAAGACTTAAACCAAAAGCTGAAAATTTTTGAAACAATTTTGTTAGGTTTGTTTCATTTTGCAGTACTTCTTAAACAGATTTATGTATACCACCTTTGAAAGTTATCTGAGGTACAGTATTAACTGGGACTTCGATCAGCCACTTGCACGACAAATTTTTCATGTTACCGGGGTAAAATGGACTGGTGAAAGCTCCAGCGCTGCCGACCAACTTTCCTCCGCATCCTTGCCCTGTTGATAATTAAATATTAATGATAATGAACTTAATGAACTTGATCTTGCATTACCTTTATCCGTCGAGGTATAAGAGAGGTCAAATATTGGCTGTTGTACCGCACGTTTATTTACCTTAGTTTGTACGACGACAAAATTATGAGGTGAAAATATTGGCATATTTGGTGCATTATGACCACAAATTTTTTTAAGCTCAGTCAAGTTCTTTCCGCTTAACACCTATAAATTAATATAATTCATTCCAATTTATTATATGTATGTGAAAATTATAAATTGATCAATTATATGATGTAGGCATATGACTTGGTTCACAAGAGGCAAAAAGACATGGCAATATCCAATATTAGATGCTTTTAGCTCCAAACTAATTTAGGAATATAATGTCTGTCTTTGCTGGATTTTTTTTTGTGTGTGTTTTTCTTCTGAAATGATAAAAGGTCTTTCTCTACTCCAATAAGTAAACTACTTATATTTTAGTTCCAATACTTTAATTTGTACTTCATGATGTTCCCAGAGAATGCCAGATGCTTGAACTGGTTATAATTTATTTTCCATGCAATGCAACTCTATGCACAGGAGGTGATAAAGAAGAATATGGTGCATGGATTTGACATACTTTTGGATAGTTAGGCAGCTATAATAGCACTCAATTTTTATGCTTTGATCTCCAAACAAGTCTGGGAATGCCTGAATTGCCTAGTGGCTGTAGCAAAACATAAAACTTATATTGTGGTGTGCTCTAGAAAGAAAGTTTATCCAGAAATACAGACAGAAATGAACTAGCAAAAAAAAGCCCTCATAAAAATAGCTTGAGAAAGAAAAACTCAAGCATTGGACAAACGTATTGGGTATAAAGAAAGCCAAGAGATTTATAAATTTCTTCCTTAGGACTTATAAATTTCTCTTTCGCTCAGCCGACAATATTATAAGCCTCTATACCAGTCACTGGTGTCTTAACTATCATCTTAAGCAGATGGACAAAGCAGAGACAGGAAAGAACCAATGGTTCAGGAAAGAACCAATGGTTCAGGAAGAACCATTCATCAGCACATAAACCTTTGTGATGAAGCATTAGCCCAGTTACGGCACAGTAACTTTGGTGAGGCAATTCTCATACTAAGATAATTATGCGAAGAGGCAGTGAGGAAAGTGCTTAGTTTTGTAGGGAAAAAGTCTAGATTTTAGTATGGTTTTGTCTCAAGTGATGCAAGCCTATGAGAAGCGTGCCCATATAAACTGCCTTTTTTATTTATAAGTTATTATGTTGAATTTAAAGTTAACAAAAGTCAATTTGAAAGTGTTAGCCTTTAAATTTTTCAACATCACATTCATCTTCAAGGACAAACTTGGTTCTAAATTTGAATAATTTTCAGGGTTAAAAAAAATAAATACGTATTTTTTCTCAATGAGGAGGGTGTAGACATAATGACAGCAACATTTTACATTTTTCGGCAAGCAATGCATTTTAAATTATCTAACCTGAAAATAAGCCACTTATAAACCAAGTGATGAGAAGAAAAATCACAGAAATGTTATTAATTCATTCATCAAATTCATAATGACATTATTACCGTTATTGATGATGTATCACAATCACCGCTGGGCAAATTAATTTCCCTAAAATGTATGGAAATAAAGGTTTTCGGTGGTGTATAAATTTCTATGTTGCAGCTTCCATACACAATGTTAACCCTTCCTTGTTGGCTAGTATAGTTGTCTTTGCAAACTTTAAAAATAGCAAATATCCATTTTAAATATTTAAAGTAATCAAAAATAATAGTTGAAAAATGATTATTTTTAAAAATAACTTACACTTGGACATAATCGTGAGGTTGAAACCACTGTTAGACACTTCGGAATTGCTGTTAAAACTGATTAACACAATCGCAGTTGATGAGTAGTAATTAATGCTTTCATTTCCACAGAAAATCGGTTTTGGATTCTTATCTATATTCTAACAAAAAAAAACCCTGATTTTTAGCCTTAAAAAATGTAAATTGCCAATTTTTTGCCTTTTAATTAAAAACACAGAGTGACAATATTATTTTATACACATACATATATAATTTGTAATGATATAAATGAAATTAATTGAGTTGCATGTCAAGAACAAAATAGTTTTGTTTCTTTGTTAAATGGACAAAAAAAATCTTGGAATCATACAAACACAATTAATTAATATGAGATATGCCAGTGATATATCCATTATGGATTTATCTGCAAGGAAGCTTCGCACCTCCTAGGGATCTCGGTAGCCAAGTTGTTAGGGAATATGACTCGTACTTGTCATGCTAGCTATTTGGGTTCAAATACAGACAGCATCTTTATCAAAAATTGCTCATATTGTAGCAATAATACCATGCTTCCTGAGGATATTGGGCAAGTGCCCTATATTGAACTAAGTAAGCATTTTGATCATCTCCCTAGATGCAAGAAGCAAATTTCAGACAACATGGAACCCTCAGAAAATAAAAAACGTTCTCTTTCCTTTTCAAATTGTATAATGAATTGCTGCCTTACAACTCTTTCCATGGTACACAGTTTAACCTGTTCACACATTAGTTTTAGTAACCAGCAAAAATCAGCTAATTGTAAGGATGAAATACTAGCTTTATCAATGAGTATGATGGTATAGTTTAGTTCTTACAGAAAAACCATTCTGAGTGTCTAACTTTATGCAAAAAGGATTTTCTGTCGGCAACCATTACGACCTGGAGGATTATGGTGAAATATTCTGGCAAACAATTTAGAAATCAGTATTTAGCTCACAGGCTAATCTATTCCATTGGGAGACCCAGAAAATACTTTTTTTAATAATTTCAAAAGCTTCAAATCTGACAGATGACAAACAAAAAGTTCAAGAACTTTCTGTATATATGAGAAATGATGTCTCAATATATTTGAAAAAATCAGGTCAGCAGAAGATACCAAATAGAACATGACATTTTGTGTTAAGTATGGTAAACCAAATATAATTTTCTTAAAAAATCGATACAACTTTTCTGCAGTGGCCAAATGGTAAAGGCTTCCAACTATTTTTTAAGGCTTTTTAAAAATATATGAAAAATGTATGTTTGACCCCTTGTTTGCACCACCTAGTAATTAGTTGGACATTAAGCACTCACAATGACAGGAATTTCTTTACATTTTAATATAAAATGTACATAAATTTTCTTGCACTTCCACATTGACTTTTGCAGGCACCTTGTTGTTTTCTGAAGGTCCTCTTCACTTAACCGCTTCACTTAGAGCAGTGGTTCCCAAACTTTTTTGACCCATGGACCACTTTTTATAATCAAAAATTACACACAGACCCCCAAGTGAAAAAGCCACATAAATGCAAAATATAAAAATTACAAATAAAAAAAAAAGATTTGTTGAAGAAGTATTTTTGAAATTATAAATTATAAATATATATAAATTATATTATTAATTACTTTTGTTTAAAATAAAATATAAAAAAATTAATGACTTGGATGAACGTGATGAGATGTTATGAGTGTATAATTTCTAATCGGTTTCTTTCTTTTGTGATGAGGATCATAACAGCACTGAATCCATGTTCTACCAAATAGGAAGACGGGGAAGCTGTGAACAACTTCTGTACAATAACCCATAATGCAGGATATTCAATTGAGATTTGTTTTTGTAACCAGAATTTGTGGTATCCTTGTACAAACATTGGTTTCAGTTCCTCATTTCAATATGCTGCTCCTGTATTATTATGGATTCATCTGTGTATGGGATCTGAGTTTGTCCACGTGCAAAAGGTTTCAACACCCAGTCGGGAATGCCCAAGTGAAAAATATCTTCCAATCTTTGGTTCAGGTCTGTATGAAGAGCCGTTATGTGTTGACAGTAAGGAAGCAAATCTTCATCTCTAATTTGCAATTTCGAAAGATTTGGAAACTGAACCCAAGATTTGTTTGTAAAGAAAAAGTTTTGCAACAAATGCAGATATTACTCTTTTAGTTTTGATTGAATTTAATTGGTCACCTTGTAGTTTTAAATTAGTTTCGTTAAATTTGGCAAATAAATCAGACATATAGGCTGTCATTTTTTCAGTTAATTAAATTGTGTCGCAAATCATTTTCTTTGGTTTCTAGGAATTCCAACACTGAATCAAAGAGCACATAAAATCGATTTAAACACGCACTTTTAGATAATCAACGTACTTCTGTTTTATATTATATTATTACTTATATTATATTATTTTATATCAAACCTTGCATGGACACCCTGACGTTGTTCAGAGACCCCCAAATCAATTTTAATTTTCCACGGACCCCCTGAATGATACCAGGGACCTCTGGGGGTCTGTAGGGACCACTTTGGGAACCATTGACTTAGAGTGTCAAAGTATAACAAATTTTTATTATTCTAAATCACACACATTTTAAGAGACCAGCTGGTAGCCACAAATACAAGATCCCGTAGTAAGTTGTATATTACGAGGTAATAAACAAATTAAAACAAATTGTTTGGTGCTGCTTTACATAAGAATAGTTTCCCTTTGGGAACTTGCAATATAAAAAAATCCTACTTTTTAGCAAATAGACACTCAAAAGTTGGGTCTCTGGTAAGAAAATATTAAATTTTGATGAATGTTATTCATCGTGAACAGAATTTTCATCATTGGGTTGATGCATCACACGTTTTTATGTTAATTTATGGTCCATATGTAATGAATGGTGTCTTCAAGCACTTTTGAGAATAAGATGTATATTTTTTTAATTACCCCCCTCCCTCTCTGGCCAGTTTTGGTCTTTGGGCATAGAAGTCAACATATTATGTTTCAAAGATGTCCTAGTTTCAAATCAAATAATTTTTTTTTACCCATTTAATAAATACTGTACTGTATATTATTGTTTAGGTAAATTCCAGCAGATTTTCTTTATTTATGAAAGACGCCTTTCACTCACCTTGTGAGGATCAAAGCCTTCGAAACAGAATAGAGTTTGTTTTTGTGTTCGCTCTATTCTGTTTTGTTTTAACAAAGTCTGATGAAGCTCAAAAAGAGAGTGAAAGATATCTTTCATAAATAAAGAAAATCTGCTAGAATAAAAAGTTTTTTGAATTTATCTACACAATAATATACAATGAGGTTCCATTGCAAAGTGTGCATACTTTAAAACAAATACTGTATTAAATATATTATTACAACAAAAACCTGTTCCAATTTGAAGACAATTAGTATTTTAAAATCAACCAAAATATGGGTAAATAGTTTTTTTATCTTCAAAAATATCTCTGCCTTGATTTGTTTTCAAACGTTAATTTTTTTTTTAATGTTACTCATAAAAGTTTCAATATTTGTAAAGAGATAAGAAATATAGAAGAATATTGCCTACCGAGTTTCCGACATCTTCAATTTCTAAGTAGTCTGCTTCACATAATTCTGTCTCTTCGATATCAACATTATTACTACGAATCTGAATTATCTTCGAATTTGTTATTAACCGCCAAATGCAATGTAGATTTGCCGGGTATGCTGCTGGATAGTTTGGTGAAGTAAGGGTTGTAGGTTGATCAGTTATGTTCAGTAATGTGACTCCACACACATCTAAAACCAATCAGTATCAATATCTTCAAAGATTTATTAAATTAAATACATACCGTGGAAAGAAGTAATGTGAGAATACAATGTTGCGTTTGTGTTTGGTTTAGCTCGTAGTATGATTCTAATAACCGACTGAACAGTTGTGTCATAAATGGGAGAACATGTTTCAATGAGTGGTTCATCCTTTCTGTTCAGGTTATCGTGTATCTAAAGCATAAAATCATATTTTTAATAAGCACATTTATTTTTTATTAATTTGCTATTACTTCTATACAAATAGGAGAAGCACTTGGTGAAGAAACGCTGAAATTCAGGTATTTAATAAGGATGTTCCCCCTTGGAGCAGTGATGTACCAATCACACTGGAGTGGAAGTGTAGAATTAATTGTGAGATTGAAACTTTTGCCCAGTGTCATTGGGCCTCCACAGGCCCTGGATGGAGCTTTAAATCAAAATTTTAATATTATTATACTTGTATAATATACATAGAAATTTTAGTAACTAACCTTCAACAAAGAACACATCTATCCCAACTGTGCTATTTTTTGTGCGTTTGTCAAGCTCAATAACTGCCTCTTTTGTTTTTGTTTCGAATACTTCAGATTTCACATTGCCACACAGAGTTGCGAGATTTGTTTTGTTTTTACTTGACACCCCACCGTCCCAAATCTTAATATATTCCATCGAACATTCCGACGAAACGGTTAGACCCATGGACCAAATCCTGTGGGGGGGATAAAGAAGTCAATATTCACAACCTTGATGGTCAACAAAAGTTTCATGAAATTCTTGCCTAACAGCGACAATAGCTGAATCTGGAGCTATTACGTTCCAATCACATTTCGCTTCTGAAGAAAAAGTTAAACTCTTCGGTGATGTCAAGTTTCCTCCACAATCTATAACGTATGATTATTACAGAGTGGTATGTTTCATCATGGTAATAAATGAACTATAATGAATATATTGACAACATATAACGTTATATTTTTAATTAAGAGGCTTAATTTAAACTTAAAAAACGATTTTTCTTAAACATAATCTTTTATTTTCTTGTTGTAATTATGTTAAAGATTGCTATTATCCATAGAAGATTTATTCATTTAGTAATGAATCTTAAAAAAAATAGATAAATTTACCATAAGTGTAGTACTGCAAGAAAAAGCCAGGAAACTCTTTGGCATTGTTTGTTTTAAAAATGACATTAAAGGCATCTTTGGCCATAAAATCTGGAGGAATGTTTTGGCCACAATATTTGCTATTTATTTTTTTGTTTTTTAAATTAGCAATAATTCTGATGTAGTCTGTTGTGCAGATAAAATGGGTTTCTAAAATAAAATAAAATAAGTAAACAATAATGAAAAAAAAAAAAAAAAAACTACGCATTTGTTAATGTAAAAAGTCAGAACCATCTTGTAAATGAAAGGCTTCAAAATGAGCTTTTATATAATTGCCAGGAGAGATAATGGTGTAGTTACAAGTTAAGTTCTTAAAATAATTATCTGGGTATCCAGGTGAAGTAATATATTCGACATCTGATTGAGCATAAAGCAAACCGCCACAAGATGTTTTCCATTCCAACTGTAAAATAAATTTAAAAAAAAAGATTAAAAATCTGAAGAAAGAAGAATTGTTTAAATAAATACCTTAAATCCTCTACCAGAAATATTTTCATTTGTTCTGAATAAAATTTTCATTTTATGAGATGATGAGGATTTTTGAATGCCTACGCCCCTACCGCACTGTCTACCTAAAGACACCCACTGTGAGTCTACATAATCAAAAAACTGTGGACAAAAAAAAAAGTTTTAATATATATCTTTATATTTTGCTCTTTTCTAACTTACTTCAACAAAATCATTTTTGCATAATGGACTCTCTTCTAATTGAAAACCATTGACTAAGTTTGCAACGATGTGAGAGTCACGCTTGACGATAATGATCCATTCACACTCGCTGTTATTACTGTATGAATTTGGATAGTTGGGAGAAATAATTGTTCCATTTTCTCCTTCTATAAGATCGCCGCAATCTATAAAGTTTAATTTATTATGTGTTACTTTTTGTTTTTAATAATAACATCAGAATTATAGCATTTTATCTGACAAAACTGGTCAGGTGTACGTATGTTGAGCAAAATATTTATGATAAAATTTGAATTGGCTTTTAAGAGAGTGATAAAACAAAATAAAATAATTATTTAAAATGGAGACGTACTTACCACCACTGGATGGCAAAACTGTAATGTTAAATATTTGTTTTGATTTTTTTGCAGTCGTGTAAAAATGGACCCAAGTATACTTGGCACTCGTTCCAAATGTATGCGTATTTTGTTTTCCACAGTATTTGCCGAGGGACACAGCCATACCTGTCGCACCGTTTCTTACCTCCAGATAATTGTCATCACAACTATCTTCAAAGAGCAACTCAGTGAGCACAATCTGAAATAGATTTTTTAAATTGTAAACTTTTTGCTTGAGAAAAGTGGAAATTGGAAGAAATTGTGAAAAGAAAACCAAAATCATTTATAAATCATGCAAATTAATTAAAATTATTTTATAGTATGGGCTTTTGCTTATTAAACTTAAATAGAAAGTGCAGCTCGTTTTAAATATACATCATGCTTTTGGGCCAAGCCCTGCATATGTGTACAGCATGTAGAGAAAGGCTGGTCAATGTGTTCCACTTAATTAAAAGGGTGCAAATAATTGACTCTATTGACCCTATTTGATTTTTGGAAGAAACAGTGGTGATTTATAGTATATTGTACTGATATCTCATTTTGTTTTCCCATTTGTGTTTATTGGGAGAGAATGTATTAGCATAAATGAGACGTGTGAGAGGGGCGATGGAGGAATATTGAGTACTCCATTGCCATTAGATTAGTTATATAATGTGGGGGATGAAGGAATATCAAGCAATCCACTACTGCAACTGAGAAAATTTTATGTAAATAGGAAATGTATTTGACAGTGAGTGAGAGCGTGATTTTAAATATAAAAACTGCATACTTTGTGGACTGAAATGGCCTAGCTGTTGACATAGACTATAGCCTTGATCGCAGAACGGATAAGATCGTGGTCCGACCCTGAACTGCTAAAATCCGAAGTGGGTGATTCTCATCTGACAGCAATTTTTGTAAAATTGATATTAGAACAGTTCTGCCCAGATTTGAGCTTATATAAATCAGTAAATGCCAATGTAACATTTGGTTTAACACTTGCTGCAAGTGGTTTTTTAGTTACCTTGCAATATGATAATGATAATTATAAAAACAGAAACAAATATAGAATGAATATGGCATAAAAGATGCCAAAACATTGCTAAATAGTAAAAACCATAGTTTCATAAAAAAAAAAAAAAATTTACACTGTTATGGTATACAAAAAAGAACTGCTCTGTTAATAAAAAAAATATATAAAAAAAAAGTTTTAAACACACATGCCTTTACAGGTTGTAGACTGTGTTGTAAAACCCAGACACAATCATAAGGAAAGGGCTGTTCAATTGGTAACCTAGGAATGACAAGATTATTCTCATTTTCTAACACACCACCACATGCGTTCAATCTCCATGAAATTCTCAATTTAACATCCACGAGTGGGCTATTTTCTTTGTACGAACCCTGAACCTAAAAGAATTTTTTATATTAGTCATCCAGTCATTTCTGATAAAATGAAAAGAAAATGTACCAATATCTTTGCCTCGTTATATGGCACGAATACGGTGACTGGGAATTTTGAGGAAATATCGTCGGATCTGGCTAAGATCTTGATATCTTCAAAATACAAGTACTGTTACTTAAATTGACTTGAATAAATCATCTATACTAACTTACCACCTGTGTACACAATTATTTTAATTCTATGGTTTTTCTCATACTCAGGATTTATAGTGTTATTGAATGAGAAAACAACTGTTCCAGATGAATTTTTCTTTGTATACTGCCATAAACACTCAAAGGATGGAACAGAGGATGCAAGTTGAGACTCAACTGACCCAACTTCACCTTCTATGTACTTGCTGCAAGCTATTAACACGTATAAAAACTACATTATGATTAATACAATGTTCAATTTTAAGCATAATTAATTTTTAGAGTGAGATTAATTAATTTACAGTTTTTATTATTTTTTAAACATTGTTTTAAATTAAAATTATATACAGGGTGAGTTTAACATCTGCTGCCTTGTTTTTATTTTATTTATTTATTTTTATTTCTTATTTTGAATATAACCCCTAGGTATGTAAACTTTTATTTCTTATTTTGTTTCTCATAAATTAAAAAGTTTTGATCTAACTCTCGCGGATAGCGAATTAAGAATAGAGCTCAACTATTTCAAATGGCGAGATAGTCATCAATGTAAATTTTTGAAGGTGTTTTGATACGGAATTCAATAGTGGTGCAATGGTTTTTTTTAATTTGAAGCAAATGTTATGAATTTATTTTCAAAAAACTATTTCTGAACCTTGTTTTTTGGAAAAACAAAATCCCCAATTTCTTTAACCATAAACCAATTTATTTACTATCATTTTAATTGATAGTAAATTAATTGTTCATGGTACCAAAAGAAAAACTTTGCAATAAACAAGTGACTCAGAGGACACTTTGGAATGTAAATTTCTACCTGAAATTACAAATTTTCAATATTTTTTAAAATCACCCCCCCCCAAAAAAAAAAATAATAATAATAATAATAATAACATTTACAAATTCCAAAACTCTATCACAAAAATATAAAATATAATAAATGACGGGATATTAATTTTAAAATACATATAAAGTAGAGTCACACTAGCCCAATTTCAGGAGATGATTTGCATTTTCTAGTTAAATTTAAAATATATTAATAACCATTTATTGAGGTTAAGATCTTGTCCACTATAAACTCTACTAGCAATTTTGTTGTACTTTTACGCTTAAAAAGTGAGATTTGAAGTCTGCAGGCTGGTGGGCCTGTAATTTGGTAATTTCTGAACATTTTGGTCTGCCTATCTTCAACTTTTTGCCATCTTCAGTGTAAACTTTTAAACAAGATTATTGTATTTTTAAAAATGGCAGGAAACATGTCTGGCAATAAAAAAGCAAAATGATCAGTAACAATTAAACGCTTTTACCCTTGTAAAGTATTTTAAAAGTCCATCTTTTAGCTGTGTCTAAACATCCAACTCTTAATTAAGTAAGTCTGTTTTACTCTTTGCTCCTGCACTATCCCAGTTAACTAATCTGAAAAGGTATTGGTCCCAATTGTTCCAAAAACTTGAAAGACTCCACTGTATGAAAGATTCAATTGATTGAATGATAATCAAATTACAAAGTTTTGGGTGTTTTAAACATTTGAAAACAATTTCTTTATCGTGACACGTTTCAATTTTTATTGAGATCATCTTCAGGGCTCAAAGTGTTTGTCTTCTGTGTAACATTTACACAGAAGACCACTTTGAAAACAATGTTGCTACATAAATTAACAAATAAAAAATCCTTCAGCTGAGCAGTTTTGGTCTTTGTTAAAAGTGAACCCTTGGACCAAAGAGTTTATGACACTAAATAAAATAGGTAAACTTTTTGCATTGAATCAGTTGATTTAAAATTTTCTTACGTGCTGGCTCAAACGTTGTGTAGTAAGCTTTGAATCCATGGTACAAACTACACCTTTTGCAGGTATACGATATAAACATTATATTCGAAGTTGATTCCACCGTGGTGCCATTTGGTTGAATACCATTCAGTACTTTTATGATTTCTCCATCAACATTGTAGAACTAAATTAAGATTTGTTAATCTTTGTTAAGAAGCGTTTTAAATTTACAAAATGATAAATTAAAAAAAAAAAAAAATAGTTACTTTGACTGAATTTTGATCACTCTTACTACTGGGAAGATTGAAATCGGAAAATGTAAGTTTGACCTTTTTTCCAAATTGGCCTTTTATTTTCCACTGGCAATAAATATTCCAACCCTGAAATGTATAACCTGGGGAAACTATTGACCCTTCATTAAATAGAAGATTATGTCTGCATTCTGCAACACATGAGAATGTAACCACACTTAAAAATTGTATTGAAAATTTTCAGGAAATAGTTACTTGTAACTTTTTTTGATAACTCAATCGAAAAATCTGGTATTTTTCCTTCACCACTGTTGTATGTTATTCGACACCTGCTTATTTCTAGTTCATACTTTGATTCATCGTCTGAGCTGTATAAGTACATGTTATGATCTAAAATTATTATATATTTTATGTATGCACAGTTAACGATATACTTTACATAATTTAACAAAGTTCACTTTATTTATCTGAAGTTTTGCTAAATTGTCTAAATTACTATAGAAGCAGATTAAAACCAAATTACCATATAGTTCATTCTTTATAGTGAACAAAGGTTGTTTTTTTATTGAATACGGCATATCTTTTTTAAGACCAGATAATACCAAATTATACGACTCTCCTGGTTCCCCTCGTAACAACCAGGTGCAATTTCTATTATGCGTCTTTAATTCATTAGAATCAATTTTATAACTTGTTTCAAATATGGTTCCTCCGCATGTTGCTGAAATAGTAAAACACAAATGAGAAATGTACTAAAAATCTAATAAAAATTAATTAATTACAAATTTACATAGTGAAATAGAAGCTGTGAATCCATCATTGGGATTATCTATCCCCGTAAAATATTTTATGAACAGTGCATTCCCTTCAGTTTGAATAGTAGGTGGTTGTTGCGAGCAGTACCTTCCGATTAAAGTTCCCAGTTCTGAGCTGCCTTCACGAAGCTCTAGGTATTCAAAATGACATCTGAAAGAAGAATTTTGTCTAAATATGGCTCTTAGAGTCAAAATATAACAAATATTAACTCGTTATCATATGCCATGTTAATTCTTTCAGTCAGGTGAAAGCTAATGCTTTTCCCACGGTCCGTAAAGACGATCCATTTACACTCAATATGAGCGGGAGGTACATTCGGATAATTTGGAGAACTAATTGTTACTGCGCTCACATCGTTGTCTCCCGTCAATAAAATGTTTTCATTGCCGCAACGATGTGATACCGTCTTGTAAGACAGTTCCATTTCCTGATAAAGGAATAAAACATTTAATGTTAACTGTTTGAGCCATTGATTATAAATTTAATTTACCAACTCATCTTCAAAAGTTATTATGTTAAGAAGGATATAGGCCCTGTTACTATTAGTCTCTGGAACTTCTACTGGTTCACAATATTTCCCTTGGCCTAAGAGGGGTGAATCTGAATAACCACCATTTCTTATCTTTGAAAAAAATAATATAAACATAGATTAATGTTTGAATGTGAATGCAATGTTAATTGTAATGAGTGCGATTACCATTAAATGACTCTTTGAACAAGAATGATCTGAAAATTCAATTTTCTTAAAATGTATTTTTATTGTATGCCCTTGTTTAACCGTGATGTTCCATTGACAGCTGGCAACAGGCTGATGAAATTTGGCTGTAGGTGAATTCAAAATCTTAGCATACGAAATAATTCCTTGTGGACTTGTTAGTCTCCCACCACATTCTAATTAACAAAACAAAAAATCATACTATTTTCTATCAAGCATTTTATAACAAAAACAAATACATTAAACAAATAAATAATCATTTTTATCAATTAGCTAGGTATACAGGGTGTCCCAGTTCCTTCTGATGAAACTCAAGGAATCGATTCTACTCTTCGTTTGGAGCAAAAAATGCTCAGGAGAAAATTTTCGGAAAGTTCTCTATTTTGAAGATATTTGTCAATTTAGGTTTTTTCAACTTTTCACTACCTTACCACATAAAAACGCTTACAACTTCCAAAATGTTGAGACTACAACAAATCCAATTACACCATTTGAAAGAATGCTAAATTTGCTGTAAGATACTTTTATTTGCAATAATCTGAATGACATAAAATGTTAGCCAATATCAGTTGAAACATGTCAAAATTACAAAATTTAAAATTTTGGTCTTGATTGCAATTCTACTGGTTACAAAAAAATACCTACAACTTGTCAAATTTCACAAAAACTTCTTCATCTAATATGCTTTACATTGATATATCCAGGTTTTTAAATAAAGTTCTAGTAGAGTTGAAAAATCAACGTAAAGCATATTAGATGAACTTTTTCTGAATTTGAAACTTTATGTCATTCAGATTATTGCAAATAGAAGTATTTTACAGCAAATTTAGCGTTCTTTCAAATGGTGTAATTGGATTTATTGTAGTCTCAACATTTTGGAAGTTGTAAGCGTTTTTATGTGGTCAAATAGTGAAAAGTTGAAAAAACCTAAATTGACGAATATCTTCAAAATAGAGAACTTTCTAAAAATTTTCTCCTCAGCATTTTTTGCTCCAAACAAAGAGTAGAATCGATTTTCTGAGTTTGATCAGAAGGAACTGAGACACCCTATAGAATAACTTTAACTTGACGTTACCAATTGTTGCTGTAGCTGAAAATCCAACTTCTTTAACAAACACCCAATAGTTTTTTACTTTATAAACCACTTTGGCTACCTTGCCACTACGGAATGGAAGCAAGATGTCACTGTCATGACACAAAGTGGCGATTTTTTCGTCATTTCTGTCAACCCCATCATCCACTGAAATCAATAGTCAGTAAATAAATTTATATTTGAGATTAAAAAAGGGTACTTACAATTGTATATATTTATGTCGGCATCACATCTACCACTGGGCCCTTCAAATTTTATTGAATTAAACCGAATAACAATATGGTTTTGTGGGTCAGTTTCAAAAATCCATTCACATTTGAGTTCAGACATAGCTGATCTACCAAACTTGTATGTACTATTTTTTGTTGTAAGGTATATCCTTGTATTACAGGTTCCTGAAACAGTTAATAGTTATAATGATTATAGTATAATTAAAAGGTTATAAATTAAATTTAAACTGTACCACTTTTATTTTTGGAAATATTAGGATTGTATTTTTTATCCAGTTGTTGCCAACTTAAGAAAAACCTCGATTTGTGTGGTTTTATGCTTATTAAGACAACTTTAGTAGTTGAAGTAAATTGTGGTTCCTCCTCACAAACGACTTTTAAAACAGGATCGCTTGTACTGAAGCCGTTGTAAAACTTTAAAAAAATTTAAATCAATTTCATTCACAATTAGTATTTTATTTTTTTCCCCCCATTTACCTTCAGACAATATTCAGACGGATCTTCATCAGGGCTGAGAAGTAAGTTGAAATTTTTGATTTCAAAATGTATTACTGAGTCATCATCAGTGATAATTTTCCAGGTAAATGTTTTACTCGAAGAATAAAAGTTTGGATTATGAGGGTTTGCGATCTCTCCCGAAGATCCGTATAATACTATTTCATTATCTATATAAAAATTTTCACTGTTAATTAGTGTTTATATAAGTAAAATACATTTTGACATAATTGTAACCAAATAACCTGTTACTTAATAAGACCCATGACATAGCTGTAAAGGCAATGTATATGCCAAAATCTTTGCAGAAGAACTTGGGGGCTAATTTCTAAAACGATCCTAGGTCATACCATACGATTGTCAAACCCATGGTCTCATATGAAAGTTATTTATGGTGGCCAAAAATAGAACAAAGAAAGACAAAGGAACTACTAAAAAAATTCAAAAGCATACCTTAGCAAAGCTGCAATGGAACATATACTTTAGCTGCCACCCGTATCTATATGTCAAAAGAATGGCGAGAATTGAGAATTCATCGGGCAGTGGAAACAAGATAAACCAAGAGCTATTCCATGGTGTGCAAACGGCCCAAAATTAAATGGGTATGAGTATGAAGGGGCCTGACTATGAGCACCACATGGTCGTCAGCCCCACCAAAACCACCTTTCAATCCAAACTGCTAGCCACAGAAAAAAATGTGCTCATAAAATAAATATCAAACATCTCAATGGTGATACGATTAATAATAACATTCGAAAACCACTCTAAAGGATCTCCAAGCCTATGAGATCAATCAATTTATCTGAAACTGCCTAAATAACCTACATTAATAGAACAACATCAAAAAGGAACTAGAATTTTCTGGTAATTAAAGAACGCAACAAATACTGGGAGTGTAAACATGAAGCAAACAAAAAGACTACTTGCTACTAAATGAATAGTAAAGGAATAAAAACTTTAACTGGTACATTTACAGGACATGCTCCAATAAAAAATAATTAAATAATCGATACAACAGTGTACAACAGAAACTATTTTGCAGTAATATATCCACTTAAAAAAAGAGCTTTGTCAGTACCTAATGGGCCTATCCTAACCCATCCAACAAAAATAAATGTAGAAACTTTTTGGTAAGAATACAATAACATATTCTATATGTTCTATATATATATATATATATAATGAAATCATACATAAGGTTTTATGTCATGATGTACTTACTAAGGATATAATCCATTTTGAATCCTTTTCCAGATCCATTTTCTGCGCTTTTGAACATAATCCATATGGACGTTTTACTGCGAAAACTGGCCGGGAGTGTATTGTTGCAAAACAAGCCAAGCAATTTTCCTTCCCAGTTGTTCTCTCGTATTTCTATATACTCTTCATTACAGTCTGGTTTTTCAAATTGTATCATGGAAAACTGGTAGATAAGTTCGTTTCCTAAAATTATACTTTTTTTTGCATATGTAATTCAAAAGCATTTTGTTTTAAGACTTACCTGGACTTACATTTATGGTCCAGATGCATTCACTATTACGTGGATAATTGTCGGGAAAATTAGGTGAAACTATTTGGCCTTTATCAGAAGTAAAGTTTCCTCCACATGCTAAATAATAAAATAATAATAACTACAAGAATATATGTTCACGTTTTAATTAGCACATCCTTTTAAAAAGAGAAGAAGATGTAGTATTACAAAAATGTTTATACTCAATAGATATTACAGTTTTTTAGTTTAAAGTTATATAGTGCTGAAAGCAGCATAATGTAAGTTAGGTTAAACGGTTCATGGTTTAAAATATGACCATCAAACTAAACTAACTCCTTAAATCTTTAAAAGATCAGATGATGTGGAATGTAGTCAAATAGTCCTTTTTTATTTGTTATAATGGATGATTTGTTATAAAAGAAATTTTAAATGAAACTTCCTTTTTTTGCCAACTAGTTTCAATGCATGAAATCATCCAGAGCTCTAACCATAGGAATTAATAATGTAACATTTCAATTTTTATTTAAAAGGTTTAGCTTTACTCTCTCAATCAACTCTTTCATTTAAAATTTCCTTTATAACAAATTGTGGAAAGATAAATAATAAATAAAAAATAAAAATAAAAAAAGACTATCTAACTACTTAAAATTGTCTATTTAATCATTTTTAGAACTTATTCGATATATGTAATATATCTCGGAAAAAATGTTAACTTCTTTAAGGCACTTAATTGTTAAGTTGAACTTTTTAAAATACCTGTATCAAGAAAAGAATAATCCAAAGTAAAATAAGCATAGTGTTTTTCTTTAAATTCAATTGTGACTTTGTTTGTTGATAAAATAATTGGTGGCGGTAACTCATTATCATGAAGGGTCTTGACCAACAGTGTGGATGAGGTGTTGTCTCCAGCAAAAATATTTATGTATGTCATTTCAGTTGAAGTTTTTAAATGGAGGGTAGTGAAAGTTAGAATAATTTTCTTTCCTGATTAAAAAAAAAAAAAAAAAATCAAATAAACTAGTAAAAATCCTTTGGTATGGTGGATTGGATTAGACACTAACTGTTATTTTCAGAATAAATTGTCCAAGTACAGACAGAATCTGATTTTGAATCAACTGGATTTGCTTCTCTAGATTGCAAAGTCCCTCCTTGATATGTTGTGATTTTTCCACCGCAAATCTAAAATTGATAAAGTTTCCAATCGTATATAAAATAGCTAACTTAGTACTTACTGTAGTGTAAGATGCGACGAATCCAAATAAGGGCTTGATTTCACGTGCAAAATATACAATTCGCAATTTATTTCCAGTTGAAACTAAATTCAAAGGTGGTTTGTCCTCATAGCAGAACTGGCCAAGATTTCTATCTGAATCGAATATCTGTCCAAAATGGTTTAAGTTAATAACTGTTCATTTGTTCACTCTTTCTTGCATACTTCTATGAAGCTCAACATGCAGTTTTGTATGTTTAAGTTTGTGAAGGTTAGGTTGATTCTTGATGTTTCACTTGTAGTTATTATGTACTCGCAACGACTTATGTTGTTATAGCCATTTGGATAGTTCAGGGAATGAAAAGACCCTGAAGAAGCTGAATACATTGCTACGCAGCCTGAAACATTTCCAACAAAGTAAAGATGAAATTTAAATACAGTTTTTCAGCAAATATATTTTTATTTTTAAAACATTGTGTGTGTGTGTGTGTGTGCGCATGCGTGTGCGTGCGTGCATGCGTGCATGCGTGCATGTGTGTGTGTGTGTGTGTGTGTGTGTGTGTGTGTGTGTGTGGTGAGTCTTACTTATTTATTTTTTAAATTGGCACTTACCTTCCTTTGTTGTGAATGTTGCATGAAATCCTTTAAATCTATTAACAGCAGTACCATTGAATCGTACAAAAGCATAATTATTCAGAGAACTGACAACAATGGGAGATTGTATCTTGGAATGGCAAACATTAGAAACTAAATGAGCTTGGTCATTTTTCCCTCCGTAAATCTGAAATAAGATAATATTTAGGCTGAAAATGTTTAGTTAATCAATTTTTAAACTACCCAAAACTGTGATTTATTAAAAAAAAATAAATTAAATATATCATTGCATTAATGAGCTTACTTTCAAATAATCATGCGTACAATTTTCATAATTGTCCAAATTCATATCATCGATTGTAAAAACAATAGTTTTGTAAAGAGGAACTGAAATGAACCACTCACAAACTATTGATTTGTTGTAAGCATGGGGATATCCTGGTGATGCGATCTCTCCTGACTCTTTATTTCTGAAAACCTCTCCGCACCCTAAAAATTGTATTCGGTATGATTCAGTTTTCAAATAAAAAATAGGTAGTCCAAAGAGAACTACCTGAGACTTCCCATTCCATGCGAAATCCACTTTTTCCGATATCAGACGACGTGACAAAATTGACAAACACACGGTTCACGTGCGAATCAATCAACGGAATGTCATTTCCTGAGCAGTGTCTTTTCAGTAGCATCCCTGTTGGTTGGTTGTCTTCAGTACCTTCAGTTATCTAAAATTTAATCATTTAAACACAGAAATCAATTTTCTGATGTAAAATATTTCTAGCTCACTTCAAGATAGTTATGTGAACAGTTGTTCACGCCAGTTGTCTTGTATTCCATTGTGAAATGTGATACTCTCATTTTAATTGTGTTGCCTAATGGAGCAACTAAAGTCCACATACAATTTTCCTCAAGACCATATGATGAAGGAAAATTGGGAGATTCAATTACACCAAAAGGAAACCCAGAAATTGTGCGGTTGCATACTAAAAATTGGTAAATTATTATTATTTTAATTGTCTTACTTTTATAAAAGTAGAATTTAATTATTTATTATAAGAATAAAATCATTTTAATTATAATCAGGACCAGGGGGGGGCCTCAGTAGCCGAGTGGTTAGCGTGAGAGACTCTCAGCTCGTAGACCCCGCAGACGTGGGTTCAGGGTTCAATTCCCACCATCGCCTCTGGCCCTTTTTTCACGATACCCATGCATAGTACATAAAGCCATTAAAAAAGAAAAAAAATCAGGACCGCAATGAAAAGAATGATTTAATATAAATCTTTCCTTCTCTTTGTCACTTAGGCAGTTTCTCAGTTAAACTAACTTTTAATTTACAGTTGTAAGTGCCATGGCAATGTCTAAACCATTGCAGCAACTGATGCCCAATGTAATTTCATTACAAGCAAGAGAGACCATCATGACCGAGTAGTTAGGTGTCAGCTTTTTTGTCAAGTGGTAAATTTACAATCAATTATGAAATAACAAATTTATGATTATTTTATTATTGGGTTAAATATAAATTTATATAAAAAGAAAACTCAATGCTGTTTTCTTGTAAAAGACTAAATAATTAATAAAATTAAAAACTGCTCTATGCAAGAATTTGAGTATATCAATTCAATAGACGAAAACGAACAGTTTGTGAGTAGACCTATCATTTGCAATATAGAAGTTTTACTTACCTGTTTGATAAATAATCTGCATTGACCCATAAAAGTGAAACCCTATCTGTGCACGATATTCAATGACTATATTATTGTCACTGATGTCCCATTTTTCAAGATTGCAAACTCCAATCGTTTTTCTAGCACCTTTGCTATCATGTACAATGATATAATTTCCACAGGCCAAATTTTTGTTAATGATATTGAGTTGAATTGAATTCCCACCAGAAGTAGATATTTTCCACATACAATATTTGACAGATGTTACGTCTATCACTCCAGAAGAAGAATTGAAATGACCACCACAATCTGAAAAATGAGAATAGCTGGTAAACAAGAGAACAGAAAAGATTTATTCTTTAAGCTACCTCGGCCATTTTCTTTTAAATTACACAATACAATATTTCTAAAATTTACCTAATAGTTGTGCACATTATATTATTTGCTTTCTCTTATTTGTTGTGTTTAAAAAGCAATTTTTCTACTTCTCAATGAAATATATTGATGAATGTGTTATAAATAAACCTCACCAGAAGACAAGAGATCCCAAGAAAGTTTGAATCCTTTCCCGGTGACTGCATGGTTTGTTTTAAAGCTCAGATATACAGCATTTGCTTGAGAATGAATTTCTTTGGGATATTGTTTAGAACAGTACTTTCCAATCACAGGTGAATATCTGGTTCCACCATTCCTGAATGAATTGAAATAACATTATTAAAATTCACTAGTTTTCGTGGTCCGCTTTACCAATTGATATCTTTCAATTAATTAAGGTTTATTTCAACTAAAACCCTTAATTAATTGAAAGATTATTAAAAAAATTTAAAAACATTTAAATTTGTAAATACATACCGTATTTTCAAATAGTCGTTACGACAGGATTCACTATTCTCCAGGGCGAAATCATGGATGATCAGTCTGATTCTAGTTCCTTCAGCAACATCTATAACCCAGTCACATTTGTATCCATTTGGATAGTTTTGTGGATAATTTGGGCTCACTATACTCCCAACTGAGGTAATTAAAGTTTTGCGACAGACTAAAAAAATTAATTAAATAAATAATAAAACCATAGAACAAACTGTGATGACTTTCTTACTTGAATCTTCAGCGATTGATTCATAAGCTGCTTCAAACGTCGTAAAAGGGGTACTTTCAATCGCTATTTTGTTTGAAGAAGATACAATATTTGGCCCTTCGTTGATATATCTGAACAATTTCGAATCACACAAATCAAATTCAAATATATTATTAGTGAAAGCAAAATTAAACTTACTTTTTATATTTGTTTTTTGCATTTGAAGGAATATCTTGATAAATTTTTAAATAGCTTCCATCCAAATTGAAGTTATGTAAATAAGTCGACAGATGAATGACATAATTTGGAGGTGCAATAATAATAAACAGGCAAGTTTTTGGGTTACGTTGTTTTAGATTTATCATCCCTTGCAATTTAGTTGTTATATAGCCACATTCTTCATCCAAGACAATAAAAAAAATATATATATTATAAAATATAGTTTACACACAGCCATACTTGGCATAACTTTTATATCACTCCAATTATGTACTTCAATAATTATGTGGCCAAATCATCATAAAGAGATAATTGAGAATGAGAGTGTATTTGTTTAGGTTTATAATTTGAATGAGTTAGAATGGTATGAGATAAATGATAAAAATGGTATGAGCTGGAATAAATGACCTAGCTATCGATAGCCCATGAGCCTAATTTCAGTGAATGGGACAGATGAAATCAATGATTAACCCAAGTGCAAGCAGAAGAGTAGGTTAGATTGTTATTATTATAACCAATTATAATATAATTATACCATGAGATGTAAATAAAATTATTGTCCCACTTAAAGGAAAGTATTATTACTTGGTTCCATATGAAGAGCGTGTAGGAATGCCTCCTAATATAAGAATTTTGCTTAACCATGTTACCTAGTATTTTGATAAAATACTTAACCTAGTATTTTGATCTTATGTTCTGATTTGGATTGCTACTGACAGATATGTTGTTTTGTGTTGCCTTTTATGTATATATACTGAATGTATTTATTAACATGACTGTGTAGTGTGAAAGGGCCAATTGTGGAATATTGAATACCCCATCAACCCTCAAAAAGATTAGTCATGTAATAAAGGGGGGGTCCATAAAGGGTTATGGAGGAATATCAAGTTCTCCACCAAATGTAAATGGAATGTAAATAAGAAAGAAATATTAAAAGAGAGTGTGGTTATTTTTCAAAACTGATGCGTTGGGGGTTGAGATGACCTAGATGTTCACAGCATCTGGAGCCTAAGTCAGGTTTGACCCTGGATTGCCAATACCCGAGGTAATTGATTCTCGTGGCTAGTCAGTATTTCTAAATTACTCAAAAGCAAGTATTGCCAAACAGCTGTGACAAGTCATATACATGTGCGGAATTGAGTTTACATAAATCATTAATCAGTAATAATATTATAATTACTTATTTTTAATAACATACCTAAAGGAACTGATGTGTACGTAATTACTGGACTCTTTTGGTGAAAGTCACGAATAAAATATTTTAGAAAAAGAACATTTAAAGAAGACGTAATTACTTTGTTAGTTGTAATACTGTTAACGAATGTTTCTAAGACAGGAAATTCACTAGAACTCCCATCAAATATCTGTAACAATTATTAAACATTAATGACGATAATAAAAGACACCAAAAATTTTCTGTTTTGGCACAAAAAATAATTATTATTATAATTATAATAAATAATCATTTAATAAAAATGTGTAAGGTAAATTGCTTATTAAATAATTTTACAGTCATTTATAGAAGTATATTAATACTTCAAAATACCTGGTACTGTTATCAGTTATTCAGTCATATTTAGTAGTAAGATACACAATTATCTATCTGTAATTTAATAGTCTCACATCATCCTGGTTTACCTATATTTATAGGTTTGCCCTCACATTTCATTTAGAATTTCAGTCTTTCCACCTCAAAGATAGAGAAATGCCGAAATTTGTCTGACAAACAAATTCAGTGAAAATGGGCAAACCAGGATAATCGGAGATGATCAAACTATACATACATCTCACTGATCTCAACAGATTTAACAGTAATTAAGTAAGATAAAGGATATTTTTAATTATGTAAAATAATTATTAGATTTTGTGAATCTATTTAGGAATGTTAGAATGAAATGAGAAATTTACCTGCATAGGTGATTTAATCTTTACAAATTTGTTGGGCTCTGTTGTTACATAAAGAATAATGCGGTATCCAGGTGGACTCTGTATTGTGAAATAGCAAGTTTTAGTAAAAAACTTGTATGGAAAATAGTTAAATTTGATGGTTCCGTTGGCTTCTTTTATTACTCTCTCACACACTGTGAGGGGGAAAATTGAATCATTAAAAGTGAAAGCTAAATAATTACTAATTTTATTTACCTGTTGTGTACCCAATATCAAAGTTACTTTTATTACTTAAATTGGATCCTTTAAAAATGATTGCAAGAGTATTAGATGAAGATTTAAATGATAGTGCAGAAATATTTCCACACCAACGCCCTATTAGAGGTGCATCTGTATCTGGTCCATCATACACCTTAAAAAAGAATATCAATAAGTATATATCAATAAAATAGAGTATAAATATAGAAAAATATTTTCTAGGCAATAACACAAATACAGTACCTCAAGATTTTCTGGTTTTGAGGAAGTGCAGTTTTCTATTGAGAATTTGTTAAATTCAAGAATAATTTTTATATCTTCTGGCATATCCAATTTCCACATGAAATAAAAATATGGCATAGTTTCTAAGTCAAAACTTGTAAATGAAATATTTCCTTCGGGGTCCTTTAAAGTACTGCCTTTGTTGAGAGGCCCATCAATCTGCTGGTAGAATAGATGAAACCCTTTGCCTTCGTAAAACGGTATATTGTTGGTATAGAAAAGCACAGAAGCTTTATGCCAAGATGAAACAATTGGCCGTGGGATGTTGGAATTACACAGCCGTGCAAGAACCGCTTGAGTCGAATCCTCTGTGAACTTTAAAACAAGATAATTTTTTTTTTTAAATGGACTGCTTAAGACCAATTGGCCAAGAAGTTTGATTTGATGAGGACACTTATTGGACTTGAACCCCTTGAGGCATACAAATCTGCTAAAACATGAATTCATCATACAATAGATTAAAAATAAATCCTCCATTCATAGGGAATGTAGCCTAGGATAGAGGCATAAAAAATGTTTACTAAAGGACCATTGCAGAAACTACCAGCTGAACTACTAAATCTAGGATGAGTTACTGGAAAGAAAATAGTTGGACTGGTAACTGGACACTACAGACTCTGGAGACATATGTATAGATTTGGAGTGGCAGAAAGAAGAAGTGTCAGTGGAACATGTCCTGTGTTGGTGAAAAGGCTGAGATTCCTTCCTGGAAAACCACAATCCTGACAGAAACACACGGGTGCCCTTGAAAAGCTTTCGAATCTATTAAAAAGTCTTAAATTTAAAAAGGAGCTCTAGACAATGGATATACACAATAGACCAATAGTGGTCACAGTTCACAAGTCATAAAGATGACAACTACTATAATCCTTAATCTTAATCTTACCATTTACAACTAAGTCCTTAGAAGATTACAGACAGTCCTTAGAAGACTACCGATCCCAATCCAATGGAAATTTTCAATTATTTATTGAAACCCATTCCCAAACAGAAAAACCTCAATATATCCCTATGTCATATTACCCCATCAGTTTACTGACATTAGATGTCAAAATCCTTGAAAATCTTCGTAAATATCTATTTGTTCCAACTTCATTCCAATCAATCAATTTTGGCAACATTACTCTATGATTTATCAGGGTGGTAAACAACATAGCACCCTCTTGAAAGCAGAAAGATGTTGCTTGGGTCCTTTCTTAGAAATTAGGCATGATTTTGAGCCACTTTAAGTGTTTAAGCTTCTTCTGGAAACTTAAGGACTCTTATTATCTCATCCTACAATCCTATCTATCTGATAGGTACTTCACATATGGACTTCCCTCTCATCCACTATGCCAACACAGGTGGGGATATGGTAAGAAGTCGTAAGTTTAACAAGGAGCTCTAGAAAAAATTGAAGTGCACTGTATGAAGATTAACACTGGTTGTGGTGTGCACTCATAAACTTTCCTATTCTAATTTTAATCTTTGTACTAGGATTAGAAAATTAGAAATAGAAAAAACTTGATAGCAAAACCAAAATATTTAACCAAAATCAATGAATCTTCTAACAAAAATAAGATATAGATGTTTATCTCTTTATAACTATGAATGTTCAAAAGTAGGATTAGCTTATTAATTTTAATTGAAAAATGATATTGTAGTAATAGTAATAAATTATTAAATTAAAATATGTTTAAACAGATTTTATGCTGGTAGATCAGTAAGAAATTATCTCATACCTGTAAGTAATCTTGGTTACAGTTCTCATCGCTTTTGATATCCAATGTGTAAACGGTAAATTTAATTCTTTTTCCCAACTCCGCATTTATAACCCAGACGCAATTCAAATTTTTTGGGTACAACCCAGGATATCCAGGTGATTTTAATGTCGCACCTTCTTTAGTTGCGGTTAAGTAATGGTCTCCGCAGCCTGTAAAATTATGAAGCAATAATCGCACGATTTAAGCTGTTCAAAGCAAAAATAGTAAATACTCGTTTCAACAGTTGTCCATGTTAAGCTGAATTCGACGTCTTCAGCTAGAAAGCCACCGGCCTCGATTACTACAATGTTGTTACTAGAAGTGAACAGTTTTGGAAGTATAGTTCCGCAGTATTCATGAAGTAATAACATTCCATCATAAAGCTGTAATATTACAATTCGTATTTTAAATATATGCTATACAAATCTATTCATTCTATAAGTAATCTCTCAAAATTTATTCTTAATATTATATAAAAATAAATATTTAGAACTAGCATAATATTATTTAAAATAATATCTTGAAACTAAAGACTTTTACAAAAAAGTACCTTAACCATGGGGTCCTTTCTATCTTGACATTTTTCAGGAAATTTAAGGGTCAAAAATTTGATACTCAAAACTTTGCCAAACTCTGTTTTAATGGTCCATCTGCATAGTTTCTGACCAACGTTATGGCTGTATGTTAATTTCCGACTCAACGTGCCATTCAATGTCGTGAATGTTTCCACACAATCTAAAATAAAAATGAAGTGCATATATGTGTGAGTTTTTAAGAGCCTTTTATTTTTACACTGCTTACTTTATTGTAAAACTAAGCATAGCTCCAGAAATTTTTTTCTGTAGAATCTGCAGGTGATATCAGAAGTTTAATGTTTCCGTGCTAGCCCGACTTAGTGACCAAATTTTTTTCAAGTGTAATATTTTTTTAACACGTTTAGATAAATCTTTTCCATTCTAAAAACATCGATATCAAAAACCCAAAACATCAATTTATTCTGAAGAAATTGAAGTTTTCCTTCAGAATGTGATAAATTTTAATTTATCTTGTAATGTTAAAAAAAGGGAAAATTGAAAGTTTAATTTGTGTTGATTTATATTTTCATATTTTTAGATGTAAAATTTCAATATCACCAGATCAAATCAATGACTTTTTGATTTTCTGGTGTTTTTAGAAAGGAAAGGACTATTCAAATGTGTTCAAAAAATTAGCATTTCACTTGGGAAAAAAAGTTGGCCAAATGCAAAGAATGAAAAGAACTGTCCAAATGTGTTTAAAAAAATTCCTCCTCAAAAATTCATCAATTTTTTCAGAAGTTATTAATATTTATAATAGTTATTATATAATTTCAGTTTATTGCATAACAGGTTAAAAAAGGGGAAAATTTAATTTGTATTTTTTTTAACCTAACAGCAATAAGTTACATAATAAATTGAAATTATCAAGTTCTAAAGTAATTAGATTTCAATATCTCCAGAAAAAAATCAACCTTGTTTTAAATCTTTTTTTAATTTTTATTTTTAGAAAAAAAAGTACTCAAAATGTGTAAAGAAAATTAACCTCAACAATTCATTCATTCATTCTGGAGTTATTAAATTTTTTGTACAAAATTGATTATTTCAATTTTTTTTAAATTATCACCAGGCGGCTTAGTATGCAAAATTATTAAAATTTTAATAGCACCAGCAGATTCTATATGAAAAATTAACTTACTTAATTTTACAATAACATAGGCAGCATAAAAATAAATGGCCATGTCTTTTATAAAAACTCACAAGGTTAGAGACAAAATATCTAACACTATGAATAAAAATGCAATATTTTATATTAAGTCATCTCCAATCAACCTGATCTACCTTCATATTATTGTCATCAGTACAAAGCTGTGAAATGTTGAATGAAACTGTAACTGTAAGACAAGAGTGAGGATAGGCCAGGAGAATTGGAGACTGCGTATTATATTACATTCAACATTGAATGAATAATTAGAACAACCATTTTCTTGCATACCATTTTCTTCAAATTCACAATGATGTCCTGAGAATCCTGGTGAACAATGGCATCGGAAAGAATTTTTCATCACAATTTCACAGCTGCCTCCATTTAGGCATGGTCTAGTAAAGCAAGAATCGTGTGTTTCACTACAGTTTTTCCCTGAACAGATAGACGAGCTTTTTTGTTGTAAATTCTTGAGTTTCAAGTATATCTAGAGATGGCTTGCCTATGAATTTTGGAGGGCAGAAGCACGTGTAATCGTCCTTGTCAGCAGCTGGAACACAGCTTCCTCCATTCTGGCAGGGTTTTAAAGAGCATCTGTCAATAGATGACAGTTTTTCCATGCATCCGTTAGTTCCTTTTCCAGTGCCTATATAGCCAAAAGGGCACCGGCATAAAACCTCGCTCATACCTGCATACAGTTCTTATATAAGTTCTTATATATATAACAGATACAAATTATATTTTTTACCTGTACTGTGTATGCAGGTTGCGTCTTGGTTGCAACCACCATTGTTGACTAAGCACAAATTGGGTACAAATGTACAAGTTTTTCCATCCCCCGAATAACCAGATGGACAAGCCTGACACATACTAGTTCCCTATATATTCAAAAAATAAATAAACAGTAATTAAATTTTATATAGTTACAGTCCACTCTGGATGGAAATTTCACTACAGTAAATACATGTGAAACAGAGATGAATAATTTGAAAACAGCATAAAGTCAATAATTTATATGTGAAAAAATTTACTCCAATAAAAATATAATTATACACACATCAAAAAATTATATGAAGATAACCAACACTTTTTCTATTTTCTTTCTTATAGTCTAACGTTTCTACATTTTTGAATCGCAAGTAAAAATTTCCATTTGATTTGTATGTATTGATATGAACCCCCAAGGTACATAAAAAGAGTTCATTTTATGTTTTGTAAATATTTTGGGTTTGAATTCAGACCCAGGACCCTTAGAGTGTTGAGTCACTGCCTTAACTCCTTATGGTTTGATTTTAAATTCGAAATAATAAAAATAAATATGAAAGCAAAAAAATTAGAATGTTGAAATGACATTAAGTAATCAAGCAAATGAGTACAGACCCTTAAGTTAATACATTCCACTTTAGGATTTATGCTGCAACCACCATTGTTTATCTCACATTCATTGATGTCAGCACATTGATGCCCATTTCCAGAATATCCTTGATCATAAAACCGTAAATTATTGCACCTGTTATGGAATAATTTTATAGTGTTTTATTAAATATACCCTCAGGGCATGATTTGCACTTGTATCCTCCAACGGTATTTTCACAAGCTACTAATGGATCGTGAGAGCACGGAGAAGCAAGTGCACATTCATCAATGTCTTCAGTGCATGGATCACTTTCCTTAGTGCTATTTTTCCCCCATCCCTACATTTTTAAATTAAAAGCACATTAATCATCAATTTTATAAAGTACACTGATATATCAAATTATAAATAGCAACTGTGTTTATTTTTGAATGCTGTGTTGAAACTTATGTATCTTACCTGATCACATTTGCAAACGAATCCAGTACTATTGCCACCCTGATTGTAACAAAAGCCGTGGCCGCACAAGGCTGCGGAATTTTCCTTTGTACAATTGTACGTTTTTTTGGTACAAGTCACTCCAAAAAAACCATCAGAACAGTTGCATCTATAAGACCCAGGTAAATTGATACATGTCGCTCCATTTTGACATCCAAGATCAGTTCCATGAAACTTTTCACATTCATTAACATCAGCATTACAGAATTTCCCCTTAAAAAAAAGTTTGCAGGTGTTGAACACAAAATTTGGATTTCTGTAATTCAATTTTCGGTTGCTTACTTCCCAGTTGTTTGGACAAAGGCAGAACGTGCCATTTATACCATCCAGACATGTTCCACCATTATTACAGGGGCTGAAATTGCATTCATTAATTGATAGGGTGGAAGTAATGTTTGAATACTTATTTCTCATCGCGTCAACCTCCAAACAAAAAGTAAAATGTCATTTTGGTATACTTTTATACAAGGTACTATAATAAAAACTTTTCACAATCATTAAATCAGTTAATAACTTACAGATTTCGTTAATCGCTCAATTATCCTTTCATATCTTTTTGCCAACTGAAAAAGTTTGGATTTTTTATTAGTAAATAAATCAATTCATTTAATTGAATTTTAAAATATTGTTTTTCTTAATAGAACAATAAATGGTTATAAATAATATAAAGAACTAAACACACAATTCTTGTATTAGCAGCCAAACTACTTTTATTTGCGGGCGATCCAAACAGTTCTTCAAAAAATGTAAACTTTTGTAGATGCGTTGCAAATGTATCTTGTATTTCTTTTAGCTTTGGTTCAATTAGATTCGTCTTATAATTGTTTATATTTCTTAACAACGCAAAAGCTGATTCTGCCTGCAATTAGAATTCAGATCATTTTAAATCATCAATAAGGTTGAACATTGTAAAACATTGAAAGGTGTTTTTTTTTTTTAAATAAAGTATGAAACTTGTCGCCATTTTTATAATCAATCTAATGAAATTTACCGAATCCAATATTTCCCCAATATCTTCATCATTTGCAGTAATATAACCTTTGTTACTTGTCAAATAGATGTCACGATCTTTAGCACCGATCACTTTTATAGTTCTGTGCTCTCCAATTATAATAGGCCTAAAAAATGACTATTTTAATGTTAGTAGTTAAATAAACATTGTATAAATAATGGATTTAGGCTTAAGTAAATATATATTAATAAGTGTTTACATTTCTATAGTAAAGCGTTCAACATACAAATACAGTAGTCTCGCTAGTTTGCACTGCAATTAATGGTCCCCTGCAATCTCAATGGGCCGATCCCTGTTCTGATTGGCGTAACCAATAAAAGAGAAGCAAGGGATAGTTTTGTGGGCACACCGATGTAGGTGATATGCACACATCCATGTTCAAAAATGGGCAGGCAAAATTTGAAAAATAGGACAAGGGTGAAATTTTATTTAACAATTTTTGGATCATTTTGGCCTGCCTAACCCTTATAAGTTTTAGCTTGTTGGGTGCGATTCAGCAACTTGCCTTCAGCTTTTAATAATACTTTTATTTAAAACCTGCAAATATGGCAGCAAGCTGAAACGCATCTGAAAGACCAAAACGTTCGGAAAGGATCAAACTACAGGCCCATCATTATGCATCATTATTCAGCTTCAGAATTTTATGGTGAAAGTACAATTGAAATTTGGCTGTAGAGTTTGGAGTGAGCAAAGCCACAATAACTGACCATTAATAATATTTAAATTTAACTGGAAAATACAAATAAAAACATTTTATCCGCTGACCAGATAGCATTAGATTAGTAGGACTTTTCTGTATTTCCTTCAAAAAAGTAATAATGAATTGTATTGGCAGATTTCAAATTTTTTCAGCTTTTGGAAGTTTCTCAAGATAACTAAAACGTCAACTAAATATTACATAAGCCATTTGGTTATAACATTTTCAAATCAATTAACTGTACATAGTTTGGGTGACAAAGTGATTTTTTTTTTTTTTTAATTCACAAATTCAAAAACAGGCACAGGATGAGTAAGCGGTTAAGATACAATGGTAGGTGTACTGATGGAAAGTACTCTTTGGTAAAGGGTTAATTTTTTCTGAACCATGTTAATCACTGATTAATATTCTACGTTAATTTTCAGCGATGAAATGCTGCTAGGCACTTCCAACAAATCTCGTCACATTTTAAGAGAAGAATAAGAATTCAGAAAGATTCACCACAAGTGAATTGTTCTTCGATGTCTTAAGTTGTGGATTAAATTGAAAAATCACGCTCCTGAAACGTTTACATTAAGTCGATAGTTACTGAAAACGCCTCGAAGAGGTAAAAAAGAAAATATTTACGCATGGATTTGAATGTTTAGAAAATAAATATGAAGAAATTAAGCGTTCATCGATCTTACACTGACTGTTAATTTAAATTAAACTATATGAAACAGAAAATGGCGGATAGCGTTGTTGAATTGTTCTAACATTTGTCTTAATATAAACATAGAACTATTAATCCACCTATATTTAGTAAAGAAACACAGTTACAAAAACAAATAGTAACTTACCGGTTGCCATAAGATAAAACAAAAATGTGATGGCATGGAAAAAGAAAAAGGCAAAAGAAGAACTGGCGGATCGATTTAGCCATTGATCCGGCCGCGTGTAGTTTCTGGTTTCGTTGAATTTAACAAATTTCCTTTGTTACTGGAAACGACCGACAATGGTGACTGGGACTGCAAGCCGTGTGGAACAATTATCTGTAAATTATCGTTCTGACGCCCATTTTAACCAGACTCCGCGATATCGACGTGATCTCGCCAGCAGATTGCGACCCATTCAAAATAAGAACCGTTAATTATTCTAAAACGACATAATACGGTTCACTGAGAAACGGAGAACATTATGTGACATATTCATGTTGATTTTAATAATATATAGCAAATTAGACACCGACAGCAATATGGTTTCAAAATGGCCGAAGTTTTCTTATGATGGAAAGAAATTAAATTTTAAGCAAAATTTGATTTGTTTAAAACACTTCTTGCCTGCACTTTAAAGTTTAAGATCAGTAGAGTAACAAGATAAAAAGCCTTGCATTTTTAAACTGGAGAATTTAATACAATCAATGTGGCCAATAAAGTTTAATTTGTGGTCAAAAATAACACCAAAGTGAAAGGGTTTTAGGGTCAGTTTTAGAAAAGAGAGCAGTATTTTTTTTCTCAATGTGGACTATAAAGTTTAATTTGTAATCAAAAATAACACCAAGGTCTTTAGTGTTAGTTTTAGAAGAGAGAGCAGTATTATTATTTATTATTTTAAAGGGCATCCAACAACTTGGGCATTTCAACCCTGAGCACATGTGAAATATAACAACACACATTCAATATGCATTCACACAAATAAATACATTCACATCTAGTGAGGAAATGTAGTACTCAAGATCCCTCCCTTGACCTGCATACAGTAGCAAACTAATCTGAGGTACTTTTATAAATATACTGCCATCGACCCGAGGCAATGGGGATGCTATTTCATCATCAGCCCTCCCCATTCACTCTAATAAATACATTCACGCATACAAAACACAGAAAAACAAAGCACATATTTTGACGGCTATATTCATTAAGCTGTATTATTGACAGAGTAAGTGAAGATAGGATTAGTTTTAGTCCAGTAAAAAGTCATTATTTAGCATTTGTCAATATTGAGAAACAGGTGATACAATATTTGATTTTCTAATGATGAAATTTGCTTAAATTAATTTAGTAAATTGCTTTTACATCTACATTTTTTAACGAGTTAACATGTTAATTGTTGTTGTTCTTGGTATAAAACTGAATTTGGAATAATTAGTTCTATGGCAATCAATGGAGTCAATAGAGGATGTTATTTGACTTTTAGAATGATAAGATGGAACATGAAAGTTAATTCGGTTAAGTAGTAATGGTCAAGTTAAGGAGTGTAATAAATTATATAATAATATGAATCTCAGCTGGAGAAAAAAAAATTAGTAGGATTAATACGGGAAAAAGATAAGAAAAGAAATGTAAAGCTAAGGAAGGCTGGTGATGACCAATGTAGTTTGCCAGCTCTAAAACTTTAAAAAAAATTCCTTCTGTACAGACGTCATCAATTTCAGATCTGATATTAGCGACGAGTGTGGTGTATCTCCATATATTCCAGTTTTTCTCTCTATCAGGCATAAAAATCTTTTTTGGACCGTTTCTATGCAACTGATATGGGTGGATTGAAATGGATCCCATAGAGGTGAACGATAATCTAATACACGTCTTAAGTGGAAGTGTGTAAAATTTTAAGTGCATCTCTATCATGGAAATGTTTAATAACAAGAAATAAATCTTAAAGTTTTATTTGCTTTAGCTTGCTTTATTTTTTATTAATGGGTATGTGAAAGTTTATCTGACTGTCAATTATGATAATAAAACCTTTAACAATTTCATGTCTAATTAGGAGCAAGTCTGATATAATGTAGTTAAATTTTATAGGATATTTTATTTTATGGAATGTCATAACTGAACATTTGTCAGAATTTGAAATAGTATTATTAGTTGAATACCAATTATTAAGTTTTTCTAAGGCATGTTGAAGTTTAAGCATCAGAAACAGGATTAATTTTTAAATAATATTTTTAAATCATCTGCAAAAAGTAGGGTCATAAAAGAGAAGAGAATTAGAGATATCCTTTATATAGATATTAAAAAGATAAGGCCCTAAGAGTGAATAGCATAGAGCATTCAAGTCAGATTGAAGAAGTAATAGGCATGAAAACTTTTAAGTTATCAGTATTGAGATCAGTCCATTTTAGAATAGAAGAAATGGATGTAATTATTAATAAGAGAGGAGAGAGAATAGCACCTTGGGGAGCACCAGCATAAACTTATCTTACTTGAGTCTGACTGCCTAGTACAACAATCTGTTTATTGTTAGTTAAATAACTAGGAATTCAGTAAACAAGAACTTTTAAAACTTTATTATAACTTAAGATTTTCATGCTAAAAAATCAACAAATCAATCTGGTTCAATTCACAATGCTTAAACCAAAACTAAACCCCAAAATTCATTCTTGCTAAATTAAATTTTAAAAAACTGTTTAACCCTCTTATAATGTAAATGCCATAAAATTATATCAAATAATAAATTACATAATTATACATAGAAGAGATACAAAACGTTTTTACCAATATCTTGTTCACGTTAGGCTTATATAAATCTTTGGGTAGAACCGTCATTTACAAAAAGTGAATCTACATATCATAAAATGTCTTGATTATCATGTGTCAAAGATTAAAGCTATTGAAATTATTTATTAAGAATTTAAGAAATAATTTATAAAGAATTTATTAAGAAAAAAATAGACCACCTAATAGAATAGTTTAGAAAATAAAGTAAATTCTAATTGCTCTTTTTCACAGAGTAATCTATGAAGGTGTATGTCAAATGTAAATGGCTCATTTAAAAAAAAATCTAACTTTATTTAATTAATTGTACAAAAATATTTTTTTGTACATATTCTCCTGCCCTAGAAATACATTTTTTCCATTGGATTGGGAGTTTTTTATTGCCTCGTCATAAAAACTTTTGGAACGTTCTCAAATTCATTGGAGCACAATGCTTCCACCGCTTCTTCATCATCAAAACACTCAAAAATATGAGTCACAAGACGACACTATACTAGCGTTTCTTATCTTACTGCATCGAATTTTTCCCTGTGGTTTTTACGGTTCATATGAGAGCTTGCATTGTTATACATAAGAATGACACTTCGAGTTGATTGTTTCTTCCTCATTTTACTTCGAAACAACAATTTTTCAGCATCCAATATTCATAATAATATTGCACAATTGTGTGTCAATCATGCAGAAAGTCAACATGAAAAACTGTCTCATGTTGACCTTGGTTACACTTGTCCTTGGGCTCTCATCGTTCTCTACTTTTTCACGCCCTCCAGAATTTTTTTTGCCAAGCAGTCTCAGCTTCTTGACAAGGTATTGTCCCCGGACTGTGCTTTTAATCGCTTCAAAATTTCGGTTGGATTCACCCCCTTTTTGATTTAAAAAAACTCGGTAATAACTATCAGTACAATTTACCTGACGTCAACCCTGTTCAGGTCTGACCCCGCTTTCATTTTAAGAAAAATCTGTTTATGTTTGATACACCCTTGACTAGAATCATTTCACCACTTCCCTCCAAAAAGTAATGATTACCCACTTTAACAAGAGATCACAGATGGTATCATCAACAATGGCAATATTATAGCGATATTGGTACAAACTGGTGCAATATGTTAGAAAGATATTTACTATAATTTCTTTTTGTCTCCACCTTAGTAAAACTAATAGGTATAAAAGGTGTCAAGTAATAGTGCATCCAACTTGATTAGTTTAAATAATAAATTTAAGGATAGATTTTGGGTTTGGAAGTTTGGATGAGCATAACAATCTATTATTTATTTAATAGTGAAGACATTTTTTTTTCCAAAAAGTATTGGCTCTAACACAATTTCTAACAAAATAGCATAATAAAATTTATATTTACATAAATATTATAGTTAACAATATATACTAGGTATGAATTACAGCTGCTAATTCTTATATGGTATAAAACTAATTTAGTGCAATATAAAACTTATTAATTGACATCAGTGTTTTCATTACCACAATTAAGATCCATTTTTCAAGGCTTATTAAATGGTAATAACCAACGTATTATAATAATAGTTTAAAAAATACATTTGTACTCCATTTTCATATTAATGGTAACAAACACATGTCAATTTGTAGTCTTTAAAAAAAGTTGCCAGGCACAACGGCTTAATAAGTGTCCATTCCACGTTCAGATCACGTCTCGGGGTAGAGAACATCACGGTAGCGAAGTTTCACATCCCAGTTACTCTTCTTTATGTGTTCCGCCATGGACAAAACATCTTTTTTTGACACCCAAAACCAAGTGTGCAGCTCGCCCAAGACTTTAAGAGAGTCACATGCTATGCACAGAGTGTATGCAGCGTTAATGGTAAGCTTAAAACAAAAATAGATTAATAATTAAATTACGTTCAAATTGTGGAGATGTAAAATAACAATGATTAAATTTAAAAAACTTACAGTTCCACAAGATACAGCGCAGATTTGATATCTTGGATTGAAATACATATGGATACTCAAATAAGCAATGCTCTGTAAAGATTTTGGATTTTCATCTATCATTTGCTGAATGACATCATTTTCGAACATGGCATCTTCCTCAGTGCCTTCTCGTTCAAGTAAGACTTCCAAATGGACTATGTTATCAGCCTGTCGCATTATCCACAGAAACGTGTTTCCTGAGGCAATCCTGACTATGGCACTTTTTAAATTGCTCATCGGATTGTTAGAGCTTCTTGAAGGATCGACAGTCACTTTTGCCACAAGTTCTTCCAAAAGAGGACAGTATAAGGCAATCAAGTTGAGATCTAAACTGTAAACCTGAAATCGCATTGTGAAAAATTTGTTGACAGTTCGTAAAAATAGTACGTACCTGGTCGATCAATACTAAACGAGTTATCGATGAACCGTTGAACTCGAGGAACTCAAAGAGCTGTGGTCCATAATGCACAAAATCAAAATCTGCAGTCAGACTTTTCAAAGGGGGTAAAAAAGGTGGAACCTTCGGCAAACAAGCGGCTCTTGTGTACAAAATGCTCAATTTTGGTAGATATTTTGCAAGTTTGGTCAATTTGTCCAATGGAAGTTGTGTGTCCCAGAGTTCTGTCAGTTCAAGATATTCTGGAGCATTATCCAGCGACTGAACCATCAGAATTGCATCTCCAATGTTTCTATTAAAATCCAAACGATATTCAATACTTTTCTCTAAAGCTTTAATAAACTGAAATACCTTGAATATAGAAATCCGCCAAGACTCTTCAAACACCTGGCAAATATCAACAAAAGCAATACGCTTATTGAAGAAGTATTCGTATCCTGTATTTTCACCTCGCATAATGTCCGGCAAACTTTATTTCTTGTACATTCTGGGAGAAGTGACAAAGATTTGATTGCATGCGGTTCGCAATTTTCTAAATCACTCCAGTTTGAATTGATGAAATTAGACACATCCTAGAAAAATTTAAAAAAATCTAATGTTTTTAAGGAAATATGAATGAATGGCACCTTTAGCAAGAGATCACAGATGCCGGTATCATCAACAAGCCAAGACGACGTTATGTCCAAGTGAGTAAGGTGCTCAGCATATTTTCCCAAAATACTGAGTGATTGGTTGTCAGCACCATTATGCAACGTGAGCACCCGAAGATTGGCAGCCAATCCCCTCCTAAGCACTTTATGCAGACCTTCAGTTAACAATTCTATCCTTGGGGAATTCGACTGCTGCACATGAACCTGAAACATTTGTTTATATTTACAGGTATGAAATGAGTAAATTTATATTTACCTTTAAATTCAATTTCCTTAATCCAATAATATTGGAGTTATTCAGACGAGAAAATAATTCTCCATTTTGAAAATTATGGCCTTGGTAAACTTTCAAAAGCTGTAGTTCTTGAATCGATGAATCAGCAAGCAACTCAACTATGTCCAGAATATCACAAACACTTGACCTAAAATAATAAACCTAATATTACCAAAGTATCAGTATTCAAATTTTTTTACTGCAAGTTAAACACCGACAGGGGAAGGGAAAACATTAAAAAACACACTTTAAAAGTACTACGTTTTTTATTGGCCAATTTTAGGCATATTGATTTGTAAAAACTGTTAGCATTTGTAACATATCAGCAATGATTACTTGGAGATCGTGAGATGCGGTCTGGTGTGACATAGGTTTTAGAAAAATATTTTCTTTATCGTGCCAACGTTTCGATCTTTATTGAGCTCTCAGGGCACTTGAAGGGGCACAACACGACACATCTACAAACAAACACTTTGAGCCCTGAAAATGAACTCAATAAAGATCGAAACGGCACGATAAAGAAAATGTTTTTATAAAACCTACATCACACCAGACTGCATCTCACAATCTCCAAATAATTATATGAAATAGCCATAATAACTAAAACAAATAAAAATAAAATAATAAATTATAGAAAAAGTGGCGACCAGATTATACGGTACAAAACAGTAAAATAGAAATTGTCTGATGAAAATATTAATAGAATCATTTTTTTTTTTTTTTTAAATTGTGGATAGGGTAATTTCATTAACTTAAACATCATCCCTGTTCAGAATTTTGACGCCAAATATGCAAAATTTTGGGCCAAATGTCATCCAATGCTCTAAATCTATTAAAAAAACGACATAATTTTATATTAATTGGAATTGGGTATTTAAACTGATAGTAATTACAATTGTTTTGTTTTTATCCACGGGGTTTGCAATAGCGGAGGCCAAATTAGCCCCTGAGGAGGATGGGTGTTTTTGAGTAAAAAAGCCTATTTGTGAATATGTTCAATACGAATTCAAGCATGCTGAGATTTGTACCCTGGACCCAGGCAGTGATAAGTCACTATGTCAACGTTCTAATCATTGCAGCCACTAATACCCCATCATCACCATTACTTACAGTGGAAAATAAATTTTATTTTCCTTTTTTTTTTAATAATAAGATCTTGGTTACTAACAAGCTCTACTTTTGTACTTAACTTTTTAAGTTACTACTTCTAACAGTCGTGCATCTACTTTACAGTTTTGAATCCTTGTAAACTACTCTACAAAGTTTACCCAAAGAAAATATTTAGATTAGCTGACTACATCACTGGAAGAAACTCAATGTTATTTCCAAAAAGCATTTTACAGTTAAATGTAGAAAACGTGTTATCATTGGACAAGACATGTTTTTTCTTTGTTAAAATCTTTAATAATTTTTTTAATTATATGAAAAACAATCAGTACAGGTAACAAATTTTTTAATATCTCTTTTATTCTAAGGGTGATATTTTCATGATTTGTTTTCTGCTTTCAAGTTACAGATCTTGCAGATTTTCACAGCAAAGTTATTGTTCAACATAGTAAAATCAACTATGCAAAAGGAAAACTTCTGCACAACCAACAGGAAATTTACTAAGCCCCATCCTTTACTGAAAAAATAACCATTAAAATCATTCGAAACATTTATTTTCATCGGTTTCTCAATTCTGATGTGATGACAAATCCAATCAGCATACACACATATGTACAAGTCAGGATAATCTTATACTTTTTATTTACCTTTTTATCCATGTCTATTTATACAAAGATATGATAACACATTTAACAAAATTTAATGAGTATAATTGTACCAATTAAAATAATTCAAAGCAATTTAGTGTATAATTCTATAAACCATTTTTTTTTATAAATCGAGATCCATTTATAATCTCACATTATCTATTTTCATGCACACAAAATAAAACATTGACGCTCATTTACACGCAGATTTCCAATGCCATTAAACACTAACCCCAAAAATATTTTATTTATTTCCTTCTTTTCTCTTGTTATTATCTCATTGTTTACAATAAGTTAATAAGTCTTTGCAGTAAGAGCTCAATATAAAAAAAAATATATATATTTAATATTTATTGGTTCTACTGACATGATTACGCACCCTCCAACAATCGTTTTATTGATAGATAGCTCTAAACTGGCAAATTAAATGAGTTAAAAAATAATAATAATTACGACTTTTTATTTCACAGCACACTAATTATCAAGGCAGTGAAACAGTGAAAAATTGTAAAGTATTTAAATACCCATAATCAGAAACGGCTTTATCAATGATGTGCTCCCTGATTCCGCCGTGTAGTAAATTGATTAGGTGTTTTCTCAGAGGTTCCAAATCTTTTTCCCTATTTTTTAATATTTCATAAATGGTCTTCAAGACTTGGTCAACCGCATAGTTGTACAGACTGCGAACTGGCTTCAACGGTGACATTCTGCAAACAAATATTAAAGATAATAAATTTATATTAAAAGAGTATCTAGTTAGTAAGTACTATGTCATAATACACATGAGTACAAAAATATAAAATATGTGAGAAGGAATGATAAAAATTTAATTAAACAACAGAAATATATAAACAAATCAAATGCAATTGCCATGATCAATATTTTTGTTTAAATTTTTAATGTGATTTAAGGAAAGGTAAAAAGTGCCAAGATGTAAAGGAACGCATTTCTCATTTTCATGAGTCAAAATCGGACTAAATAAATTTAAAAAATGTATAATTAGATTTTGAAAATAATATTTTTTGTCTAATATTACACTCTGGATCACGGAAATTTAGCAAATTGATTAATTATGGGCAGTCAATCATATTATTTAAGAGTTTGTAAGAAAATATCCGGTCATTATTTTGTCGTTTTGTGTTTAGTGGTTGCAATTCTACAGATTTTATAAGTTTGTACGGTGTGTCTAAATACGTTCTAGTAAACCAAAGTGCAAATAAATAGTTGTACATTTTCTATTGAATTATTTGGAATTTTCTGATGAAGAGACCAAACAACTGAACAGTATGCTAAAATGAGACAGGCCACAACCTTAAACAGTTTAATCATTGTTTCTGCACCTTTAAGTTGTTTTGTAGTTCTATGTAAGAAACCTAAAATTTGATTTGCCTTATTGAGATGTAATGTAAATTAAACGTCATGTTGTTAGAGTAGGTGAATCCTCCAAGGTATTTAATGGTACTCTGCCTGTCCAATTTAATGCAAAGAGCATGTAGGAATGCCATCGATATCAAAATTGTGCTTGAGCAGCAAGTATCTGAGTCCCCTGTTCAAATTCTTGGAGTAAACAGGATTGTTTTATTGTAGTAATGATCATTTTGTGTACCTTGTTTGTGGTGAGTGACTGTATTTATTAGCTAGAACTTGTGAGATGGATGGTGGTGAAATATTGAGTCTAATTCAATTGATTAGTAATAGATAAAGTGTGATGTAGGAATTCAAGTGCTCCAACTGAGTTAATGGTATGTAAATAGGAAAGAATGTATTTAGAAAAGAGTGAACGGGTTTGAATTTAGGAACTGATTGCATCAGGTGCTGAATTGATCTAGCTGCATGCAGAGCTCATCCTCAGACTGCCAACACTCGGGGTGGTGATTCTGGAAGTTTACTGGTAATTCATTGTAAAGTACAAAAGTTGTCATTGCCAGTGGACTGTGAGAAGCGATAGGCTCAACTCTATGCCCATGTACATGCGTGTGACGATTGAGCTTTATTGGTTTTATTTTTGAAAGATGTTTATTGGAATTTTCATAAATAAGAATGTGTTGGAACAAATAAGACTCGTCTACTTTTTTACACATTTATTCAAGGCAAGTCCATCCCCAAAATCAATCTTTTTAATAAACAAGTATGAATAATAATAATTAAATATCAGCCTGAAAAAAGAAAAAAAAACGAGATTTCAATGTTTTAATGTTTTTATTTCTTCATTTCAAAAGGATGTAGTTATTGACTAGCAGTTATCAATTAAGGATGTGGATCATACAGGATATAGATATAGATGTGGAACCATCCCTGGAATACATCCACATTTTAATTGGTCAGCAGTCATTTTCAGTGTCAGTCATGTGATTAAGTGGTACCACTTACAGCCTGTTTTGTGTGTGGTTTGTGTAAGCTGTTACTATGTTGCTTTTTACATATCTAACTGGATTTGATTGTCAGTTTTAGTAATTAAGTGAAGTAAATTACTATGTTCTTGTGTACTGTTTTTTAAAATTATATTTGACCTGTCAAGTGACACACAGTCCCAGCATCGAATAAACCAAAACTCTAAGAAGGCAAAAACAGCAAGTATAAGCAGACATTGAAAGAAAAGATTTCAATGTTTTATTTTTGTATTTCTTAATTAGTAAGAATGTAGTAATCGACCAACAGTCCTCAATTATGGATGATCATATTGGATATAGATACAGATGTGATACCACATCTCTCATGTACATCCATATTTCTAAATTGGTCAGCGGTAATTTTTAGTCAGTCATGAACTACTTGGTGCCTTTGATGGTGGTTTGTGTCAGCTGTTATGAATTTTTATGTTGTACAGGTACAATAATTAAATAGCTATTATTGTTGTAGTGTGCTGGTTTTATTGCCATTTGGTCTATTTACAACAATATCTCAAAATGACTCGTAAACGCAATACAGAAGAATCCAAAATACATCTGACAGTCCAAAACAGCTGGGATAAGTGAACCACAATGACTGGATACAACCAACTTTCAGATTCATCATCTAACCACCTTGAAAGAAAATATTTCATTGTTTTATTGTTTGTATATCTTTATTTGTAAGGATGTAATCACCGATGAAGACCTAAATTATGGACCATATTGAATATAGATATACTTAGATGTGGTACCACATCTCTGATGTACATCCATATTTCTCAATTGGTCAGCGGTAATTTTTAGTCAATCATGAACCACTTGGTGCCTTTGATGGTGGTTTATGTCAACCGTTGATTTTTTTTTTTTTATGTTGAACAGGTATACAAATTAAGTAGCTATTATGGTTGTAGTGTGCTGTTTTTATTGCAGTTTGATCTGTTTACAACAATATCTCGAAATGACACACAAACCCAACACAGAAGAATCCGAAAACATCCGACAGACCAAAACAGCTGGGATAAACAAACCAGAATGATCAGATATGATCACCATGCAAGTTTATTATCTAACCACCTTGAATAAAATATCAATGTTTTATTTGTATTTCTTAATTGATCAGCAGTCATTTTCAGCCTGTCTGTCATGTATTTGAAGGCAGCAGAGAAAATATTTATTAATATAAAAACAATAAGTTTAACGTTTATCAATTAAATTAAGCCGCTGTGTTGAACAGGCGTTCAAAACGACGTCAATCTTTTCAATTATCGCTCTCGACCCGTCCAATTAGTAAATCATAGTTATAATAAGAACACACGTGGAAAATATTTTCCGAGAAAAACTTATTCCAGACTAAAACCTGCTAAAAACCGTGTTAATATAGTGATTGAAAGTATAAAAAGTCTCCGTTTAAAAATAAAAATCGAATATCATTTGACGTGTAAAGGCGGTGGTTGTGACCGCATGAAGTTGAAGGTATTTACGCCGACTCTTCAATTGTACTTTTCGTCTGAAAACTTACGTTAGCGTACGCTAGACGGATCGGCGAAAATGCATGACAACGACAGTCGGCGCCTTCGCTTTGTCCCTTCATAAAATAACCCAGACTTTCGAGCCCGGGGAGAAGAATGCAGATCCCAGTCGGACGAATTAGCAGTGTTTTCTTTTTTTTCTCCTCTCACATTCACAGACAGCTGAGGTTGAGGTACAAAAACATTCAGAGGCGGACCCTCATTGGCGATTGGACATCGGTCTCTGCGGGTGTGGCGGAATTGTCCTAAACGCTTACAGACCAACGAGGAGCAGCATACTCATTACAATACTAATAAATACAATAATAATACAATACTACTATATTACTCATGGGAACAAAACACATCTGTTAAAAAAAGTATACAAAAGAAAGGAGAAAAAAATATACAATGCTTAACTAACTCATCATTAATAAAGAATAAAACACTATACATCAATGAAAAAGACAATAAAATCTTTATAAATAAAACAACATGATTTAATTAAACACCCTGTCTATATAATTATAATGACTAGGAATTATAAAAAAATAAAATAATAATATTATAAAGCATTGTAACTACGTACATAGTACATTTTTAGCTTTTTTTTAAGCTAAAAAAATTTTTTATGCTTTAAGTAATTGGCGTTTTAATGAGGAAATAGAAGTATTAAAAAGTATATGCAATAAATCAACAGTATTGCATATGTTGCTAAATTCTATCATCATGCATCATCATTGGGGAGTGTAGTGAACAATTTGTTTCTTTATATTCAATAAAAAATATTTTCAATAATATGCAAACAAACTAAGGATAAAAAAATGTATACAATACAATGCTTATAACTAACTCAACATTAATAAAGAATAAAACATTATACTATATAACAATGAAAAAGACAATAAAATTCTTATAAATAAAACAACATGAAGATTTAATAAAGCACCCTGTCTATATTATTATAACATCTAGGAATTATACAAAAAAAATATTCAGATCTGTAGGATGTGTCAAAAACGATTCTTCACAAAAAAATGTTAATAACTATTTTGCTGGTAGATAATTTATAATTATTGAAACAATAATGTCTTTCTTTCATATTTAGTGTTAGTAGTGAGTTAAAAAGTATTTTTTCTGAGTTTCATACTTAGAGTCAAATTTTTCTTATTTAGTAAATCAATATTTTTCAAAATATTGTATGCATAATTTAGTTTTACAATGTTGTAAAATGATTTTTATATTTAAGTAAGGTTTTTATTTTCATTTGTTTGGTAGACATTTCTGCAAAAAAAAAAAAAACTTGTGCTGTTACGCCCAATTTGAAATCATTGGATGAAACTTTGGTCAAAACGTCACGAAGAACCCAAATTATGCTTTTTCCTTCCCATTTGAACGTATTCCCAAGATCGACCTGTTTCAATTTTTTTTAAAATCTTCTCCCAATTTGAAAGCATTAAAGGATGAATCTGCAGTTTAAAACTTCTCAAAGAACCCAAATTGGACTTTTACTCCCAATTTGAAAGCATTTAAAGGATGAGCCTGCAGTTCAAATTGGTCTCTCTAAAACCATGAAAGGCTGAATCTGTAGTTTAAAACTTATCGAAAAACCAATTTGTGCATTTACTCCCAATTTGAAAGCGTTAGATGAAACTATGGTCAAAACTTCATAAAGAACCCAAATTATGCCTTTTCCATCTCATTTGAACACATTCACAGGATGAACCTTTGATGCAAAATTTCACGTGTTAATCAATTTGAGATATTAATTTTTTTTGTTATTTTCTGCCTATTTGGAAGCTTTTAAATGCTGAACCTGTAGTTTAAAACTTCTTGAAGAATCTAATTTGTGCTTTTACTTCAAATTTGAAAGCGTTAGATGAAACTATGGTCAAAAACTTTATGAAGAACCGAAATTAAGCTTTTTTCCTTCTGATTTGAACTCGTTCACAGGACCAACCTATGTTTCAAAATTCATGTGGTAACCATTTTGGGATTTTAATTTGTTTTTTAAATTAAAAACAAACAAAAACTCAAATTGTGCTGTTACGCCCAATTTGAAATCATTGGATGAAACTTTGGTCAAAACTTCACGAAGAACCCAAATTATGCTTTTTCCTTCCCATTTGAACGTATACACAAGATCAACCTGTTTCAAAAAATTTTTTTAAAAAATATTCTCCCAATTTGAAAGCATTAAAGGATGAACCTGTAGTTTAAAACTTTTCAAAGAACCCAAATTGGACTTTTACTCCCAATTTGAAAACATTTAAAGGTTCAAATTGGTCTCTCTAAAACCATGATAGGCTGAATCTGTAGTTTAAAACTTATCGAAAAACTCAATTTGTGCTGTTACGACCAATTTGACATCGTTGGATGAAAATATGGTCAAACTTCACGAATAACACAAATTATGCTTTTTCCTTCCCATTTGAATGCGTTCACAGGATTAACCTGTTTCAAATTTTTTTAATCTTCTCCCAATTTGAAAGCGCTTAAAGGATGAACTGCAGTTTAAAACATCTGGAAGAACCCAAATTGGACTTTTACACCCAATTTGAAAGCCGATTGCTCCTCATCATCTGTAATCTGCGAGAGATGAAGATGAAGATCTTACTATCTCAGCTTTATCGCGGGGTTGCACAAACAAAGGAAGGTTCCTTTTTGAAGTTACCATTTATGTTATCGTTTGTTATCAGTTTCATTGGAAAAACAAAGAAGTTTTGCCCTTTTCTATTTAATAAAGGGATGCTTTCTACAAGATTCAATGAACGGCCAGATTAGGTTTGGTTTGATATTTAGGACCCAGATTGAAAATGGATTCGAACTCGCTCATTGCTGTCTCTTCTGCTAATAGCACATTACCACAACATTTGTACCCATCAATGATTCCGTCCACACCGTTTATACGTAAGAGTTTTTTTCCCTCTAACAATTAAATAAATTATAAATAAATTAAAAAATCTGATCGTTTTGATTGCAATAACAATTGGTGTTGGCCACCTTTTGTTCCTATCTGGGACAAAAGTGTAAACAATATTTTTGGACTGATGAAGTTTATCTGCATGTTGATGTTTAAACACTTTTTAACTGTGTATAATTTTTTTTACCAACGACTTTGACACTACACAATGACTCTTCAGTTTATGTCATGTCACCCAAACTATTTATATGAGCTTTTATTAAGATTAAAACAATAACAATAAAATAAAAAATAGAAAGATAACACTTAAAATTCATGTCTATATTTTTATGACAATCTTCTTAAGGAGGTACAGTCTTACATTCTTGACAAGAATGGCATCACATTTCCTCCAAATATGATTTGAGCAACATTGATCTTAGAAGCCCAGGACCAGCATGACAAATGATTAGAATCGCTAACGACCGGCCATTGCAGTTCGACTATTTTGTCCTATTCTGTTTTTGGAGGTTTAGAATGTTGCCTCTTTCAAATCCACATTTAAATGTAAATTGAGTTTGTAATAAAATTTAAAAGTCAGAGAGTAAAAACTTATGCTTGTTTTTCACTCCAAATGACTAGCTGGCGAGAAGCTTAAACAAGTCTGACAAAATCGGAAATGTCCAAACTACAGGATCATCACTGAACAGAATGCAAGACAAAACCCATTTTTTAAATTATTTATAATTCTTAATTCAGTGTTTTTTTTAATAGTCTGTATGTCATATGTTGAAGTGCTGCTGCTTTACACCTTCTGTGGGTCGTTTCTGTCAGAACTTATGTTTAATTTTGTTTTTGATTTCCTGTATTTATCAAACTGGTGGTTTGTTGTCTGTCTTAAAAGACCCCTTATGTTGATGTACGTTGTTTTTATTAATGTAGTTTGGGTCTGTTGAGTACAATTTTTCCAAATGGCAGCCCAGCTCAACTTTTGCAATAATTTCACTACTGTTGCAATATTTTTTAATTTAATTTAATTAATTTTTTTAAGCTTAAGTAGCCATAGCCAAATCATTTGTTCATATTGTGAGGTTTATGTTGTTGGTTCACACTAACAGTACATTGGACGCCACTGGGTGTTTTATCGGGTGTGTATTTTTTTTTTTTTTTTTCAGTCTGTCCTATGTATTTTTATCCAAATCTGTGTTATTATGTACATGCCAGTTTCATCTAGTAGGTCAGTCTTGTCAATGGTTGTCTCAGAAGTTTTCCAATTGTGTTAGATGTCTTTCATCCAAACAAGTTCCAGTTTCATCACAGAACAGTCTGTGGAGTAAAATCAATGTTTTTTTTTATTGTTCTTAATTAGTTAGTTTAAAAAAGTTTGTTTTTGACATGTATTGTCATGTATTGAAATGCTGCACTGTGCCTGTGCAGATGATTATTATTTTCTGATTATTTTGGCCTGCCTGTCTTCACGGTTTGATCTGTCAATGCATTTTGGCCTTTTTCTTTAAGCGGTGGTGGGTTTGAGTTGGTGCCTCACCCAACTTACATCCCTGACAGCAACTGAAGGTGGCAACCTGTCTGACAGACCAAAGCAACTAGGACAGGCAGATTAAAATGATCAGAAATGACCTAGCTTGTTTTTACGATGTAAGACTACACTCAAAGGCAGTCTTATTATTATTCCCAAGTTGCCCATATAATTTTTTTAATTACAACTCCTGACAATAAAAGAAGCGCAAATAAATATATCAAAAAATATAAAATAGTAATTAATTATTAACTTAATAATTCAATTAATAATTAATTATTACATAATAATAGAAATATATCTCAAAATATAAGTTGCATAAGTTGTAACTGTTTTCTTCTAGTTCATTCTTCAGTGTACTTTAACAAATTGACGTTAAAAAGTTCTTCATACAATAAAATTGTTTCAGGTGTTGAGACACTACATTATTCACAAAAAAAAGTTTCAAGAAAAATGCAAGAAGGTTCAAGAGTTAGACTGAAGAACAAGATTGTGGATGATAGTTTAATTATAATCAATTAATTTATTAAATACTTTCCAATAGATGAGTATTTTCATTTTTCATTTAATTAATTTTAATTAATAAGACAGTATAAATTTTAAAGTAATTTACGAATGATCGGTCAAAATAAATTTACGGTAACATTATGCAAATTTCTTGACAAGTAATCAAAATTGCACAATAAACAAATTATGTTCTTCTAAAACGCTATGAACCTAAGGAGGATTCGGCCAAACTTTCAAATTTAAGATGCAATAATTACAATCTAAAGTATCAAGAAAAATCACCATCAAACTGCATTACATTAATAATATTAGCCTATACAAAGATTTATTTGGTTTATTTCAAATATAGAGAAAAAAAGATAAGTCAACACAACTCGTAACATATTCTGACCAGAGAAAAATGCTTATGAAACATCGTATGCTATTTATTCCAAATATCAAAGGATCTTGATATTTTGCCTCTATTTGGAAGTTTTTCTTATCATGAGATACTTGTCATTGTACCAGTGTCTTGTATGACAAAGATTCATCGCCAAATAATGACATGAAAATTCTGAAACTTATTGCAACGGTGCCAGAGAAACAGGAGCCATCAGTCCAATGTGTAGTTTAATCACTCCCTTCTTTGAAACTGCAAATAAATCTTTAAAGTTCTATGATAGATTGTCACATGCGATCTTCAAAATGAAATAAAGGTCTTTCAGGCCTTCAAGACAATTAGCCATGCTATAGACAATATATACCCAGGTTATTTGATAATTTTTAGTGATAAATAAATTGTTAGACATCTTCATGCTCTTAGTGATTGACCCAACACTGAATATGGCCAAAAAAAAAAAATACAAATATCTGACAGACCAAAACAGGAACGGAAGACTGACTAAAATGACAAGAAACAATCAAACTACAGATAAATAAATTACTTATAGCATTTAAACTCTTATTTGAACTTTTTATTCCATGCTGGTTTCTTCCTTGCACCTATATTTATTTATTAAAAAAAAGAAAAAAAAAGAGGAATCAGCAGATTAGGTAAATTTTAGGCTTTTTAGGGAATATGTATCAAACTGAAAATAATAAAAGAACCCTTGAGTGATAATGATGACATAACTGAGCAGTTTTAATTAACATGATTTTATTTCTACAATAACATAATTACATTTTATTCATTATCATTCCTAATTTGTAGATGGGTCATTTCCGATCATTTTGGCCTCTCTATCCTTGTTATAGCCTGTCAGGCTTGTTTTGGCAGGTGAGACACCAACTCAAATCCCTGTTAAAAATGACCAAAAGCTAAAACCCAACTGGCAAATGCAAACAGCTAGGATGAGCAGAGCAATCTTGTAACTCACTCATTTCTGTCTGTAATGCCAAAAGATTTGGGTTACTGGTCCATCTTTTGACTTCAAAGGAGGACATATTACAAAGATTAGATTTTTCAAATTGGTCATTTCCATTCATTTTGGCCTCTATTCTAGTTGTTGCAGTTTGTCAGGCTTGTTTTGGGGGTTGCCATCTTCAGAAGTATAACAAGGGTGAGACGCCAGCCTACTGTTAAATATGAACAAAAGCCAAAAAAAAAGCTGACAGACCAAAGCAGCTAGGATGAACAGAACAAACCTGTAGTTCAATTATTTCTATCTGAAAGACCAAAACAGTTGAGCAATTGGTTCATCTTGCTGACTTCAGGAGGAAATATCACAAATATCAAATTTCTCAAATTTGTAAATTATATTAATAATTTTGCAAGACATCGAGCAGTTATCAGAGGCCACTCTTCTTTGATGTATCTCATCCAGGAGGCTAAAAATTTATTTCTACACATTTAAAAATCAAGTGATAAAATTATATTGTAATGTGTAAAATTGTTTGGAAAACAAAAACACACAAAAAAAGCATAGTAGTGACAGTGTGGGTAAAGTCATCAGTTTCTCATTGTATCACTGATCAATTGTAATTGTGGATTGGAGTCACTCATATTCAAATCTCTCATCTACAGCCCCATCCTTTATGAATCAGAATTTAAACTATAAGAAATAAAAATAATAAAAAAACAATTAAAAAATGTATAATTGGAAGTCCAATATGGATAATAAAACTTGATAAAGTAACAGAATTTGAATTTTTGGATCTATTGGTTGTGAAAAGTTATTTGCATGGTCAAATTTAAAATTTAGACAGAAAAAAAAGATAACTACAATTTTAACTTTGTCTAATCGATGTTAACCCACCATGCTATATTCTTCTTAAAACACAATAACTTTTAACATATATTTTTCTACTTTTCAGATCCAAGTTTCACTCCTGCTAGTGTTACACAGGGCATTAGAGAGAATGGACGGATATCGCCGATAAGAAGATTCTTCTGCTTGTTTGTCACATTTGACCTTCTTCTAATTTCACTCTTATGGCTAATTATTTTAGAGGTGAGGGATATGTCATAATTGCGATATTATAAACAGAAAACAATCTATGCTTTGCCTGGTTTATTTTCAAATACGAAGACACGGGCAGATTTTAGATTTATGGAAATTACAATACTATATTCTGCAATAAGATATTAAACAACTTCAGTTACCACAAATTATCAATTTCACATTTCTTGCAATCTATTTTATTATCTTTATGATATCAGCGTTAGTATTATGATAGTAAATAAAAATTCATGGATAAGGCATATTTAAAAGTAAATAAAAACTCTCAATTCCTTTGTCAAGCTTTTGTGGAATATATCCACTTCATCAGAACTTTGAAATTATTTCTAATGATTTACACAATTAAAAAATATAAACATCTACATCATTTTTTAAAAATTATGGTTTCAGCCATAATATTTTATTTTATTATTATTTTTAAATTTTATTTTGTTTTATTTTATTTTATATATTTTTTGACAAGGGTATTTCAGCTATGAGGTTGTATGAACCCTCAGGGTGTTTTAAAAAAAAGAGTCCATTTGTAAGTATGTCCGGTTTGAATGCATGGCTGTTGGATTCAAACCCGGGACCTTTACCTTTCCGTGTCAACGTCTAAACCATTGCGGCAACCGATGACGCCCCCTGAGCTTAGTTTAATAGAGTGCATTTCCATTTGAGAAGTGCAAAAATTTTCTATTTAATTTTTCTTTTGATAGTACTATCCTCACAGTAATTAATATTATGAATTGAAATTCACTACTATTGCACCTTTACCACAAGCTACTTTATCCTAGAACTCAGATCAGGATTCACCTGTTTTTGCTTATATGAACAGGTACAGAATGGTGAGGGTGTGGCCAGCGTCCTGCATAGCAGGGGCTTGTCCACGAGGCCGCTCCTTTGGCATTATCTGCGTATCAGTGGCAGAGCTGGCACATGCTCAGGTGTGATTTGAGATGAAGGAGGCTCTTCCTATCTTGATTGTATTGATCTGTCTTCCTGAGCATGATTTCCTGTGACAGATTCTCGATTAACCCTCTCTTGTTAGAGAGATTTGTTGGCTGGAGCACCTCGGAATAACGAGTTGAGTACCTGGACATGTTACGCAGGTGAGGAAAGCTGGATATGACCACCAAACTACCGTGATCCGGCCAGGTGGTGCTCTATGAGCAGAAAGAACACAATAGAATAATATTGGCAGCATTGGATTATCCGAGAAGCTCTTGCATGTCAAGAGCATGACAGGAGTGATGGCCTTCCAATGGTCTGAAACCCGAGGAAAGGATCGTGCTCACATGTTAGAAGATACCCGATTGACACTTGGACACCTGCTTTTGGAGCAAATCCATGCAGGTGTCTCGTTTAGAAAAAGGTCACTCAGTGTCACACTTGATCGAGGAATAGGCTTCTAGTTTTTAATAGAGGTGTTTCCACATCTTTAATTTATAAATATTGTATGTAATTATTGCATAGCTGTTCAGGTGGTATGCATACAGTTGTTTGTATGAATGAGTAAGTGAAGACAGAGAGAGTACCCCATCAGCTCTTATAGTGCATTGGGCCTGATAAGACTCCATTGTCGGTTGCCCCGTAAACAATAAAATAAACTACGATGTTATTAAAGTTGTTTGTGGTTTATCATACTGTTTTAATTTAAAGTTTTCTTTTAGATTGTCTCATTTCTTTTGTACTTTTGTTCTAATTAGTATTTTTGTTTTTGTAAGTTATCTGGCAATTTCCAATGGATTCTGGTCTACCACCAACAGATTCTTCATTACTCTATGAAAAGTTCCTTATTCGATATAGTGGTAAGTGGGAATATTTGAATCTCTTAGTTTTTAGTTTTGTGTAATCAACATCCACAAAAAGAAAAAACAGAAAAAAAAGTTATAAACAGTGCTCAAAGATATTTAGCATTTCCTTCTTCTCCTTCAACCTAATATCATCATTATTTATGTTTAAAAAAAATATTGGAAGCCACAGTGTTTTCTGAACCCCATTTTTCTGCCATTTAGCAAATGTTTTTACAAAGAAAATCATGAGCTAAAAGGAGAATTTCAGAAAACACAGCCAATAATGATTTTGTTTAAACTTGCTTATTTTAAATAAATGAAACTATTAAACTTCCTTATAAACATATTAGGCTACCTCATAAGTGGAAATAAATTTTGTCATCTAGAAGTTTAATAATTGGAAAAGTAAACATTTTATGTCTGTAAAATTTCAGGTGTGTTCATTAAGCAGATTTGTGATATTACTTATTTTCTACGCTTTATTTCAAATTTCACATTGGTGTATTGTTGCTGTAAGTATTTTTTAAGCCTTTTGGACATAAGTTTTGTCCAACTCTCATATTACTTGATTTATAAGAGGACTTTTGTTCTAGTTGACAACGGCTAGTACGTGTGTTCTTTTAGCTGTTAAGGTGTATGTATTTGATGTAAGTAGAAAAAAATGACCATAATTGTTTTAAAAAAAATTAGTGTTTTAATTGTCCATTGCCTTGAATCAGATATGATTGTTTTGTAGTGGGGAGACAGCACCACTCAGATTCTCCAAGTTATTTTAATTTTGACTTCATTTATACTTGTCTGGTTAGAAGTCTGGCTCATGGACATAAAAGTGATACCACAAGAGAGAGTCGCACGAAATTACGCCAATGGTGTGTGCAAAATTTAGTTCTGGATTTGTAATTTGTTGTACTTATTAAATAATTTATTTCTAGCTTTGGCCGGCAATGAAAGGGCCCCGTTAGTCAATCCTTTCGCCCAGAACCAAGTAAGCTCGGATACAATGTCAGCATCTGTGAATTTTTATTCTCCTTATGAAAATTCATCTGGTATCTTTCTTTTTCTAAAGGGTTAGAATTTTACTGTATCAGCCATTCATATTTTATTTTGTTTTTTAAGATTCTACTGATGATGAATTGAATCAAACAGCCAAATCAATTAGACAAATAAAATATGACTGTAATAACTCTAGGAGATCAGTAAGTTTAAAAAATTTATTATATTATCATTCAACAGTTGATAAAATGATAATTCAATAAGGATTTATTGTATGAAATATTGGTACATCTACTTTTATATATGTACTGCTGGCTGTTATCAATAATCTTTTTAGAATTTAAACTTATTACAAATTATAGGATATTAAGGCATCAAAATTAATCAAAATTGACATTACTGTATTGAATTCTAAATATTTTTAAATCTTTAGTTTCGGTCATTCATCTTTATTTTCGGAAATTAGATATAACAGATATAGCAGCCATGATTCATTTTAGCATTTCAAATTCTTCCCAGTTTCTGGTCAGAATAAATTCTCAAGGTTTTATTCATTATTCCAACAAGAAAAAAGAAAACAAAACCAAATTGTCTGCATGTTATAAGACTCAGGTATAAGAAGGTCCTGTTCTGTTGACGTAGGAATTACAGTTGAAACTTCATTATGACCCAAAAGGTGATTCTCTCTTCCAATTGTTGATGTTATATTTTAAAATTTGGATGCTGGTTATACATTTGAAAAACCTTAAAATTATTTTTAATCTCTGCATCTGTAATTTGCGTGTATAGTCATAATGTAAATGGTTCAACTGGTTTTTTTTTTTTCCATAAGAAGGATTCTAATCATGTTTATCTTAACTTGCTGTTCTATTAAATCATTCCATTTATATATATTTTAATGAATTTATTTTTTGTAGGATGATACATACAAAATAAAAGCAAAAGAAATTTTAGAAGAAGCATGGGAAATGATAAATAATAATAAATGGATTTTTGAAAGAAAAACTGATGAAGGTGACATAATTTCAAGTCAGAAGATTGATGTTAGGCTGGAGACGGGGCATACAGTTTATAAATTAATTGTAATTAATTGGTTACAAGTTGTTTTACCCTACAATCATGTTCATTAACAATTCTTTATTTTCCAGGGACTTGTTGATGCCTCCTACATAGATGTAAAGAAGGTATTGTACGATAATTTGGAAAGCTTTCCCGAATGGAATCCTTCTATACAAGAAGCAAAAGTCCTTCAGGAAATAGATTCTTGTACAGACATTAGCTATCAGATATCGAAGAAAGTTGGCTTAGTCGCTAGCCGCGAATATATCACGCTGAGACATTGGGAAGAAAAATACGGTTATTGCATCATAGCCAGCGGCTCAGTCATATGGCCTCGCCTTCCCACTAGCAAAAAGATAGTCAGGTATATTCTCTCTTCCCTATCGTTTTCTCTGCTCTTTCTTTATCTAAATCTCAAATTGGTTAAAGGGGAGAAAATGGGCCAGGTTGCTGGGTGTTCCAGCGTAAATCAGAGTGGCAGACTGAAGTCAAATGGTTGCTTAATACGAAAATTAATGGATGGGTGCCTCAGGCTGCAGTCGAGACGGCAATGATAAAAGTGATGTCAAACACTATGATTCACCTTCGACGCTGCCTATCATCAACGAGCAAAAAATGTGCACAGTTGCTTTGACTCGTGAGACAAAGAAGTACTATTATTTCAAAAATTATAGCAACTGGATTATGTTTATGTATTTATATATTTAACTCGATCTTTTATGCTCTAATTTAATTTTTGATAATGAATTTTTGGAATATTATTTTTTTAAAAAGCCTTGTAAAATATGAACGTATTACTTATTAAATGTATAATGAAATTGTTATATGTATATATTTTTTTAAAGATTGTAATCCCAGGAAAGACTAAAATACCTGTATTTTATTGTTTTTATATTTCCCATATTAGTCAATGTGTGATTATTGCTACAAAAGACATTTTTGACAGGAAGGGGGAGGAGCACTACAGTGGGGCGCAGACACCCTATCTGCCACTACGGTCTCAAATTTTAAAGGTTTAATATCAGTTAAGCAAAATCTTTCTTCTATTTCCTGTCAACCATATATATGTAATATTATTATAATATTCTTGCATTTTTGTAGTCCTACGTTTTTCATTTTTTTTTTAAAGAATGTGTGTTTTTAATACTGACTTTGAGTGTAACATTAGTTGCGATTGAGGCAATTATTGTCTAAACAATATTAACTATTAATTTCTAATTATTTATCTTCTTATAAAAGAGGAATTCTGTTAAAATAATTTTAGCTAGACTGTCAGGTCAAAATGTACTCCACTCAGGAAGTTGTGTGACGACCCAATATAAAATATATAGTTTAATTGAAGAAGACAAAGCAAAAACAAAACTGATCTATAAAGAAAATGTAAGTAAATAAAAACTGAAGAAAAAATACATGAAAAAAAAACAATAAATACAGAATAAAGATAACCAAATGTACAAATAAAATCTAAAAATAGATCTAAATAGATGAGAGTCCAAAGCAATAACAAAACAACTATATTAGACAAAATTAAGATTGATTAAACCTAAATTTTCTATATTGTATACATCATTGTATAAATGCATAATATCTGATACATATTTGTATAACTATATTACTATAACTATACATAGTATTGTATAACTGAAACAATTTTTATAAATCCCAGACCCAATCGAAACGGAACGATAAAGGAAATTTTTTTTCCAACATCAAACTAGACCGCATCTCAAGATCTCTAAATAATTACATTAATCAAAGTTAAATAAATAGTAAAAACAAGAAAAAAACCCAATACAAAATAAAAATAACCCAATTGCAAAACCTAAAAATAGACCTAAAAGGCCCAAAGCGATAACAAAACAACTATATATATCAAAATTAAATAAATAGTAAATACTGAAGAAAAAACCCAATACAGTATAAAAAAGATAACCCAATATACAAATAAAACCTAAAAATAGATCTAAATAGAAGGGGGTACAAAGCAAAAACAAAACTAGTCTACAAAGCAAAGGTAAATAAATAGTAAAAACTGAAGAAAAAATGTTAGAGAAAAAAAACCTATACAGAATAAAGATAACCCAATGTACAAGATCTAAAAGGGCCCAAAGCAATAACAAAACAACTATATAAATCAAAGTTAAATAAATAGTAAAACCTGAAGAAAAATGTAAGTAAAAAACAACCAATACAAAATAAAAATAACCCAATATACAAATAAAATCTAAAAATAGATCTAAAAGGGCCCAAAGCAATAGCAAAATAACTATATAAATCAAAGTTAAATAAATAATAAAAACTGAAGAAAAAATGTAAGAGAGAAAAAAAACCAATACCGAATAAAAATAATCCAATATGTAAAACCTAAAAATAGATCTAAAAGGGCCCAAAGCAATAACAAATCAACTATATAAATCAAAGTTAAATAAATAGTAAAAACCAAAGAAAAAATGTAAGTAAAAAACAATGAATACAGAATAAAGTTAACCCAATACAAAATAAAACCTAAAAATTGATCTAAATATAAGAGGGCCAAAAGCAATAACAGAACAACTTTATAAATCAAAGTTAAATAAATATTCCAATTAATTATTCTTTTTATCTATCGCCTTGGTTGAGATGAAAAAGTTACTGTCACAAGAGGGATTCGAACCCATCCAACAAACCCAGCTGAAGGTCATGGGTTCGAATTCCTCTTGTGACATTAAATTTTTCATCTCAACCATGATCTTAGATAAAAAGAATAATTGATTGAAATAATAAATATGGTCAATTATGACCGCTAAACGTACATGGTTTAAATAAATAGTAAAAACTAAAAAAATGTAAGAAAAAATAACTTTATAATAAAGACAACATAAAATATATGTAATATGTATATTAAATTTTTATGTTTATTATTTCTAGTGCCTTTTAAATGTTCATGCAAGTACACTATACACAGAATTATTGTTGCTAGCATCTATTGCAGCCCCCTGTCATAATATTTGTAATATAATAAAGTAATGATTTTTTATTAAAGAAAAAAAGGCCAAAAACAAATGATGATTTTGAACATGTGAAAGCTCAATTTCTAGTGTTTATTGTCCAGTTTTAAAAAAGTATTGTTTTGGAATCGATTTAGCCGGCGAGGGCCGAGTTGTGGCAGTGAACAGTAGCGCGAGGTATCATTCGTCCAAGGCTCTTCGGAACACTGAACTACATCCCTCGAAACTGCTTGTCATCCGGCTCGGTTCTCCTTCGCCGCTCGCATAAGAAATGGGTCTCATCAGGGAGATTAAGGACGATGCGAATTTCCAGGAGGAGCTCACCGCTTCTGCCACAAAATTGGTCGTTGTGGATTTTACAGCGACATGGTAAAACATCTTTTACTATCAGTTTAGGGTTACTGGCCCTAAAACTCTGTTAAATATTCTTGCACAATTTGACTTCTCTAAGTATTAATATTTTATATATTAACTGTATTGATCACTTTTTAAACTTTAAAACCTCTGATTTTCTATTAATTGCTTTTGGATGCATTAACCCATTCGTAAGCAATTCAACCCTGAATTAGTAGTTTCACCGTCTATTGCTTTTTACCTCCTTTCTCGTCGCTTTTTTTCTCCAACTAACCATTTCAGGTTTCATTAACCTCTCTCTTATTAATTCAGCAATTTGTTACTTAATTCAACCTTCAGATGGCTGAATAAAACAGGGAACCTAACCCAACGCCACCCGATGCCTTATCGCATTATTGGTGGGGTGTGCACATTTACTCAACACAAGCACATACTACACTACCGTCAATGTATCACAGTAGTCGATATAATATTTGCAAAATGATTAGCTCTGAGGAAGACGTGGAAGAAATGGCAGCAGGAGCGATCTGCTTGCTTTCAACAATAAACAGAAAACTTGATTTTATGAAGTTCATATAGAACCATGCCAAGCACCATCTTGTTAGTAGATGGTGTTTCTTCTGCTTCTTTGCAGAATCTGTGCCACATTGGGTTATACCTATATTCTTCAGATGCCCATTCAGTTTGCAAGGATTAACAATTTTTTCTCATTCCTTTAATGCATTCTGTTACCTCTTTCCAGTTCTTATTTTATTTTTGGATTTATTTTCATGTTCTGTGTTTTTTTCCCTCCAACTAACCATTTTGGATTTCATTAACCTCTCTCTTATTAATTCTACAATTTTTTACTTAATTCAAACTTCAGATGACTAAATAAAATAGGGAACACTGACCTGACCCAATGCCTAATTGCATTATTGGTGGGGTGTGCACATTTATTCAATGCAAGCACATGCCACGAGACAGTCAATATTATATCACAGTAGTCAGTATAATTCCAATTAACTATTCTTTTCATCTAAGGTTTTTGGTTGAGATGAAAAATTAGTGTCATGAGTGGGATTCGAACCGACGACCTTCGGCTCAATACGCTCCTGCTCTAACTACTTGAGCTGTCGTGACTTAGATTCCCTCGGGCACCAACCTCTCATCTCAACCTACAACCTTGAATTTTCCCTCTTTTTGCCATTTTTCATCTCAACCAAAAACCTTAGATGAAAAGAGTAATTAATTGGAATAATTAATATGGTCAATTATGCCTACTAAACAAATATGGATTGTCAGTATAGTATTTTGCAAAATGGATAGCTCTGAGGAAGACATGTAAGAAATAGCAGCAGAAGCGATCTGCTTGCTTTCAACAGTAAACAGAAAACTTGGGTGAAGTTCATTCACTAGAGATGAATCTGGTGAATATCATGTAGATAGAGGTGTATATTTACTGTGCTCTTTAAGAGCTTTGTATCTCCAGTTCTGTGCTTATAGCACACTGGTGAGTCTAGTTCATCAAGGACTTGATTTGTAGGCCCAGTTTCAGTGGTTGAATCTCTTTCCCTTCCCAAAACACTTCTTCTTGCATGCAAGTGTAGCGCCACAGTACCACCTTGTTAGTAGAAAATGTTTCCTCTGCTTCTTTGCAGAATTTGTGCCATGTTGGGTTATGCCAGTCTTCTTCAGATCCCAGCTTGCAGTGTCCTGTTAAGAATCCTGTCAGGGCTCACAGTTTTTTCTCCTTCCTTTAATACTTTGTCACCTCCTTCTGGTTCCTTATTTTAATTTTTGGATTTGTTTGATTGATGTATTCATTGACCTCTGACAGGTGGAATTTTTCATGTCATATGGTGCTTATATTGCAAAGTTATTTCATTGTGACAAAAGTACAATTATTATTATGTACACACCCTTGGGTAAAACTGGATAATTCAAAAAATAACTTTTCAAGATTGGGATTTTTAAGTTTAGACCTTAGATACAAGTAGAAGTTATCAAAATTTCAATGTGAAATCATCTATCATTAATCAATTATCCATAGTCTGACAAGTCTAAAAACTTACTGGAGTACATACTTATTTCATTTGGCCAAAATTATACTTATCCTGTTAGTATTGTTACTTAATTCATACAGATCTTCAGTTAACTAATGGAAAACTGAAAGAAAATTGTTATCTGATGACTGGTATTAAAATGGCTCAGTTTAAAAATAATGCAAAGTGTAATAGAGTTACATAATATGTTTTTTAAATATCAATGGTGTAGATAAGGGAGCAGAAAAATTCACGGGTAATAGAAACCACAATGTCCTATGTGGTCGGTCCTCTGAGAATTACCCCAAAAGATACCTTTGTATCAAATTACTTAGCATTTTATTTTTAATTATGTGAATTATAGATGAGTTTTGTTTAGGATTTGTGCTCCCTTCTACCTGGCCTTATTTTACATATTGGGTTGTCTTTACTTTATTTATTTTTCTTCAGTTTTTTCTATTTATTTGCCTTTGCTTTAAATAGTACTTTTGTTTTTGCTTTGTGCCTTTTGTACTTAGCCCTATTTTAACTGATTTAAATTTAATTATAAGCTCAAATCTGCACACAAATAAACACACAGTGTATCTTGTGAATTGAGCTTATCACTTCTTACAGCTCAAGAATTGAAGCTTTTGTGTAAGTAGAATAAATCACAAGCAGGCTTTGAGAATCGCCCACTTGAGCAGTCCAGGGTCACACCTTGGTCTTACCCGCCTAGCCTCTGGGGTTGGTCTCCAGGGGCTATCAAAAGCTGCAAGGTTATTTCATCCCCCAACACAATCATTTTCCAAATTCAAACCTTATCTCACTCAGTTAAGGTGGTACTTGATACGCTTCCATCACCCTTTATGTATATTATATAATTAATCTTGAGGGTTGATGGGGTACTCAACATTCCGCCATCGGACCTCTCACACTACAAAATTATGCTAATAAATAGATTCAGTCTCAATATACACAAGATGAGATCTCAATTAAAAAAAAAGTCCTGTTTCCTCTAAAAATTGAACAGAGGACCCAGATACTTCTGTGCTCAACCATATTCTCATGTCGGGTGGCATTCCTAGGGCCAAGGAATGGCACCTTTATTTAAGTTTCTATTTTTATGTTTTATTTATATGTTGGGTTGTCTTTATTCTGATTTTTTTTCCATTCAATTTTTACTAGTTATTTACCTTCATTTTATAAAGTAATTTTAGTTTTGCTTCGTGCCCTCTTCTCTTTACATGTTTTTATGTTTTATTTATATATTGAGTTGTATTATCTTTTTTAGTTTTTACTATTATTTTAACTTTGATTTATAGAGTTATTTTGTATTTGCTATTTTCCCTCTTGTATTTAGCTGTATATTTTTATATTTTGTGTATATATTGGTTTGTTTTTATTTTGTATTTATTGTTTTTCTTCAGTTTTTACCCTTTATTTACCTACGCTTTAGAGAAATTTTGGTTTTGCTTTGTGCCCTCTTCTATTTAGCTGTTTTTTTAAAATGTTTTATTTATATATTGTGTTGTATTTATTGTTATTTCTTTTTTGTTAGTTTTTACTATTATTTTAACTTAGATTTATAAAGTAGTTTTGTGTTTGTGTTGCTGCTTTTCCCTCTTGTATTTAGCTGTATATTTTTATATTTTGTTTATACATTGGGTTGTCTTATTTTGTATTTTCTTTTTCACATTTTACCATTAAACCTATGCCTGTTACCTATGCTTTAGAGTAATTTTGGATTTGCTTTGTGCTCTCTTTTATTTAGCTCTATTTTTTATATTTTATTTATTTGAATTATCTTTATTCCGTTTATTATTTTTTCTTCAGATCTTACTATTTACCTTTGCTTCATAGAGTAGTTTTATTTTTTCTTTGTTTCATCTTCTATTAAGCTCGATTTTTTAATTTTTTTTAAAATTTATATATCAGTATTTATTTTGCTGTACTATCTACGGTTATACACAGTGTAGATGAAGGGTTAATTAAAATATGTTGAGAGAGTTTTCCATGAAACACTTTTTGAGTTAAATCTGCTGAAAAGGGGAACAGGCAGCACTCGAAATTGATCTGTGCACAATAATAAAAAAAAAAAAATGAAATTAAATTGTGCTTTTGGTTGTCTATATCTATGGAATAATAATAATAATAATAAATGGTAAGATAAAAATATATTTATGATACTCTTAATGACAACAGTAATATCTCTAAGCGTTTTGAGTTTGTCAAGGAATCTAGTTTAATGAACAAAATAATATAATTTTTTCTTATTATGTCATAACTTCGTTAATATTTCATATTTTATATAAACGTAAAATATAAAATAAACACATTAATTAATTGTAAATGTGGTTCAAAATTGAGTATTAAAAAAAAAAACCATGTGTAATGTGTCTTTCCAAAAACCAGAGAACCCCAGAAAAATTTGTCTCTGCCCCTAGCTGGATGAGATTGCAAAATTTTCAAAATTAAAAATCTTAAAATTGGGTGAAACTGGATATTCTCCATGCATTGTTTTCTTGTTCTATGGTGAGATACATTAAATATTCTAGTTGAACCATCCTTCTTTATCAATTAAAATATTAAAAATAAATTGTTGGGCCTTTATATTAAAAATATGAATATTTATGTATGTGAATGAAATTTATATATTGCAAATATATTTGAACAATATTTGTTTATAGTTTTTAGTTGTTGTGGCTTTAAAATGTTTTTGGTTTTTAATGTACAGCATATTTCTGGCAATTTTGTAAAACAAAATATTTTGCAGGTGTGGTCCTTGCCAGCGAATAGCCCCCTTCTATGAACAGTTGTCGCAGAAGTATCCCCATGCTACTTTTCTGAAGGTTGATGTTGACAAGTGCCAGGATACAGCAGCGATCCAAAACGTCTCTGTCATGCCGACATTTTATTTTTTCCGGAACAAGGTTAGATCTGTACTCTGACTGATCGGACAGTTAAATAAAACATTTTAACATTAGTGAAATAAATAGGTGAAAATCGACAGCATGCAAGGTGCTGATCGTAACAAGCTCGAGGAAAAAATAAAGCAATACTATGATGCGACTGCTGGTGGTGAAGAAGACGTAGGTGTTGCTGGACATGTGAGTTTTTCTCTTTTGTTTTCTTAAAAAAAAAAGTTTTCTTAGAACTAATTTTTTTATAATATAGTGGACAAAAGATTTCATCTTTTATTCTTTTTAAAGTATTTTTTGAAGATGTATAGTGTAGAAAAGTTGACCACTTTGAAGAATATTGATTTGATTTTTGTGTTATCATTGGATGTCTTATTACACTTTTTATTGATTCCACTTTAACACCGTTGTTTCATGTTAATCATTATATTTTTAAATATCGGTTTTTCTAAGAAACTTTAATTTCTGCCAGGTGATTAAAGTATTTTTTCCACTTTGCTGCATAGAAGTCGAGAATTATGCTAACCTTTGTTCTTTTCTTAATTTTATGCTTTTCAATTATTTCTGTGTAGAGTTCTTTTTTTAACGATCTGAAGAATGATAATTTTGTTTAGAAATTATACTTACCTTCTTCTCCCATAGATGAAATGTTTTGTTCAGCTGTTTCGAGGCGAGTAACATGGCAACTAATGCTACTTTCCCTCCACAGATGGATTTAATTAGCTTTATTACAAAAAATCAGTGTGAGGCGTTGAATGAGTCGGATGAACACCCGTTGGCCAACTGTCTGAACAGTGGGCCGGAATACTTGGAATCAGATTGCGATGAGCAGGTAACAAGGCGGAGTTTTGCGTTTTGAGGTTTACGGATCTTAATTTTTTGGGATTTTAGTTGATTCTGTCTCTGCCTTTTAACCAAGCGGTTAAAATACACTCCATCAAATTCAAAGCCCCTAGTGACAGAGGCCCCAAAAAAGTCAAAATCTTCATTAACCAACCCACCACCCTTGATTTTGACGCTGCGACTGCAAATTCAGCAGTCCAAGAAATATTGTAAGTAAACATGTTATGGGATTTTAATTTATATTTTAAAATTAGGAAAAAAAGTAAAAAAAACTTTCCTTGTTAAGCCTTATTTGGTTTTTTTCTGTCTGAGAATCTGAGTCAATTTTAAAAACATAGCAATAATATTTTTTTCTGTAGAAGTGGATTGTGTAAATCTGTTCTCATAATTTAAAGAAAGTTGTACATACTTTTAAAATTGAGAAACAGTGTATAAACATACAAGTGTAATCCTTAAAAAAATTAAAAATAAATAAACTTAAATAATTTTTTTTGAAAAGAAGTCATTTCATTCGATTTTAAGTTGTTTTTTTTGATCATTTGATTACTGACATTATTTTCAGGGTCGACCAGTCAGACTTAGAAGGGAACCCTATCAACCTACGATTTGTTAAGTTCCAAAATGTCCAAAACATTCAGATATTTATTCAGGAGAACCAAGTCGGTGCAGACACGACTCAGATCAATCAGCTGCAGCTCATTGGTTCACCGATTGTGACAACCAACATGGGCGATTTCAAGAGAGTCATTGGGAAAAAAGGAGAGGCTCATTGAATTTGATAAGATACTAATTTATTTTGTACATATCTTACAATTGTAATGTTGTTTAGGCATCATTTACTGTATTGATTATTATAACATTTTGGTATCTCAATAAAAACAATACAAATGGTGATGGAACTGTTTAATTCTGTTGTTTCTCCTACTTCCGTATTTTTAGTTTTTAAAATTACTGCTTCACTTTTATGTTGATGACTAGTTATGCATTTATAATAAATGCAATCACATTAAAAAATTCTATATAAATGCTACTCTGTACAAACATTTATTGTTAGTATGTAAACAAATAACACAATTTTTTTTTGGAAAAAGTTACAAATTATAAGGAGTTAAAAGCACCGTAAAAAGAACAACACAATAAATTAAAAAAATCTATAATACAAATTTATATCTTAAAAAATGTCTTTGGTTCACAAATTAGCTGGTGTCGAATTGTTTGTAGTTGGTGTTGTTATTTCACTGAGTGTGGTATTGCCAGAATCGGTGTTGTTGTATTTTGATTGACTCAAGATCCAAAACTTGTTCATAGCACTATCATCCGATTTCACTGCTGAAACATCCGCCTGTGTCCTCATTTCAGCTCCGAGTTTTATCTCCTTGAGCATTGTCGAATTAAACTTGTTAGCGATTTCATTACCAGTCTTTTGCCCCTTGTCCTTCTCTAGGTTCTTGAGGAAAGTGTCTACTATTGATGGCTTGTGCTCAAGGGTCACGTTCGGGGGACCTTCTCTGTGCAAATAAGCGACTGGCCAGTGCAACTTCCTGCCGGAGTGAGCATAAGGATAATAGGAATCGCTGCAAGGCCTCCATTGATCCTTATCTGCACTTCCCACGTAACACCTTTAAAAAAATTAAAAGTTAATTTAAAAAAGAAAAAAGAAAAGTGGAATCAATTGGTGGGCTCAAACTGTGTAATCAAAACAAAAAAACTTCAAAGTGGTCTTATGTGCTTATGTTAATGAAGGAAAACAGTCAACACTCTTATGACAAGGTAAAAGAAATATAAAAGGTTGCCTTTTCTGTTTTTGAATAAAACCTGGGACACAACAAAATACATAGGATTTATATTAAACTTAATTTAGACAAAAAGTACTTTTAAAAGATTCTGATTTGTAAAAATTCAAAGCATCATCCATGTATGAGTAATTAGCAGAGTACAATTTCTTGTTTGATTGCTGGTTTTTGTTGGTTGACATTTTGGTCTGATGATTCCACAAAAATAATCCAAAAACTGGAAATGTCGATGTCTAAACCAACAAAAATCAGCGAGGATAGGCAGACCAAGATGGTATATAACTATCAAACAATAAGTTTATCACCCCACAGACCACAAGAGAAAATTTTACAAAATTCCTTGATTATATATTTTATTATAATTGTTTATTCTTGACTTTTTATATAGAAATAATATTGTATTGTATATTTTGAATCATGCTTTTATTGTCTACTGCTAGAATAATATCTTCGCACTAACAATTTTTGAATGAATGAGCAATGTTGTTCAATTAGAAGGCTCGGAATTTCCAAAAATAAATAAATAAAAATAAAAAATGAGCAAACGCTTTCAACAATGTCTTTAATAAACTGATTGAATGCCTCAAAAATCGATAATTTACAATTCAGCTAAAGACGAGAGTTAGATAAGGGTATTGAGGAAGGAAAGAGTGAGAGGGAGGGAGAGAATACGTTTAAAATAACACAGCGTTTTAAAAATGATGGCGTGCTTTTGGTAGAAAGACACATGCTAAACAAAAATCTTCACTTGTGAAATTGTGCTGCACACGGTGTTATGGAATGTTTTCAATATTGATAAAAGTATCGCATATGGTTAAAATAAAATATTTTATCAAAACATGGTGTACCGTTTTATAAAAGTATGAATGAAAAAAAAAAAAAAAAAAAAACGTATTTGTAACAAAAAATGATGTTCACTCAGATCAAACAAGTTTTGCATAGAATTAATTTATATGATCTTTGATTGAAATTGATCAGACATAATCTGAGTAAAAAAATGCTAAAACATCTACAACTACAATGATAGAATTAAAAAAAAATTATTCATCTTTCTGATTAAACAAGGCAGATCTTAAACAAATAAAAAGTGGGTTTGTCTTTTAGGATTTTATTTATTTTTTAATTTAACAAAACACGAACTTTTCCTTTATCAATATTGACAACATTATTTTCATAATTGTACCTTGACTTTACTTTTTTGCACCAATAGTTGGTCCTCCCCCAATTTTGTTGGGGGAAATGTGTATGTTGTTTAGAACTGCAAAAGTACATAATTGAATAATGTAGTCAAATTTAGTTACAAGAGGGAACTGCTGGTTTTCAGTTTAACAGTTTTAAGTAAGAAGATAAATTCAAATGCTCACCAAGGGTAGTTATAGCCTTCGGAGAAGCCACATTGATGACCCGATCTGCAGCAATAGTCCCAATCGCCGTTTTCAACAGGGCAGGTCCATACGCCGACTTCTGGGTTTTGCGTACAGACCGTACCTGTTTTACAAGGGAAGCCGTTAACTGTGTAATGAGCCCAAGTGGATTCGAGACCGCGGTCTGGATAGATACGGTTGTCATTGAGGTTGGATAGTTTGCCTGGAGGGGGTGGATAGTAGCAGCCGGATGTACCAAAGTCCCATGTAAACATCCAAAATTCTTTGTCCTCTAGATAGTCGAAACCAAGACGAAGGTCTCTTTGCTCAATGTCACTTAATTCACATTGGCCATCCCTGATTAGAAATAAAAATTAGAATAGTAAACATAAGTCACAATTAAATTTTGAGGTTTACATGTAACTTAATGTTGCACATCTGAAGCGAGTTTTTTCCCTGGCTCTTGTGCATTCTTCTTTGCAGTCTTGTTCTGAATGTACCCATATGGATGTCTTGATTGCAGGTGGAAGCAATCTTGCTGGAGAGCTGTATCGGATATAGCATACTAAAAAATACATACAAAATATTTTAGTAATTAGTTTTAACTGTTAAACAATTAATTCTTACATTGGTCAGTGGGTCTAGGTCTATACATTCCTTTCACACCGTAACTAGATGAAGGGTGATATGTACCATGAGGAGGAAAATATTTATGCTCTAAGGGCTTCCCTATCGGATAGTAACTGCTTGAAATAGAATCATCAGGCTTTCTATGATGATGCCCATAGTAAGGATATTTTTCAGAATAATAGTATCCGTGTTGCTTATCAGGCGGTAAGTAGCTACCGAAGTGTTTAGGAGGAAAATAACTACCACTGGGTTTTTCTAGAGGGTACCCACTTATCGGCTTTTGTGGTGGTAGATAACTACCAATAGGCCTTACTGGCCTAAATGGGTAACTGGCTGGTTTATTTTCTTTGTTAGGCGGTAAGTAACTTCCATGTGGCCGTTCAAGGGAGCCGTAGCCATGATGGTATCCGTCTTGTGGCTTATGGGGTGGAAGGTATCCCGGCGAAGGCTTGCTCGGTGGAAGGTACCCCGATGAAGGCTTGCTCGGTGGAAGGTACCCCGATGAAGGCTTGCTCGGTGGGATGTATCCAGATGGAGGCTTGTTATCTAAAGGATATGTAGAACTGGGTTTCTTTTCAGGGGGTAAGAATCCTTGTGGTTTTACTGGGTGGATATCTGGTTGTTTTGGAGGAGGTAAATAGCCTCCAATTGGTTTTTCTGGAGGAAGATAATTCCCATGTTGGAATCCGTGCTGATGTGGCGATCCTCCTGAAATTATCAAAACCAATTAATTATTCTATAAATATATAATACATGGATTAGGAGTAAAATGTAAAATTTGTTAGATCACATATTTCAAGCCTAGGCCATTGTATTTTAATGTGTAAGAAACAATTGGGTGCATTTGCTCTGGTTTAAATATGACATGCTTATGGTTTAAAATACAATATCAAACCATTTCTGAAATGAATGTTCTGGGAATAGTATTTCTCTCTCCCTCCATTATTTTATCAATTGTTTCCATTGTAAGTTTCATATGATGTTTCAGTCTCAAAAAAGACAAAGAGAAGCTAATAGGAAAATTATATCCAGTACAACATATGACGATCATCCAGGTAGGACTGTAAGTTTTTTAAACAATTAAAATGGCAAATTTTTAAATGAATATATTTAATATGAAAAATCATGAATTTATGATAAATTCAGCAATTAATATAGACTTTTTTCTTTCTTTCACTTATGAACCGCTCAAGAAATCAGTTCTCAGATATTAGATTTTTTTAAGAATGTTAATCAACTATCATTTAATTGGATTATATATGAAGAATAGTAACAATACACCATAAATTACCCAACCAAAATTTTCCAAAAATGAGGTTTGAGAACCTCGTTTATTTTCTTTTTCTATTCTTTTTATAAATAGAAATAAAAATTATTAAAATCAATAATTTTTTATTCATCTTCTCTATTTATTGTAATTTTAGTGTGGTAGAAAAGATAGTGTAAGATTTCCTACCAGGGATAATATGAATAATGACAATAGCCGGATAAATAAACAGGTATGCTTTTGAAAAGTAAAGGTTATTGTGTACATTTATATATACAGATATGAATTTTTTTAGAATGTAAATAATAGTCTACAATCTCCTCAGAAAGATGCCTTCAAGAAAAGCGAAATGTACATGAAACATGAAACATTTTCCGAAAGGAACCAAACACAGAGATCACCCGTACAAAGCATACCAATGGTGTCGACATCTCCGCCAAGGCCTAAAATAACGACCGTATCTGAGATTCCTGCTTCGTCTTTAAAATCTAATATTTCTAGGGTGCCAAATGTAGAAGAAACGCGTTCACAAAATTCCCCAACGGAAGCGTACACGAGGTGTGGTAAAGTTAAATTGCCCTCCACTTTGCCTCCAGGGAACAAAACAATTATTGTGAAGACGTGTTCAAGAACGAAGCTAAAAGAACACAATGAATTAACTGTCAACTATAGCATAAGTGAGCAAATAAAAAAACAACCATTTCAAAACGCTGATAAAGAGAAACTATGGCAAATTGAAGATAAAGGTCTAAACTCAGCAGGAAGCATGGTAAAACATTTATTCAGTGCTACATTAAAAAATATATGAAATTCTTTTATTATACCATGAATTTATATCCTGATTTTTAGTAAAACTTGTCTCTTTTTATTTGTTATTGAAATAATTAGATTAGTTTTGTTTAGTTTATTAGTATTTAATTTTACCCTATATTATGTACATTGATATAAGTGGCTGGACATCTGTTAACAATAATATAATTTACAATTTAAATAGGCATTTTTAAATCAAATTTATGTTGTATATTCCATTATAGAAGTACTACTTACATTACGGACTAATAAATGTTGTACTGTTATTTTTTTATTGACAGTAAATTATTGATTATGTATTATTAGTATAAGCAAAATAAATATTAGAAATTAATAATAAACACCATTATAATGTTTATTAAAAGGTGCATTTTAAATTCAGTTTTGTTTCTTAACTTAATTATCATTTACATGTCATTGCAGATAATTTGTTAGTTAATTTAAATAGAGCAAATGCACTTAACGGTTCTCTCGAGTCAAGATAAAATCACAATTACGAACACTCACTGACGAAGGGGATTAATTGTTATTGAAATTTGCCTGAATGTTACAGATGAAAGAAGGTTCAAAGTCGAAATCGATAGACACAGGAAAACTACAGTTAAAGGATGAACGCGACAAAGAAGAAAATACTAGTAAATTTTCTATCTCTTCAAAAGTATCGACTGCTTCTAAGCAAACAATGTCTCCAAAATTATCTCTATCCAGTATTAAGTCAAAATCTCTCACTAAAGAAGAGCAGCATTCTTCTTTTATGAAATCACCTGTTGCTGAAAAGACGCCAGACAAAGAGCCATCCTCTCATTCTCAAAGCATCAGAAGTATAATGGAAATAGTAAATTGACTATTTATTAGTGGATTAGCAATATTAACATGAAATTTAGAACAATGCAATATACGTTGAAATTTGTATTAGGGTCAACTCAAGGGTATTTCTAAATCTAAATTATTTTTTCAGTAATTTTTCAGAGCTATCCTTGTCTATAAATAACGCACACTTTTAGATTACAGTAAGTTCAAGAAGTGTTCAAACAAATGACTCTTCTGAGGATTCTTCTAGTTCAGAGGTGAGTTATGATAAAGGTTTGAGAACATAAAAATAATCATTACTAGCCAATATCAAATAAAAAGAGACAATTTATTTTCCATTTACGTTAATATTTTACACTTTAATATTTAAACATTTAATTTTGCTAAGTTGTACTGTTTTTGTAATACTTATATTTTTTCAGGGAAGTAGTGCATGTTCTAATGATACTTCAACAACCACTGAAGTATGTTGTAGACTTAAGAGTTTGTTATGTTGAGAATAATTGAATGTTTCTGTTTACTGATAGTGTGCATGTGTGTGCACTATTTTTTTAAAAATATTTAATATGAAACTTTTATTAATATTAAGCAATTGTGCAGTGGGAGTATTAGAAAGGTGTTGATTGCTATTAACCTTTTGAATTATGTTCAAATATAAGAGAGTTTTGTTAACCCTTTAGCCTGTTTCTTTATCCTTTGTCACAGGGGTGCTGCTTCTTATAACCATTCATTCAATATATTAACTTTTATTATATTTAATGCTGCTGATTTATTTAATTTCTTTTTTAATGGTTTCAGAAAAAGAAAAAGAAGAAGTGCTGCTTGTGTTTCTGAAAAACTGGCAATACATTAAGAATGAGTGTAAGAAATCTGTGGCTTCAAAATGATGAAACTCAAAATAAATAAATTCTAATCAAAGCACATTACATAATTCGGATTGCTTTAAAAGTTAAACGCAAAGATAAATCATATGAAATGGAATTATTTCATACTGATTAACTATGTAATTTTAACAATTTTCACTTTGTCAAAGAAAAATACTTGCATGCTACATTTTTAAAGAATTGTGGGAGATTATTTAACAATTTGAGTGTGTCAATTATGAGATTTCCTCATGGAGTGTGAAAGGAGTTGGACCTTAAGCCATTTGAGTAATGAAGTGTAGAAATACGTGATTAACAAAAAGTTGGAATTGATTTGTAAAAATGTGAATTTAATGTGCAAAACGTTTTTTTCTCTTTTTTATTGATTTTTACATCTATAAAACAATTACAACCATAAAAATATCATAAGAATAAAAGTGAAATGAAAAATATGTGAGGAGAAATCACCCAGTGGTTAGCCTCCTTTAGAAAAAAATAGATATGACCACTTTTTAATTTTCTTCATCACTTAAGCTATATGGTGAAAATAATTTGAAAAAATGTGAATTTAATTTGCAAAAGAGCAAAATTGATTTGCAAAAATGTAAATTTAATTTGCAAAAGAGCAAAATTGATTGGAAAAAGGCAAAAATTATTTGCAACAGGGCGAAATTGATTTGAAAAAATGTAAATTTAATTTGCAAAAGAGTGAAATTGATTTGAAAAGGGCAAAATTTATTTGCAACAGGACAAAAATGATTAGCAAAAATGTGAATTTAATTAGCAAAAGAGTGAAATTGATTTGAAAAGGACAAAATTTATTTGCAACAGTACGAAGTTGATTTGCAAAAGAGTGAATTTAATTTGTGTAATTGTCAAAAATGTAAATTTAATTTGCAAAAGAGCAAAATTGATTTGTAAAGGGGGAAATTTATTTGTAAGAGGGCAAAATTGATTTGAAAAAGGAAAAAATTATTTGCGACAGGGCAAAACTCATTTGCAAAAGAGTGAAATTGATTTGAAAAGGGCAACATTTATTTGCAACAGGGCAAAAATGATTAGCAAAAGAGTGGAATTGATTTAATTTGGAAAAGGGTGAAATTGGTTTGCAAAAAGGCAAAACTGAATTGCAAAAAGGCAAAACTGAATTGCAAAATGGTGAATTTAAATTGGAAAAGGACGAAATCGATTTTCAAAAAGGTGAATTTAATTTGGAAACGAATGAAATTAATTTAAAAAAAAGGTGAATTTACTTTGCAAAGGGGGAGAAATTGATTTTCAAAAGAGTGCATTTAACTTGCAAAAAAGGTGAAATTATTAGCATCTGAATATATTTGCAGTAGGTTTAAAAAAAAAAACAAAAAAAACGTGTGAGGTTTGTAAAAAAAGGTGTGAGCTACTTTGGTTAAATTACACCCCATGTAAGAAGCCCTCTGTGCTTTCTGTGTAAATCTAAGGTCAGAGAGGATGTGTTCCATTTCTTAGCATAATAACATTTCTTAGAATAACATTAAACATTAGTTAAACATAACATTAGTTCATTAGAAGATAGTAGATCATCAATTGATATTGTTTTTCTTGTAAAACTTTTAAGAAATATGATTAGTTGTCCTGAATTGTTGGAGAAGATATCCTTTAATGTTCTAGATAAGAGGACCAGATTCACTCCTCTGTTCTTTATACCATTATGTAAAACGAACTACCTAAAAAATGCTCCCATTCCTAGAATATGTACTTAAGCTAATAACTTAAGTAGTGATCTGGACTTATTCTGTTCATCTCTGGTCAAAATTAAAGCTTTGTAATTCCACATACTTTAAGTATGTGTATTGTTGTAAAATTGGCTACTTGCCTTTGATGTAATAAATAAATAAATAATGTACAAAACTAAAAGAAATTAGTATACTCCACCAAGGAGTACACCTCCTCCCTGTATAGAGATGAACTACAGTGAGAGGCCAGAAAAGTGGCCACCCTTAGCATTCTTAATTATCTCTTAGATAATCCTCCATTGATTGGACATTTGTTTGCGTGATGTTTTTAAATGATACAGATTCAGCAAGAATCCTAGCATTGTTGGAAAAAGGAAGCCTAAGTGGCCAGGGTGCTAAACATTCCCAGAACAACTGTCCGAAGGGTCTTCCATAGCTATCAACATACTGGAGGTTACTCAAGAAGGCATAGATCAGATCGCCATCTTGTTACATCTTAGCGAGATGAATAATCGACATTCAATGTTTGGAGTGGCCAGCATGTAGTCTCGAATTAAACACTATCGAACACCTTTGGGACGGGTTGTCAAAAAAGTAGCACAGTGATGCCAGAGAATTTGCAACAAATTAAGATTGGCACTGTTGGAGGAATATGAAAATATTCCACAGCACTATATTCAAAACCTCATAAAATAGATGCCATGTCGAATGCAAATAGTGCTCAATGAAAGAAGAGGAAATACTCCATTCTGAGTTGAATATTTTCTTCATTGTTTCCATAGCAACATTTTTGGTACGATTGTTTTATTCAGTTTAATTTCTTTATTTGGTTATATCTTATATTTTTCTTTAAAGATACCCAGTAAACAATAAATAAAAAAATAAATAACGAGCGTGGCCACTTTTTGCTTCTCAATGTAATTACTGGGCTAAGATATGACCCAACCACACTTGTAAAATATTGAAGATACAGGTTTATTTATGTTAAACAATAAATTTTTACTGTTTCACTGTTTTTACTGACTTTACTTTGTTACTTTTTTCTTCTTCTTTTACTTTTTGTATTGTTCTGTTTTTCTGTGATAGAATTTTTCATGCTGTATTGTGCTTACTGTGCAATTATATTATTTTACTTTATATCACTGCATTATAACAAATAAAGTACTATTATTATTATTTATTTATTAAAAGGTGAAATTGATTAGAAAAGAGTAAATTTAGTTTACAAAAAAGTGAGTTAAATTTGAAAAACTTGTATGTGATGGTTAAATATTTATAAACAAAAAACAAACCTAAAAATTCAGGGTTCCTTCCGATTTCGCATCCATGTCCATAGCTTCCTCTATAGTAAAGTTCACATTCAGGATCATGGGTGAAATGTTTCTGCATGTTCATGTCTGGAAGGAGCCAGTCGGTGAGTAAACAGTTCTCTTCTCTTTCGCCAATTACAGGAGGGCCATACCTAATTGAAAAAAATAGTTATAAATTATTTCAAATAGACGATTTTTTATGTTGTGTATCTATAAAATTTTACTACCGAAAGCTGAAAGCTCTGCATGTGAAGTAAGGCATGCGAACGCACGCCGATTCGCAGTCACGCAGGCTAGGTACTTTTAGAGAATACTTGGCTGTCGAGTCTTTGAGCCTAAGCCCAGACTTAACTCTTTCAAAGCAATCTGAAAAATAACGAGTTTTCAAAAGAGAAAAAAACTTAGAAATAACATTTAAATAAGGAAAAAATTCGCTCAATCGACTTTGAAAACTATAAACACGATTACAATCGGATGCATGGGAACGGACCTCGCTTCCAGCGATTGTTCGATCCTAAGGAATATCTCACCTTTGTTTCTCTGAATAACAAGAATTCATCAAGCGATAAGAACCGTTGTAATTATAGGGGTTTTCTCTAATTGAGAAGTCAAGATATAGAAGAGGGAAGGACGAAATGCCTTACCGCTTCCCCAGAACTGTTTCGGCTGGCATCCATCTCGGCCGTTGACGTTCCTTTCGTAAATGTCGTAGTCCCGATCAGGCAGAATGTCCGTATAACTGTCGAGATTTCTGGACGAACTCTCGCCCAAATGGCAATTGTCACTGGGAACGGCAGGACTCACGGAATACCTGACACATGAATAAATTTCAAGGATTCATTGATATAAGCAATAAAACTTCTTAGTCGTATATTTTAATTTTTTTCTGTTGGTAATGAATGTCGTGCACAAAATTAAAAAAAATATAAAGCTCTGCTTCATACATATGCAAAACGTACGGTTTCCTTTAAATAGAACTTTAACCACCGACCGTAAAAGAGGAAAGAAAATTCACCTATTCCTTTGTATCTTGCACAGTACAGCCTTCGAATTTATAGATATTAATCTATTGACCTTGCCAACATAAACCAAAACAGTCATGTACACCACTGACCTAGAATTCTTTTCCTACATCTAACAATCCAGTTGTTATCAAGTTTTGTTAATTGTACAAAGCTTGATTCAAAATCAAATACATTTCTGTGAACATCCTGTTTGACTAGATTGTACTATGTGTCAAATATGTAACTACATGCTAATTGTACAAAGTAGAGTGACATAGTTACAAATCCTATGTCAATTAAATTCCTTATGTCATGTCGTATTCACACTCTTACCCAAAACTTGATTAAATGCTCAAACTCCAAAGACAGGAAATATACCAATTTTATTTAATGTTTATCAATAATCAGTACTCTTTTATATGAAGCACTATCTAAGCTCGTTTATTGGATATTGATGGGGTTATAGAACCAGCTGTAGAATTAAATCTAGTCAAAAGTACTGCCATTAGTTGCCATCAACAAGATTTATAAAAGCAAACTTTTTCCCCGTAAAAAATTACCCCTCCAGCAATCCCCTGAGAGGTTAGAAACTTGAGACAATAGTGTAAAACGCCCATGGCCAGGATGTTTAGGCGTCGACAAATAGCTGAAATCTTCGTCTTCTTCTTGTTTGTACGTCTTTTCCATGTCTTTCAATCTGAAGCCATTTGAGCGTCTAGATCTCTTATTCACTCTGCTTTTCTTCAATTGAAAATGTGTTCTACTGTTTATTCTTGTAGCCAGAAGGTGCCTGTGGTTTATTCTTGACCTACGCGCAGTCTTGTCAATATGGCCTTTCCATTTTAGAGCCGTTTTCCATGGACCAGGTCTTCTTTAACCTGCGACGGTTTGTCAGGGTTATGTCTATTTTTACGAGCCCAGCGGCTTTTCCATTCTCCTTTTACTGTATTTGAAATTAATGGTTAAAAGCCCATGTAATATGAGATTTTTAGCAACAAATTGTCATGTGTGATAAAAGTTGATTCAGGCGAAATCCTGATATCAATCTACTATGGTTAGATCATTGCCAAACTGCTTTTGCTGTTGCTTTAAGAGAGCTGTGCGAAAAAAATGTTTTGTGTTTTTTACGACTCCATTCATGGAGTTCCTGATGAATGTTCTATTTGCGCTGAACTCTATTGCAAATGGAAGCAATGTACGTTAAGTGCTGGCGTTATCATGTTTAGGTTAACTGTAAAGATGTTCCGTTCTAGCAGATAACGCTCCCACACACTTCCCATCTGATTAAGAAAACGTTAGATGAAGATCATGGGATCGAATTCTCGCGACACCCACCATTTAGTCCAGACAGTGTTACATCTTATTATTCGTGTCGAAAGTTTACGTTGTCCAATGAAAAACGTGGAAATTGCAAGGGTTTTTGGAAGAAACCAGCTTGGGATCTTCACCAGGCTGAAAGATGGATAACAATGGTGTTATTTTAAATATTTATTTTCTTGCTGTTCTGTGCAATTTAGGTAGTGTTGTATGCTTAAATTTTTCTTAAACCCTGACATGATTTTTTTTATCATTCACCCCTACAATTATTTTGTTAGCATGTTATGTAGAAAATATAAGTTTTATTAATCTCTTGGACTAAAAAGATACAAGAAAAATTTTGAAAAATATTTACCTGAAACTGAAAATATTGCAGGAGAACATTTTTTCATTGGCGCATTCGGTCTCACAGTGGTAAAGGGAAGGAACAGTGAGAGAAGTTAGGACTTTCGTTCTATCCAGACGAAATCCCGATCTCGTTCTAATGAAGCATTCTGTCAAATAAACATATATTAATAAAAATAATAAATCCAAGGTCTCATTTTGAGAGGCATCTTAAGCAATTTTCATTGCAATAGTCTAAATAGGGCTGAGAAGATGAAAAGTTGAAAGGATTCAAGTTTTCATTTCTCGAAATCGTTTTCCAAGCATGAAGTCTCGGGCGAGCAAGCGCTTCCGATAAGAGACGCGTTTGCTTTCCCAAGATCGTTGAATTACCATCTGGCAAGCCCCATCCGTGCTCAAGCCCGAAAGCAGGGTGCCCTCCACCACCATACTCATGTCCTTTGTCCCACTGCCAGCCTGGATGTGGAATGATCTGGTTAGGGTTGTAATCGTCTCGATTGGGTGACGGATAGTCCTCTGAAGGAGGTGGACCACCGTCGTAGTAACCGTCGACCGGTGGTCGTCCACCGTGGTGATGATGTCCACCGTAGTGATGTCCGCCGTGTTGATTTCCGCCGTAGTGATGTCCGCCGTCGCTCGGGATGTAGTTCGGGTGGTATCCGTGTCCGTACTCGGGACCTCCATGGCCGTACTCGGGACCTCCGTACCCGGTCCATGGCCTGTATGCGAGGAAAGGAAAGTAGCAAGTACGAGGGGCGTTCCTGTCCTTTTCGTAGAAGTCAAAATCACGATCCGAATTGAAGTCCGAAGTCAAGCTTAATTTTGAACTGGGTACTGATGTCAACTGACACACGCTCTGTCCGAATCCTGATCTGCCGTACCTGAAAAACAATTGCTTTAATTATGTCTGCATAAACAGATTCAGGATCAGGTTGATATGAGGGATATGCTCGTATTTCATATAAAAGCTCTTGCAGTTTCTCCAGTCTATTTTGAATCAGGCGTTTTCAATAGGATACCAAGGTTAACGTTCGATGCGTTTAATGGACCAAATTGTGAAGCATTTGGCCAATTTCTTGACAGTGATGTCAATTTATCCTTCAACAGAAAAACAAAATGAATAACCTAAACCATCATGTCACTAATGATTAAAAGTTGATGTGGCTGATCGACATCTAACCACTGACCTGGCCAGCGTCGACTGTCGTAACTGACCCTGTTTTCTTCGCATGTTCTTATGCGTCTATGAATTGTTACACTGATCGGCACATGATCATTTTGCTGGATCACAAGACAAGCAGATCAACCACCAAACGTCCAAGAAATATCACGCCTTTTTTGAACGAACAAGCAGAGGAAAACTAAATTTCTACATATTTAAGCTACTGAACTTTATTCTGCTCATGCTGAACCCATAAATCGAGCTTTTTGAATTTTCAGAATATTTTTAAGTGGAAACCATTCTACCTTTGTCAGAAGAACGTCTGACGGTTTGATGATGATTTGTTTAACTGTGTACCTAGTTTACTCCTGTTACGTTACAAAGAAACAATTCAACTGATGATTTTTTTTGTTAAAATCATAGTTCAATGCAACGTCTTTATATTTGTATACATTATAATATAAAGATTTTTTGAGTGGATCTTCTCCGTCAAGCCATCGCCACATAAAAAAACTCGTGATAGTTTTTAAGTTTTATCACGATAAAAAATAGTTATTTAATTTGTCTGTTATAGAATGTTTTATCGACTTACTTGAAATTGAATCCTTCACAGTTGAACGACGTCTCCTGGGCACAGGTCTCTTCGCAACTCCTCAGCGAGTCACAGAAAATGGTCTTTTTGACGTACCTCTCGATTAGACTTCTTCCCGAAGCCAACCGGCGAAAACAAGCTGAAACAAAAGGAATTTTATCAATTTTAATATATTTGTTTTTATGTATCAAGGTAGAAAACAATTTTTTATAAGAGCATAAGTGAAAGTTACCCTAAGTTTGGGGGGGGGGATAGTCAGAGAAACCACATGAAAGACAGATTTCCAGAGAATTTTTACAAACTCCACGTCCTTATTTAACGATTTTTTTCAGAATTATACAGCCAAATTGATTTTTATAAAAAGATATTGATAGCTTATACGAGTCAAATTCAAAATCATACACTGCCGATCACAGAAGACTTACCCTATTTATGTTACCACACTATTTATTTAATAGTGCGATAGTACACTATATAAATAGGCAAGGATCGAATCTCACGAGTGAAATTATTTATTTGAAGCAAAGTTGAGGACCTCCGTTGAGAACGGCACCATCTACTGGTTCACTGATATATCTAGAATCCAAAGAACCTAATAGGTACAAGGGCAGGAGTGTTCGGTCCTGGAATCAGTTACTTAGAACAACCCATGGGAAAATACTCAAGTATCGCCGAGTATGAAGTCAATGCAATTGATGATGTACTCAGTTCAGTTTGAACAAAGGGTATAAAAATACAACTACATGTGTCATACTGTCTGGCATTAAACACAAAAGAGGGAAAAATTCAAAAAGGTGAGGCTGAGATGGGAACTTGGTGTCCGACCGGATCGAAGTCACGGTAGCTCAAGTGAAAGAGCAGCGGCGTATTTAGCGGAAGGTCGTGCGTTCGAATCTCTGACTTTTTTTTATCTCGGCCAATGCCTTACTTAAAGATTAATTAATTGAAAAGCATAAAAGACAAAGGTGAATAGCTCAAAGGTGGTACTGAATTGCAAAAATAAATTAAATGAATTAGGTATGCAAAATAAAGTTAGTCTCTGCTAGATTTCCGGACATGTAGGTGTAGAGAGTAAACGCGAGAGCGGACGTTCTCGGACGGAAAATTGGACGTAAGGAAGAGATAACGGCTGTACCTTTGATAGCCCTTCTAATGATTCACACTATCTAATCAATGAGTATGTTAGACGAAAAAACAAAATGAAAATGAAACAGGTAATTTACTCACTAGAAACAAAAAATCCAAGAACACTTCTGGTTTTGAAAGCTAAAAAGCAACCAGACTGCATTAAAGGATGCAGGAAGAAAAATCGAACCGTAACAGAATTCTTAATAGGACACCGTGGACAGAACGGACATTTAAAGAAGATTCGTATAATTCAACACGGTACGTGCAGATACTGCAAGGAAGCAGAAAGTACACCAACAAACATACTAACTTCGGCGCTAGACTTGCCCGTAGGAGGAAGTGTTTTGGGTGTACAACGTGAAAGGAAAACTCAACTATGACAGAAACTCCCAAGTGGCCATAGATAACAGAGATTTTTAAAAGAAAGCCAACCCCTATTTTCAGCTAGGGGCCATAATACGTTACGATTACCTTCGGACTGGTCCAAAATTTTTCCAATCTGAGGTCCATGCAACCCGACTTTATGAACAGGATAGAGAAAAATATGAAAGGTGCACGGATTTTTTACTTTCTGACAGTCAGTTTAGCTATATGGCACTAAACGGGTTCACTGATAGCTCCAAACTAGTCTTGGCTTTTGCTTAAAGGCTCGAGGAAAACATAGTTTAATGTGGGTTCCTGGACCTGAAGATATAGAAGGAAAACAGGCTGACAGACTAGCCAACGAAGGGGCAGCCCTCTCACCATAAACTAGGCGCACCGGAGTGTGTTAAGTTGGACCACTGGACAAAAGCAAGAAAACATCATTAGCCTTCGTTACCGGGCAATGATTATTGGCAGAAGGCAAAGGATGTCAACTGTTGGTTGACCGTCAGATCACTTTGATCTGCTTATTCCCGTTAAGTATATTCAGTGGTTAGTCTGTGTGTTTTGTTGTGTCCTTGTACATTTACCTAAACTGTTAAATTTGTCAAAGATTTGATCTGAGTTGGCCAGTCATTGACGACAGAATAAAAAAGCAAAAGATCTCTGTCAAATTTATTCATATATTGAATATCTACACATAAAAAAAAAGGTTTTAGCGCATATTAACCAGCATAAAGATAAATAATAAAATCCATAGATGAATTAAGGCTAATTCTGCAAGTTTATTAAAAATTAGGGGATAAAATAAATCTTTAAAGGCTAAAACTAGGTCGAAGACATTTGTCCTATCACTCTCTTTCTCTCTCTCACTCTCTCATCCTCTCTCTCTCTCCTCCTTCTCCTCCTCTCTCTGTATAAATAATATTATATATTTTATATCATAATTTAGAAGTATCAATTAGTCATGAAAACATAATATATGCCCATCTGATTGGATTTTATTGTAATTAGTCCCCCAAATAAAATATTTGAAATATGTATTTTTACATTATAAATTTTTAATCTAATAGCTGTAACAAATAGTTGAAATACATACAATGATAAAGAAAAAAGTTACTTACGTCTTACATCTTCTACAATGATAACTCTGGTACAAAAGGCACCATTGCTGTACCACACAACAGCACTCAAAAAGTAAACTAACCAATGCATGATTAAACTCAAAATATCGTAAAAAAATCGCGATTGGTCGTCAAGGAAGAGTCTCAGATATGGCCAAGGCAGAAAGGACTGATTTATGCTCTGAACCCAACGAGTATGATATGTCGGTCATCATACAACGGAGGCGGAGTCCAAGATGTGATGCTGGATGATGACTCGACGGTACTCGTCGGTGGCGAATGTTGCTCAGCCCTTTAGATTTCCTTGGTGACCCCCTCTTCCAATCGAGTCCTTCATACTCTCACATAAGTCTAATTGTAACAACAATTACCCGGGGCTCGCTTTTACTCCCTCTCTGACTCTCCAGAGGTTGCGAAACATCCTACGATCTCGTCGGTTAAGTTCCGGAACGGTCTGCATTCGGAAAATCCGTTGACATATATCATGTACATTAAAATTCGAAGGAATATCTTAATGCACTTTAAGCCTTCTACTGAACTGACTATTAAATTAACATAATTTTTGTCAATATTAGCAGTAACGATTAATAGTATTTATTGATAATTGAGAAATAGTTTTTTAACATATTTTTGCCAGGTTTGTTGAATGCCAAAATCCAAAAACCTTTGTGATGAAGATTAATTGGTGATTCTACGCAAACTCAATCTCAATAAGTTAAAAATCCACGACGAAATTTAATTGAATATTGGTTAAAAATATTGGGTAAGAAAAATATTTTGGGTTTGATTCCTTCTTGTACAAGCCCAGAACCGAAATGGCAAAATGGCAAACTAAACGGCGAAAACAGAAAATAATAGGCAGACTAGAGACGAAAAAGCAAGTTTAGGTTGTTCTAACTTCAAAAGTGTAAGCATATAAAATAAAGCTAAGCATATTTATTTTGTAGCCACTGGATATGGCGAAATGCAGAAACTCGTCCAGCAGCTCCAAAAAGCGAGGATAAGCGGACGAGAATGGTCGTCAGTCGTTGAGGAAAATTTCAGCCATGGTTGGCCAATCGGTCAGACCCCGACAAAAGAAAATTTATGCTCCAAAAGTTTTGAGATAAAAAGATAGATTTGAATTACAAACAGAACATGTTTGTAGCTACCTGACATGGCAAAAAGCCAAAATGCTTCCAAAAGACCAAACAGCGAGGATAAGCGGACCAGGAACCAGAAAAAACAAAAAAAAGGTCAAGCTCCAGGAGATGTTAAGCGGACAGGATGATAGCCATGTTTAACCTGGCAGATCATTATGACCAGAGACGACAAAAGGAAGTTCGAGCTTCAAAGCATAAGGTTTGTATTTACAATTAAAATTTATTTGTAGCCACTGTACATTTTGTCCCGTCTATCCGTCCGGTTCGGGCTCACTTTCATCGCCTTGAAATTTGGCGAAATGCCTAGCTAAAACGCGAGACCAGCCGGACCAAGGTGATAGAAAATGATCGCAATACAGGCTAATCAACTCAAAAGATCTCAACGAAAAATCTCACAATTAAAATTATTACTAAATTTTGGATTTGGATCGTTACCGGTCGGTGATCTAACCAAGACCAGCCCAGCAATGATAGGTAAGCCAAAATTATCGGTGATCTAACTTGAAGAAAATGATTAAACTCAGAAAGATATAGGGAAAAACTAATATCTTAAGACTTTTAAAAATATATATTTTTTTAAAGTGTAAAGCATTTTCTTTCTTAGTTAATCTTTGTTATTTGTCAACTTTATTTTCTGTTGTTTATAATCGCGATGATAATGGCAAGAAACTAAACCATTTTCTTCTTATTTTTTGTGTGTGTACTATCATCATCACCAGTCATTATTACAAACGAGCTCCTTGATGCCTGCCTCACAGCGACAATGCTCTATTGTCGCTGACCTAGAAAACCATGGCCAAGTGGAGGCCGAGGTATGCTACACACCATAGGAAATAATTATTTCAAAGACGGAAGTTCCACAGTCCTGGTCAAATAATTTGGTGTAATTCACTTTATAAGAACTCCACTTATGCACTGTCAAAATGACAATGACGACTTTTCAATTATGTCTGTCATACTGATCTTGTGATTCAAAACTAGTTAGCTAATTATCATAATGAACAAAAAATGTTTTATCTTTTGTCGTAACAAAACAATAACTGGTAAAGGTTAACAATAAATGTTAGGTAAACAAGTAGAAAAGAAACAATTTAACAAACTTTAGGATATTAGGATCTCTTTACGACCTTACGCAACACGACCAATATTGGTCTATTGTGCATCTCCACCATTATCTTGAGCTCTTATTTAAACTTAAGGCTTTTTACCAGATCCCAATTCTTCTGCTAGAGTTTGAACCTCCAGAGTTTGCATTGTCTAGATAGCAGTTTTAGTCACATTCTAGTCCTAATACTCTTACGTTTAATAGTTACGTGGTTCTGCGATGGTTCTTTTATGTTTTCTTTGCATGTATTTAACCTAGAATATTCTTCATTGAACCC